TGACTCAATGTCAATACATACTAACGTTAAATACTGGCATGCTAACGGCAATTAGATAAGATATTATAATCTATTTGTATATGTTTCAGACACAAGACTTATCGTTGCGGACTCCCTGTACAGTCATCATGAACCCCAGGGGTCCGCAGTCCCTAATTTGGGAAACCCTGCCCTGAAGAGGTGTTTGGTGGTCAATATTTGGCAAGTACAATTGATCAAATCGCTTCTTAGTCTACTTTACTCCAAGAAGGCCATTTTAAAATGTATTTTCAAGTAAAACAATAAATTTAAAAAACCTTGATGTTTCGAGTTTTGAATACTGGGCCTGTTTGACTTTCCTCGTACTAGGAGAATAACTCTCATCCGCTTGATCATTTGCTTCATCTAATAAATTGAAAGCCGGTCTTTTCGGTGATGAATTTGAAGTATATAAAGCTTTAATTGTGCGTTGAATCCTTTCAGCCATTCTTGTGCCTACGCTATTCGATTGCGGATCAATCGGAGGCTTATCTTGTTTTTTCGAAGGCTCAGACTCGATTTGAAGCTTAGTCATGAGTTCTTCTTGCTGTTCTATATCTCGTAATTTTATGCCGGTTTCCGTTGAACTTATGTGGTGCGATATTAAAACTGGACTTGATATGGTGCTGGAATCTAAAATGAGTCCTTGTCTACGACGATTACCTTTCGGAGAATGAGTCTGCTTAGAACGCAGTCTAACACCATAAGGAGATGATGGGCTTCCGGATGGCGGTTTTGTCACCACGATTTCTGTCTTTTTAGACCCGTTTTGTACTTTACTAATACCATCCGCAGACACAGCTCCGTTAAAGCTATTATACCTCCGATGATTGGACGGACTAGTCCTACCTTTTGCTTCAAAATTTGGATTCTCTATATCGCTTGCTAAATTTTGAGCGCTGCGATTTTCCAACACAGAATAACCTCGTAAATCCTTTTTCGATTTGGAATAGTCCTCGAAACAAGCTGGATTACTGTTAGAACGAAAAGGTGCTTTTTGCGTCTTGTTGTTGTTGTTAGTTATATCAGAGTCAATGCTAACATCGAAATCACCCGTCGCTCTTTTGTTTCTGTTGTTCACTGAATAGTCATGTGCTTTTACTTTTGAATCCTTTGTGCAGTCATAAATAGGTGGAGAAGAGTGTCGGAATGGTTGGCTCTTTCCTTTGGATTGAAATAAACCACCGCTATAGTCGTGGAACGGCATGAAATAAGTCAAGTTGCTATTCAATATTGGAAACTAGTAGAAAAATTTAAAGATTCAATTGAAAGTAATTGAGTTTGCCGATACAATGACTACTGAGCTAAACACATTCAAATAAACTTAACACAGCTGTCTGTATTGTCACTCACTTGAGGTATTTTATTTGGGTCCCTATTCTATTTCCAGGTATATATCATTTAACAGATAATAGATTAAGTTCGATGTATAACGTTTTATTTAATACTACTATTTTTATTTATAGAAATTCCGAACTATTGACTTCCTAACCATTTAACTCCATATATATCTTTCTTTTCATAATCATAATACAATGGGAATTTGCATAAAAAATGCTATTTTATAACACAATGTACGTAGAGTCATTGTATGACACACATACAGTGTATAACTTAATGCCCAGGTCGCATGTTTCATATGCACAATATAATCTGAATTTGAATGCACCAGTGTTGCAATTCACACTAAGAAATCAAATATCGCTCAAAAAACTCATTTCCAATATACAAGGATCCGAAAACAAAGCGTATGCATATTAATATTCTTTCTTGTCGATAACAGTATCAGATCTTCAAAAACACAATCATGATAGTCTATATCTCAATACATTTAAATGCCACCCTATATTCTAAACAAAAAACTGCCTAGATCTAGTTATTTCTATGATACAACTAGAGTGAAATAAATACGCACACATTCCCACAATCATAATGCGTTATTATTACCAACTTAACAAGCGAATATTACCGCATTACATTTCCTGACCCAAACACGCACACAGAAAAAAAAACGCCTTCGAAAATTGAAGCGTTCGTTGCCGTTCACAGACAACGAGAGACTGCTCATCGCATACATGGAAGAAAAGCTCGCAGGCATGCCATATGTCAGTAATACGCGAATGAGCGCTGTCTGGCTGCAGTGAATTGCAACAGGAAGTGACTTACAGGAAGTAATGCTCGACGCTGTGTCCCCATTGCTAGCAGTAATCAATGCGTTAGAAGTAATAGTGTAACGCACGATAATTTCCCTCGCGCTGTCACACTGAACTGAGCTTTCAACTTATGATGGACAGATGATGACATGATGCAATAACGCTAACAATGTTTAATTTTTCCTCAAAACAGCATGGGCCTGGGATAATCGATGATTCATAAGAATGGTCATAGATAAAAATATGACCAGAGAAGCATTACTAGTGGAATCGTGATGAAATATTTTTTTAAGTGTATGACTGGTCTTAACCAGTTCAAACTACATTTTTCAAACCAACCCCAATAGCATTCGCTAATATTGGAGTTAATATTAAACCCTTTAACATATATATGCCTATAAGCTGTAATCCATGAATTTAAACAACATCAATAAGCTTAAATAAAGTCATTATTAGAAAAAATAGGCTTTTGAATATACAACAATTCAAAACATAAATTGTGACAGAAACGAGTATATTGCACAAACATTTTAAATGAGGAAATTCATTTCTTTTTTTTGTTTAGATATAATGCTTTGTCCTTCTGTGAAGAGTCTAACCTGCCTAAGCTAATATTATCTAGCAATTTTTTTGCTAAGTTATTGTAATCAAGTAACGGTTTATATATTTTACACACTTGGAATTATTTTTTGAATAAAATGGCTTTACTCCATTACCAAGCACTTCATCCATATATATATATACTAAAACTAAATTCATAATACGAGACCAAAAAGTTTGTTTTCAAACTTGAACAAAGTGAAGAAAACAAATTATATTAAATCCAATAAGCAACAAAGGAAATTCATCATTAAAATGGCATGGTAAGTAACCTTTTCCAAAGTACATAACGCAGGATGTAAAGAGTAAAGCATTTCCTATAATAACAGCTCAATTTCTAAATTCCAGTAGATTTTCTGAAGTTTAAATAACATAGCAGCAATTTCGGCGCATCAGAGTGTGTCTACCAATATGAAGGTAACTAATTTTGTTTGCCTACTTTACATCAAAGTTGTGTGTATAGAGACGGAAGGCTATGGACAAGGGGTGTATAGGCTATTCATTTCGCAAATACAGACAGTCTCCGAACTTGAAATAGAACTAGAATGGAAAAAATCGGAAAAAAAATTATGACCTAACCCTATAAACCTATTGAATACATTTCTACGTTTCAAATAATTGTACGCAAAGTCGACTAGCGATGATTGAATAGTAAGAGGTCGCAACAATGAACAATCAGTGTTGACATATAGAAAATACCATAATAATAAAATGAAAGAAACTCCAAGCTTACCCTGATTCGATTTGATTAGTTTTTCTCAAAATTAAATCTTCATTGATTTCATCCCCATCTTCCCACGAGCAACTTTCTTTCTGGATTGCTGCTATCCATGCCAGCATATCATCTCGATTTTCCGCCTGAATTGTCAATTTATAGAAAATTGCTTATTTTATTCCACAGACAGAATTATTCATAATATAATATTCAGATGGAGCATTCACTATTTTTATTAATGTTTTTGGTGAAGTGATCAGATATTAATGAATTAGAATTTGGTGATTTTCTTTGTTATAATACAGATGGCCAAAATTGAATAATTTGCATTTCTGAATGCATTCTAAAACAACATTTCAGTAAATAGAAATATAATCTAGTAATGCAGAACAGTCGAGATAAAAATGGTTTCGATCAGTTTTCTATTTTTCAGTAACGTAAGTTGAATGTAGTCCAGTGTGAAAGGCTTGATAAGAAAGACACATTCATAATTTAAAATATATTCCAAACTGGATCTAAAAAGCAATAATCATACATAAGTATTTCGAATAAATTTGAATATTTACTTTTCGTTATCATTTTTCTCAAATCTTCTAATCATGATTTTTGCAAGTCATGCGTCAACTGTCAACTAGTTTATATCAACATTTTTTCGAAATAATAAAAAATTACAATAAATCACAGTTTTCAGCACAACAACGGTAGTTAAATCTTCCATCAATGGCCATTCCATTTTCAAGACACTGCTAAGACCATTAGATGTTACTTCTACTGAATTAACATAACAATATGTATGATGCACAACAAAAATAAAGAGAATTTTACAAAAAATCATGAATTTGGTGCAAAAAGGAAGGATCCCTTGATGAATATAAAAACTTTTAATTCAAAAATCATTATTTTACATGTCACTTAAACTTTTCTATCTCTTCAGGAGAAAAGGTGAAAAGTCTTACTTGAAAAAGATATTCTGAACCATTGAAAGTCGTCAGCTTAAATACATTTCGACGTTTTAAATAATTGTACGCGATGCCAACTAACGATGATTGAATATTAAGTGGTTGAACTTCTTCTTGCAGAGATAACTGACGAGCAAGTTGGGCATCCTGAGGAATTAAAAAATAAACAGGTCACTCCACCTTATTACCTCACAAGAACACATAGTAGTCAAACTGTTTTTTGGGAAATTCCTTGGTCGCATTAAATTTTTGATAGCGAATATGTCATGAACAATAAATTTTCGTATAAAATTGCCACTTTATCAATGAATTTAACAAAAGTTTGAAAAAGTAATTCTGTCTTTCTGTTTAATGTAGATTGTCACAGAATTTGACATTAACCTGCATATTTTTAGATTTGCTCCAATCTTTGGATAAATGAAGATGATGATCAATAATTGCTGCCCAAACCAACTTCCATGATTTTTGTGAACTTGTACGTTTTCCTTTGTCTATCGTTGCCACCTAATACACAAGAGACAGACAATGATGACACAGCATTTAAACTGAAATGGATACACATACACATATATTGGAATAGTCGCTTACCTAAAGCCTTGAGTAGAGAGAAATGCACATGAACAAATACACTACTAAAAAACTACTCGAATTGAATAACAAATGTTACCAAAAAAATTGTGATTTAAGTTGAATCAATTGAACTTGTCTTAGGGAACAGAGTTATAAGAGTCAATTTGTTTGCAAAATCAAATGTATATAACTTACAGTAAAGTTATTTAAGGTCATAAAATGCGTATCCCGATATATTAATCTCAATACAATGCATATTAATTATGCATATTATGACAAAATCTGACAGCAAAAACACATACTTTGAAATGCAGATATCCACTCCTAGATGTCTTCTGCTGATCATCAAGACTCGAGTCAACACTTCTGTCTGCATTCATGGAATCATCCAAATCCTGTAATAGGAATATAATTAGCAACCAGTGGAAATTAAAGCACTATTAGGTTGACTAAGCATTATCAACAGACAAATAAAGTATAATTATAAGTGTTTTGTCATCAAAATATAGTTTAACAGAGTTTGGTGAGATAGAGTTGTATTTCAAATTGATCAAAGTCTAGAGCAGGGGTGGGCACGGTTTTTGTATCAGGGGGCAAATAAAGTGTGACGTAAAAAGTTACATTTTATGAACAGAATGCATAACAGAATGGCAAGAATGAGTAAACTATGAACAAAAAAGAATGTTAAGGTACGACATGAGAAGCACGCAGTCGAATCGAGTGAGCGGGGCAACGTATGATTTCAATAACATCCCCATGACATGGAAGGTCTGTGGCAACCTAAAATACAACTTACACCGACTACGATCATAATCTAACAAGCTTATTGCACCATACAGATTAAATACCAACAGCTATGTTGTGCTTACTCTAAAAGCAGAAATTTATGGCAGCATTAGATTGAATCACCCAATGGGCCAAATTTGTTCATGGCGCCACAGCTCTATTATTAATATTTCAAGTGAAATAGTATGAAAAAAGGCATAATCAGGAAAACATGTCCTGCCAATGAATCACTTTTTCTTGCAAATGTCTTTCAGCTCTTCGCTACCCTCTTCTGGAGAGATAATATCAAGAACAGTGTTAACTCTAAGCAAATTATGAGTGCGAAAGTGCTTCGCAGTCCAAAAAAAAAGTGCGAAAGTGCTTTTGCCGATTTTAACAAGTTAGGTGCCCTAGCCTTTCATATAACCTATTTAAAACGGCATAGATACTCGAAAAAGCGCTCCTCCGGTTAATATTATGAATTAAAGAGAAGCCTTTTCGTTAACGAGTTCCCTTTAAGCGAATTCATGTTTAATTAAAACAAGCCAATTCATCGGCAACGAAATGACATCTGCTCACACCTGCCGCGGACAAAACTTTCATGCAATGTATCACGGTGTCAGTTGCTTATTCGCGTAAACAGCAAAGACTTTCACATTTGTTACTCCTTCCATCTAACAGACACCAGGCCGACTGGAAACCATATTAGTTACAGGGTGGATCATTTGTACAAATCCGGTGCAAAATAATCCCCCATCCCCCAAATATAAATAGTAATCAACTAATTAGGGTTAGGTGCGCTGGAAATTCAACTTTTCGATTCATCCCTAAACCTAATCTGATAATTATTGATTTGTGATTTTGAACCACTTTGAAAGTCGCCACCCGCTGTTTTAAAAGATAGGTTAACCTACGTTCCCTCCGTAATATTACGCAGGATACTCCCCTGTTTTAGGAGATAGGTTGACCTACTTTCTTTTCAAACTTTTTCTCCGAAATATTACACAAGATCACTTTGAAAATCCTCCCGTTTCGTGAGCTAGCGTGACCTAATTTCTCATTTACATTTATATTATACTATTTCAGAGCTTACCCAAAGACAAGTAATTTTTAAATGTCCACGTGCCTTGGTTTGCGTGCGAGTTAGTTTAAATCGGGCAGAAAACATCATATATTGGCAAAATGTTTAGTAATGTCATGTACTTTCAGCATTCATAAAGAGCACTCTTTGTAATGTTGCTGACCTAGTATCAAATATTCGCATCACAACGCCACTTGCGACGTTTCCATATATTTCAATTACACTAATAGGAACGATGACATCAAAGAGTTTTCTTTTGCGAAGGTACACTAAATATAACGAGGGTGATTCTTGAGAAAAACATGAATATAAAAAATAAACGAATGATAGGATAATGGATCCCAAATAATTTTGAGAGTGTCTCGAAATACCAATCCATTTGATAAATAATTTTTATTCAACCACATGAACGCTGATATTCTGAAAATTAATGTTGAAAGAGAATTACGCATTCTCAGATATCGGACATCCAGTCGCGATATTCAATCGTTCATATGCACAAATCTCACATTAATAGTAATTGCTACCCAAGTTTGTAAAGTTTAGAAACCAACAAACAGAAAATAACTAACCTAAAACACAATTAAAATTCAGTCGGCAATAAATTCGTCGCCAAGACGATGCCATACAAAACAAAAAAGATTTGATCGCGAGAGTTACGTGAGATGACTGCTTGTTTTTTAAGCAGAATGTAAAAAAATTTATAATTAATAAACGGGAGTTACGACGCCCTTTACACATCGTGTGTATTAAACTTCCCTGGTAGGTACTTTGGTAAGTACTATTATTATTGTACCTATACACCTGTTGGAGTATTTCGGACAATTTCGAATTTAAAATAAATGAAAACCAGTCATATAATAAAGACGCAAAAGTAAAATGAACATTTATTGAAAAAGTTATTATTTAAGAAAGACAACATGATCGTACAATTCCGCCAAAACCTCGATGTTCGCAAGTGAGATGATAAATAAATACTTCCCTGTATTCGATCAATTAACTTCAGCGTATCGTTGTTCTGCCAATAAACAGCCGGGTGCAAAATATTTCCGTCCTGTGATATGCTCACAAATATTCTCGATATTAATATCATACCCTCGCGTATGTACTTTCTATTAGCTCTTTTGTGATCCCTTCCATCCTTGGCCAAGTCATGTTTCGAATATGTGAACATTTTATTCGACCATACATGGCCGGCGGGATGTTAAAATTGTAGACAAGAGAGAGGTAAAATCAATCGCGAATTTCGTTATACCGGCTCGTTTACGAATTGTTGCGCCTGTTATCGTCGAAAATGATTACATTTGTTGTATTTTGAGGCATTTAAGCAGTAATAAGACATCATCAAAATCGTCAAGTGAGATCTTGAAATTGCAAATTCCGTAAAAAAAATTGCGAATTATTCGGTAACGAATTCAGCTTTAATGACCATCGGGGTATTGTTTTGTTGAAAATTATTATTAATGTGAGAGCGCCAAAAACATACAGTCCAACCGATGCGACTGCAATTTATATGGTCGCAATTGGTCTGTGGGCAGGAATCGTAAAATACCATCTTGAGACAAATTAACTTCTATTATGAAATCTTAATTTTCAGTTATTATCGTTATATAAATAACGTGTGGCAACTTTTTAATTTATCGTCGACCAAAAAACCGCCCCACACTCGTCCAAACGTGTGTCGAGCTTGAACGACAGGAACAGATTCATCGACGACCTTAATTAGGGAAAATATGTATTTTATTGGGAATGCAAAATAAATGTAACAAAACGCATTTTTTGTGATATAACTTTGTATTTTCGGAAACGGGTTGCCGTGTAAGGTAAAATTTGATCTAAACTAATTGCAAAAATGTTTTATTTTAAATGTAACAAAACACATTTTGCGATATAACCTTGTATTTTCGAAAACGGGTGTCCTGAAAAGTAAAATAAGATCTAAATTAATCGCAAAAATGTTTTATTTTAAATGTTTTATTTTAAATGTAACAAAACACATTTTTCGAGATACAACTGTATTTTCGGATACCGGGTGTCATGGAGAGTAAAATGTGATCTGAATTCACCGTAAATAATGTTTCATTCCAAATGTATCATAACGCATTTTTTTGCGATATAACTTTGTATTTTCGAAAACGGGGCCTCACGAAAATTATTAATTAAATGTTTTATCTATCGTCTAACTAACGTCTGGAACACATCATTTTCGGGGAGAACTCTAGCCCGCGAAACGTCATTTAATTTAAAATAGAGAATGTTTCACGCATTTCAAAACGGAAAATCACCAGTAAGTGGACAGGGATTCAACCCTCCGGATTCAGTATTCTATATCCCCCGTGTCAGAACTTTCTGAAGAATGGAACAAAGAACCCGTCAAACCGCCACGGAAGAAGGGGAGAATTTTTTGCACTAATAATTAGGGCGTGACAATATCAAAATCGTCAAGAAACTGGTGAATTTGCAAATTCCATAAATGAAATTGTGAATTGCTCGGTAACATTTTAGCTACAATTATCGCCGGGGTATTGTTTTGTTGAAAGCACGTTGAAACTTGAGGGAATTAGTTACAATTAGCGCCTGACCTCTATTAGGCACTCCAGCACTCGAAAAAAAGGCACTCGAGCCCAATCTTTTTAGCATTAAGTCGCATACGTAAAATATCCTGTAAAAGAAGTGCTGTTCACTAACGTCATCTCGTCTTATGACCACGCAGAAATGCCTTTATAGCCGAATTATTCAATCACTATTTCAAATCAACATTCAGGATTGGCACAATTTCAGATTTGCGAAGTTTATCACCATAGAAATACATGAGAAAGTTAATTATCGTCTTACTCTTAATAAATATCTGCATCACGGTATGGACAATAATATTACCATTCGCATAAAATTGGGACGGTAAATTTACAAATCTTGATAGGTAATATTAAAGCCAGCGCAAATGTTAATTTGAGTCCTCAATGTCTTCAACAGCTGTTGCCGATGTGAATGAACGGGTAAACCCGAAATATAAAACTTCGATGTCCGCCGACCCACAAGAATTCATATTTGTAAAAAAGAGAGGGCGGGAATATAGATTACCCAAAACCTGGATATCGCCGCCAAAACGATCGGTGACGAGAACAATTAGCGATTACAACGGAATTAACCAGTAAAAAGGCTTTGTTGCCGATTTTTTAATGTTTCCACCACGTTTATTCGGTACTCCTTAAAAATATTCGATTTAAAAATATATTGAATTATGCCCACCCCTCCTCGCATATCAATGAGAAATAGTTGTGTAAATATCGCAAAATTACGGAAAATGCCACCTCCTTTCAACATTGTGAATTGTGATTACAATAAAATGGCACTTAATGTGAATTTGTTGATTTTGCAAATCTGTGACATGCTGCTGAAAGTTTCGTCTGATTTGAAAATCGTGCAGTTTGGTCACAATTCATCCAAAGCGACTATAACACCTTACTAACACTTTTTATAGTCATTTTGAATTCATCGATATCATTGATAGTCACATGACCACTCTCGTTCAAAGAAACGCCCCGGGAGCGTTTTTTTGCGGGAGAAGCGGAATCCCTGTGCTTGTATAATAGTCATATTATAAACAAGAATTTTGCCGTTAATGCAAAAGCTTTATCTCCTATGTCTGCATCTCATAGGTTAGAATTCCGGTAAATATCGTTATGATATGCAGAATTGAGTTACAAGTATGTAATTGAGTTACAAGTATTACACCAGTATGTTACTTATTTGTCAACTCAATACTCGAAAATATTTGTTAACTTTGAATTTTTATTCCATTCAAAATCGGAAAAAAGTGCTATTTCTCTTCAAAATCGGAAAAAAGTGCTATTTCGCAGTCCCTAAAAAAAGTTGCGAAAGTGCTTCGCAATTTTCGCAAAAAAGTGCGCTAATAGTGAACACTGATCAAGAACATAAAATATTTTTTTGTCATTCTCATACCTTCGCTACAAATCTTATTAATAGTCTAGTTAAAAACCATGAAAAATTACGTATTCGATCGGTGATTTTGATATCATTACAATATCCTATTTGTGATGCCATCACGATGTATAAAATAATGTAATGTATGATATGAAAAACTTACCGAATCATTAACAAACTTCTTGAATCTTGGGTCATCACTGTAAAAATTAAAAATTGAAGAAAATAATTTCAGACTTCAGTAAATAAATTTATTATATAATCTACTTATCTATGGAATTTTCTTCACTATTGGTAGCTGACTAAAATGGGAAATGATAGATTTGCTTAGAAGACTTTCAAAAGTATGAAGTACTGTCAAATAAGAGAGCAGCAATAAATTAATATGGAAATCTAATATTCAGTCTATTCAGCCTAGTAAAGTCTACCATTAATTAGTTTGGTATCATAAAGCAATTTTGAACCATAATTTCGAAGCCAATTCGAACCAGAATATTTTAAGAATTAAATACCATCTGTCACCTTTCATTTTACAAAATAATAAGGGTAAGTAAAACTAAAGCATTGCCCTAAAAATTTCGATATTTAAAAAGGTTGGGAGAAATTTCATTGAAAGATACTTACGCTGGAATATCGATTGGCATTGTAGCGATTTGATATGAACGCCTGTGAACACCTTTCGCAGTTGATCGATCTAGATTTACATAATTTTACAATACAAATAAAATTAACCACTATACATTGTCTTACGAAAAGTCGGATTTTTTCTACTGAGAAGAATAAAAAACCATGAAATAGATCCGTGTTTCTCAACCAGCGAAGAATTCTCGCCATAGTAGGATTTTGTCATTTGCTCAGCAATTTTTCTTTGTGTTTGTAAATGGAAAGAGTGATTCAAGTTAAGACGCACGAACCACTAGGGATACTTGGATACTCCCGAAGTATGTGAACCAAGATGGCGGACAACGGAACGTAGCATATGTAACAGGTTAGGGTAAGGCCATAATTTCAGGTACGAGTACTACAGGAGTCACTTGGCTAGTCCCCGAACTTGTAATAGAACTAAGATAAGGAAAAGTGGAAAAAAATTATGGCCTAACCCTAACCTGGTACACATACTATGTTCTGATGTCCGCCATCTTGGTTCACATACTTCGTGAGTACCAATATTTGCACCTGCAATGCACATCGTGCCCAATATCGCACGAATGCATAATTTCAAATTGATATGAGTAGAAATCATTATTTCAAAATGAGCCGTTGGGGTTCTTCGAAAACGTTTGAACAGGATCCCAATAAAATCATTGAAGTTTATACTTCTATTTTCATTCATTAAGCCCCTCTCAAGTTTTGAAGGCTTACTCTTGGAAAAGGTTCAGTGTAAACCGGCTTATACCAGATTTTCTTTTCTGTCAACTCATTCATCTATTACTAACCTGCACTTAGTGCTCTTGTTCGTCTCATCTTTGCAGGAGAAACTTCAGCATTGCGAGACGACAAAACATCCGCTGAATTACTTCTGTGTATTGAACCTAAATTGAATGAATTTCAAATAAATGAATAAATTCCAAAAAGTTTTTTACTAAAATTAAATAAGCAACATCTGACGAAATTTTTACCATATTCACTAATTTTAGTGTTATAAATATATTCCTTCGAAGACATCAATGTAGTCGATATAGATATATTTTTGAATCACAATTTTGAAATTGCACTTTGTGAAATTAGTTCCCAAACTGGAATATGTGGATGCCATCGGGATAAGCCATTCCCAAGTAGATCAAATTCATTTCAAATAATGCAATGTTCCTGACATTTTGAATACATCATTTCTCAGAATTAAAGAAAAAGAAGACTTTGATAAAGATAATACAACAAAGCCTAGTCTCCAACAATCAACAAGCCAAACCTAAGCTATGAATATCATAATTTTTTTTTTTTAAAGATTGCAAGATATTGATTACCTATATCAGAATCTCTTTTTGGTTCTCTCAATGACAATCTCCTTGTGACCTTCAGGAAGTTGTCTTTCAAAGTGGTTGCCTGTAAAAAAATGATTTTTTAAAAACAGTGATCCAACGAATGAATTTAGAGGCCAACATATCAGAAAGTATTGCAATGCTCTGGTGACCACAGCATAACATTGGATCATAATCAGAAATATTACGAATTTTTTTATCACATTCCTGTTTTTAAATTTCAATCAACCTTGCGCTGGGTGTGATAAATCGGGTATTAATATTCAAAGCAGAGGGATTTTGGTCCTTCCAAAAAAAAAGTTACTCATTACATATCGTTAGATATTAGTGGTTGCTTGTACAGGGCCTTGTCCAGGGAAAAAGGTACAATTAGCGCTGTATAAAAATAAAAACTCAGTGGAACAAAACCACTATTGTTAATGAAAAAGTATAATGCAGCCCAGAGTTATCTTACACTTCTATCTCACACATATATTCAATATAATATCCATCATATTCAAAGAGAAAGTTGCCCATATTTTTATTTGTCTATAACTTCCATTTGATACAAATATAATTTAACTTACTGTTCCATTGGGCGGTGTCGTGATGTCATCAATGAAAGGAATAGTAGAATCATGTGATGTTCCATAAACAACAGCATTTGCAACTGCCTCCTTTCCGTGTGTGCTTCGATCTCTGTGAAATAGTTTGAGTAAAAACATTAGTGAATATTTTTCGATAAATGCAAAACTCTGGATCAGTGCATAGAACAGGGTGGTCCAAACCCAGGCCCGCGGCCCGCCGTTTCATTATCTGTGGCCCGCGTCACCTTCGGAGGGTAATCAAAAAATCGCATTTCGTGTTGTTTCGTCATAAAATTAATCAGAAATAACTTTTGACATATTGTCATCACTAGACACTAATGTCACTGAATTAAATAGTGTTATGGCTAGGCAACTAGCGAAATTGAGATTTGAATGATATGCTTGGCAGTCTGAATTGTTAACTGGCTATCTAACTTTTTGGTCCGGAATATATGCTAACAATATAGGAATCAGAGAAAACTAAAAATTGAATGCGGATTCTATTAACCTAGAATTGCTATGCCTGATAACTATGTGTTTGCACGATAAAAGTGTTTGTTTTGTATTGCACTGTTAACCTATTCTTGGTACTATTGTGGCCCACGAACAATGCAAAAATAATTTTGTGGCCCGCGGAGCCGACAAGCTTGGATCACCCTGGCATAAAAGATCAAATTGACTCTTATTCAAATAGGTAATACATTGAGTTAATAATATTGCATTTTGAGGCTAAAAATGTTTTTTGAAATACTGGCAAACCTGTATAACTTATTAGGTGCAGCCATGGGCGTAACCAGAAATTTTCAAGGGTGTGGGGTTCTGAAATCCTGATTGCCAAGTTAGATCGTAACAGCTAGCGGGTCCACGTGGGTTTCCAAGAGTTTTGAGAGTCTCAAAAGCGTTTCAAGCTACGAAAAATTGCTATGTTTGATACATAAAAACTATTTTTAAAAAGTTCTCGTCTCCAGTAGTGATGCTACTAACCTTTTTGATTCTGACATAGAGTTACTCCTATACCTTTGTACATCATGTCCAATTCTTCCTGTGTCTGTAGATTTAGAACGATTGTATCCAGATCTACCTGATCTTGTGCTTTTCCTCCTGCAGAAGAATTATAGATTTTATCGAAAATTGAATTTTTTTTTTAGACAATTTACTATTGAAAATATGCAGTGCAAACTGATTCAAAGGGTCTGGTGCAGGAGTGGGCAACTTCTCTAGTCGGTGGGCCAGATGTGGGAAAATGAAGTCCTCGGCGGGCCGGATTATTACAAAAAATACTTCCGTATCCAATCTTTGTTAAATGCTCGACACTCTCTGTCAACTTTACGATTCTTGGGATATTCCATGCTTAATAAAACTTGATATAAAATCTGATTTCTAAAATTATTTCATATTTAGAATCTGAATATAACTGATAACAGTAGTGGGGAATGTTCACAACGCTCTCTGCTTTGACCTTATATTGTTTATTTAACAAGTGTGCTTACGCAATTGTTTATTTCACCAGCTCGCACTGACAGTGCGGTGAGAGTAGAGCGATCGGCAATATCCAAGAATAATGCGCCGGACCACATTACAGAGTGTGGTTCGATACAGTCAGCGGGCCGGTCAAAATCTCGCCAAGGGTCAAACCCGGCCCACGGGCCATGTGTTGCCCACCCCTGGTCTGGTGGCTTTGCTGGAGGTTGAAGCATTTGACTAACTATGATGGCATTGTAGGATATAATATCAGTTGAAATCCCATGCTCACTAACTCACCAGCATGTAATAAATTTCGCAGGGAATGTCGAAACAAAAAGATCACGATTCTCTCACCTAGCAGTGACTGCTTATGCAGAGCCTTGTTCAGACTAAGTTACAAACTAAGTATAAATGTCAAAAAAGTATAAAAAAATAGAAAATTTTTTTCGTATATATTTGAATATTCTTTTACTGGTAGTTCGGACATAACTGAATTAAACCACATGCTTTGAATACACATATTCAAATACACAAAATATGCAAATATGGTAAAAATTTTATTTATCACGAGGAAGAGGGAAGCTATTATAGTTAAGGCGACATAATCACATGGCCAACCACGGCCTTTCATCCCGTTAACAAGAAAAGATGTTTACTAAATGCAAAGTCATAAAAATTTCTAATGTATACTTATCAGACTATTTAAAGAAATGGGAGTTTCCCTGGAACAAGCATGATATAAAACAGACCTATAGTAAGGTGACTGGCAAACATCAGCAACAATCAGGTTTGACAGAATTTTTATTCTGAAAAATTAGGAAAACCCACTTGTCTACTACTGCATAGACAAGATATATTGAACAACGTCATAATTCACATAATCAATTATTATTTATCCACTTCAAAATCATGATAGCACTTAAAATATACCTCAGTTTATTAGCCATTCATCATTATAATCTTTCATCATTTTGCAATATTACATACATATACAATTATTACAAATAAACAATGAAATTCACTAAAAATAAAATCGATAACTTTGTAGAAAAACAAGCGACCCAAGATGATTTTCAGGTAACCCAACTCGGTTTGCGTGTGTATATGTTTACTGGGAAAAAAGTTAGGTATGTATACCTAGTTAACATGGAGTCGAGGCAAAAACGAAACTAGATACCTACAATACGATTCAACTACTTTTAAAGAAAGTGAAAATTACCTTCGACTTGGACTCTTTTGTGTATCTTTCCTTTTCTCTCCATCATGAGATTTTGAATCCTAGAAAAAAAATTGAAATTTAAATATATATTTTGTTATTGATCAACAGCTGATAGAAATCAAATATCATACAAGATGTTCAAATTAAGGGATAAATCATGATTTTTTATCCTCTGAAGAAGACAACCTACTAATAGCCTACGCGAGAAGAAATTATTTTTGGAATGGAATGGAAGAACTTGAATCTTTCAGGGTACCTACCCAGTTTAAAACACTGCAAACATAATTACAATGCAAACGGCTTCCCTTACAATTTGGAAAGTCAAATATGTTACATAGGCACGACTAAAAAACAGATTTACATTGATTGCCTATTTATTTACCAGAAATTGAAATTTTACAACAAAACCCAGTAGCTCGCTCTTTCTTTTCTAGCCTTGTCAATTATTTGTTATACTAGCCTTATTCAGAGTGAAGGCGTGGAAAATAACCACAAAAACATTCTCAGCATAGCGTGTATTTAGCAAAAGTCAATATTGTACTAACACCCGGACAATACTCAGTATGATATGTCAATGTCACTAAACATTAACTCAATAGAGCACTGAGATTAACAAACACACCCAAAACAAACATTTCGTCAATAACAATTGGAACTCAACGCGATCAAAAAATTAGTCAACTTGAGTGCGGTGAATATATATTTTTAAGAGAATTTGCTCAAAGTAAGGGCACTAACTCAGAGATAATTATCGTATCTCTGAGTTAATAACAGCTACTATAAGTTTACTAAAACCATTACAAGTCGCGGAAAATGTAGAAATTTTTGAAAAAAAGTGACAGGGTGCAACGACAGAGAACGAGCTCAACAGCTGGGTGACGAAGGTTGATATTTGTTGCACGAGCTAATATAACAAATATAACCCATTAGAATTGTAGCATTGCAAATAGAGAAACTTTTCCAAAAAACAAAAATGAAAATTTTACACCATACGCAATTACATAAAGGTAATGGGTTATATATCAATAAAAAGAATCAAAAACGTGTGAATAGATATAATTCATATTTAAAGTTATGATTAATCAAAACACGCAGATAAAATTTGATGATGCAATGTAATGATGCATATCAGTTGTTTTACGTATGGGCCACCCAATGATAGTTTTACCAAATTTAATGTATCTACAGGATAATCTCCAAATAATCAGCCTAATAAAGTTAGCCTGAGTTCACTCTAATTATATGGCTATTTTGTCAAACTATTATAATCGTAATGGATTTAATTTATAGCTTTGTAAGAAGGTTAATCCTATTATAATAACAAGAGAATACTCTCTCTATAGTCTATAATCATGTGATATTTAACATTGTTTAATAACCAAATGTTTCTTGGGTTGAATTTCTAAGCATTAGCAGCGTGTCAGTATATTTTTAAGTAAGCTTGCTTCAAACAAGATTGCCTAAAGTCAAGTCCTTGCATAAATGTAGTTGTCGTAAGCACTGACAAACAGTAAAAAGTGTTGATAATCTGATAATCAGGATAAAAGCTATGTATGGAAAAATAGAAGATTGAACAATTTGTGTCTTAATTCAGATCAAATCAAGAATGGCAAATTTTTTATACCCTATGGCTCTCATGTGTTTGAAAAATTTGGATATAAATTTATCTCTCATAAGATGATCCGTTTTGATAACAAAAGAGATAATGAAACACGTAGGCACAGAGTTAGCATGAGTGCCATAATACTCCAAATCGATCAGACGGACAATTCCAAATAGACAGAATTAACCACATAAATAGCGAAATGTAAATTCAAACAATTACCTTTCTTCGAGAAGATGGCAACAGTTCAGGATAAATTCTTGAGGAGTGTTCATCAATGATTGCAGTATTAGAAGAATCCTTTTTTTCTTCAGGTTTGCTATCCAAATAATTTGACTTGAGCACATACGGAACAAATTTAACAGGCGCTACATGCTTTATTGATACTTCGTTAGTTTTCTCAGAATTCGTTATATGATTGTTTTCTGAAACATTGTCATTCTTTGGCAATAAATCAATGGCACGGCTAAATCCACCGAGTTTTTTAAGGTCCCGGTCCATTCTTGATATTGGGTTATCCATATCACTGTCAGATGATGATGGCATAATAAAAACTCTAGCGTTACGTTTATCCCTTGCACCAGGTCGCCTGTTCACCTGGAAATATAAAAAAATGTTTAATATTCATCTTTTATTATAGATTAATCTCATTCTATATAGTCAAATACATTGGTCACCCAGGTGGGGTCGCCTTAAATATTTATGATGTCGCAGAAAGTCCGGCGATGTTTTCTTCTGTTATTATTATATTGTGTGTGTGATGTCTTGAATATTACCAAATTGCCAATAGACAAAAATATTACAGTTTATTATAAGTAAAACGTCAGTATAACACAGTTTTAACGCTATATATTTCACACGAATAATAATAGGCATGCAGACAAGGAGCAATTACAAGAAAGTAATTATGACATGTTGATCACAAATGACTTCGTGTGAAAAAGAATGAGATGATATAAAACAGTGTCCAAGTCTACTCTTCACTAGGCCGACTAGCGATATTCTGACTTAGAATGATATCTCTATAATAAGGCTATTGTGTAACGACAATAATTTAAATTTTAAAGTAAGCAGTTGTTCTGTTTTCACTGCAATGGACTATGCCTTTGCTTTTGCTTTATTGTTTGCTAAGTTTCACAAATGGCTAATAAACATAAAAGAATAGGTCATGTGATCAATCTTTTTTTAAAGCATGGTTTAACCGAAATAAAGTGCCAAACGAAATGCGCTGTTTGTCAAAAAGTTCTATCGATAAGAAGCTTATTAAGCTACATTATGCCACAATCTCAAAAGCTCTGCGAAGAAAAACAATCGGTTGAATGTGGTCAGTTTTATTTTTTTCATTCCAATAAATATACTTTGGGGGCGCCAATGCTCATCATACGTCACAATTTTTTGAAATGAGGTCGCATCTTGAAAAGTTTGAAGACCACTGGTCTAATACAGTGTTCCCCAAACTTTTTGGGCCGCGGACCCCTGTTTGGTAATCTTATTTTTGACGGACCCCCAAGTCTCACCCTGTATTTTGTCATCATAATGGTAAGAGCTGAAATTGCTGCCTAATACATGTATGTCTTTGCAAACGCAATAAAATTTTGATTTTTTTGTCTGGCAGCAATTGATATCGGTATTCGTCTGAACGCTCAACCAAACAGACGCATTGGAATCAATCATTAAAAATCGATCAGATTTGCTTCATATCATTGCGGACCCCTGTTGCAGTCCCCTAACCCCAGTTTGAGGAACCCTGGTCTAATACACGCTTCCTAACGGAGAAGAAATTTTGTCGTTATCGGAGAGGCAATTTGATTTGTATTTGGTGTAGTATTACTTAGATTCTTTAGTTCTTTATTATTACTTCAAAACTTATTATAGCAAAGATTATAAACTACCTGAACTCTGTAATATGGCTGTGTGAGTTTTACTTACCAATAGCTAAGGATAGAATAAAGATCGAATAAACAAACACATATTGGAAGAGAAATAAAGAGTTCCCAAAAATGTGAAGGATGGAATTTAATGTAAGGTTGGGAGCTTGTGCAAAGCCTTGTTTAGAGTAAAGGCACATGAATGCGCCATATTAAAAAGCTAAATATAAAGCACAAAGAAATCTATGACACAGCCTATTTGGTTGCAAATATTAAATGTAATTTATTCTTCTGATTCTATGAAATTGCGTAATAAAATTCAGTATTAATGCTAATAAAAAATCTAGTAGAAGGTAATATAGTGTCCACAAACATTTCTTTTTTGTGAGCCATTATACGATAGTGTTACTGTTAGATAAAAAGTTTCTACATGAAATAGTTGGTGTAATCATACTAAACAAACTTTAAAACTGTGAACCATAAAGCGTCTGTCAACCTGTCCAAAAGACCTTTCAATGGCCACTTTAACATCTGACTATCTGTATTTCATATAATACCACTAAATTACGCAATATGAAATACAATTTTAATATCAAGACTAACAACTTATCTTCACTAAGTAATCAATCCTTCAGAACATGAACATTTACATTAGTCTAGACTAGCTAAACAACAAAACAACACAGTAGGCAGCAATCCAAGCTTTCTAAAAACTTGGCAGAACAAAAATGAAACTCCCCCATAATAATATAATACAGCTTTCAATGAGCGATTCCGACTAACGAATAGGAACTGAATAGTAAATCATTACCCTGATTCAGTCAATAGTCAGTAAATAATTACAACAGGAAAATAAAAGAAGATGAGAGTCAAGTATGACAAGCCAAATTAAACAATACAGGCGACATAAGTACAGGGTTATAAATGAACATGATATTATAAAAGCAGCAGGGTTTGAACTTGAACTAGAAATGACGTTAGTGAAACATTGTTGAAAATAATTTTACAGAAGTAATGTGATAAAAATTGAATTTAACAAATAAACAAAGTATCTACATGGTGAGCTTCTCCCCCCCTCCCATATAATAATAAAAACACAACATTTTCTTAATTACTACTACAAAATGATTAAATTTATTTATCACTTGAACATCTGTCCATGTATGATTAAATATTGATTGTACCCAAAAGTTTTAATAATATTAATCAAGGACGCTATGGATTATGACACTGGTAAGTATTCGAATATAGATGACAAACGAAAAAAAATCTGCGCAACCAACCACGGTACTTATATCTTTGTGAGTTTTTGTACTGATGTATATGTATGCGTACAATGCTCGAATGTGAATAGAAAGAGTGAAGATAACGATCATATGTGATTCAATAGTCTTCCTGTACACAAACACATATAATATCTTTTGTACAGTTTTCTTTGACTAAACACTCTCTTTAATCCTTGAATCGAATAAAAAAATGTCACATCAAAAATAGTTTTTCATGTTTACTCACTGATGTATCTGATGCTGGTAAGTATGTATCACAGAAAAATACAAATACATAGTAATTCCTTTTTTTATACATATATCATAATCATAAGTCATACCCTACCTGGCTTCCATGTTCATTCCGTGGAGATCTCAACTCAACTGGATAGCTTGTTGCAATGTTTGTAACTGACGATGGTTGTGCAGCCTCGACGCTCGTCGTTACTGTACCGGTACCGGTAATATCATGAGTGTCTATTGGAACGACACTTCCTGAATGATCAGAACACGAGTGTTATATGTTGAATACTTTCATTATTTATAGTGCAGTAGGCTGTTAAAAAAAACAAGCTCAGTTTTCAGTAAATTTATAAATGCGTAATTCAAATGATATAGCATGAAGTTAATTAGTGACGTGGGTTCTCAGGTACAAGATTTTGTCGACCAAAGAACTTTCAGAAAGTTTACTTAAATTGTAAAGTCAGTTAGTTGGTAAATTAGAATACATTGCAGTGAAAACATATTTATTGCTATGTTTTATCAACAAATATGTTCAACTTCTGGTTCAACCAGACCAGTAAAAATAATTAAAATATAGTTTTCGAAAATTTAATATGTGTTTTATAAATCAGAAAATAGGAAAAATGAGCATGGAAAAATATTTTTATTCCTTCAAAACAAAACTTGTGTCAAAAATCAAAAAATAAAATCTTGTCTTTGATACAATGTGAGTAGATTACAATAATTTACATTGAAAACTAGAAAAAGCATTTTAATCTTATTTCTAATATAATTTGAATCAACAAAGCAGGACCTATTAAGTTGAATGTATTCTAGAATAAGCCTACAAATGATTCTATCGTGTCATAACACATCTCATATAAAAGATACGAAGAAAATATATTCAGAACCATTTTATAATTTCGTCAGCTCATTAGCCATAACGGAATTGATCAACTGCAATCGAAAATTTCGTTAAGGAAATTCGCAATAGTTTCATTTTCAGAAAATCGTATATACCGTCATCATGCTTGGCCCATACAAGCATATCGTAAATGAATAAAATAAAAATTTCCATACAGTGCCTCATGCTTAAATATAATGGGTTGAAAAAAAAAATTAAAATTAATTCAAAATATATAAGAAATGAATTAAAAATAAATGAAAATAAAATGTATTTAATGACAAATAACAAAAAAAACATAGGTTTCGAATTCATGCTTCATTTGCCTTATTAATTTTTGTCGAATCCTTCCGAAGCGGCTGATTTCTGTTTATTGGAAGTAAGTTAATGAATGAAAAATGTAGGTATACCGTATACGTATAATAAATAAGTAATCATAATAATTATTAGAGGCAATAAAACAATGATTACTACACTGAAATTCCTTGTATTCGCTTATCATGTGATTGCATATTTCTCACCATGACACTTATTAAATCCTAATTTTACTCCACAAATTTATTTTCAAATAAGTAAACAAATTACATAACTGTTTAAAATGATCACATTTTGAATTTTCTGAAAACTGAATTTTTTCATCACTCATTACTAACACCAAAATAAGATTTCTATAAACAAATCAAATACTTGAAATTTCAGGTTAAATTTCCATTCATTTACATTTAATCTCCACCCAACAAAATACTTTATTAGAAAGCATCAGACTACAAAAATATAATTGTTGGATTCGATACACCAAACACGCAATCGAAGAATTTATTGAAATACGATATTATTTACACAACATGCTGATTCACAAAACAGAATATTTGATCCTTTTAAATTTGGCGAGTCACTTTATTATTTACCAAGATGCGATTACTTTCATAAAAATTTCAACAATTTTAGCATTTTGTTAAACAATAGTATCATAAATACAGAATCAGAAAATACAGATGAATATGGGCCAAGGATAAACCACAATAACAATGTTCGATTGACCCACACTCAGAGATGGCCATACCTAAATTAACTTATATAAAGTATAAAATCTAAAAAAAATATTTCCTGAAATTTTTTAGATTGGGTCATATTCAACGAAGGAGATAAATAGAAGGTAATATATGTTCAATGTGGTTTATTAAAATGCAGGAAAAATGCAGATAAACAACGATTTGAATGGTTATCTATTTTCTCAGTTTTCGGAAATTAAAAGAAGACTTTTCATCAGATCTTTCAAAATTATAATTTTTCAAAATAAAATGTTCTAAATTATCCCTAAAATCAAGAATTTATACTAATTAACTCAAATTTTTTGATTTATTATTGGTATCCCTGCTACATAGAAAACAAAGAATTCTTAAAGTTATGACTCACGGTTGTCGTCGACGATTTTGGATTTCAATTTTTCAAAATGAGCTGAAGATTCAGGCAATATTGTGGCGTCTTCTGCTACAGAATGGCTTCCGACCAGATTTTGATCATTGTTGCTATTAACCTTGTTTTGACTATTTTCAATGGCATTCTGGGGCTTTGAGGTATGCTGAAATATTCGATAAATAATCGCTATAAGAAAAACTAAAAGAGTACTAAACGCAACCCAATAAAAGTCTTCTCCAGTTTCTTTACACTTATGAAAATAGCTCAAGAAATTCGACTGCAATGACACAATTTTAATTTGCATTTATATATTATGCTAGTGTGGTCTGAGAAAACACTGTACCATATGGTTGATACTGATAGGAAGTGATAAGACTACCAACTGTCGACCTATGTCAGTCAGATGATTCAAATTGAAAGAAAAAATCAATTTTACAAGATTGCTGTCAAATGAAATGACTATGGTCTCTATAATGGCAAAGATAGTGTTCTAACAAACATGTTTTTATCAAAAATAGCCTTAAATAAAATTTAATTGTTTTTTTCCATAATTTTTTGTGACGCTTATTCATGTCTTTCGCCCTAAACATGAAATCATGAGCTACTTTTTATTGGAAGGACTGATATCTTTCTGAATTGGTATTGCCTACTCAATTTATTATTGTGTAACCTGCAATGCAGACCAATTGAATTTAACTCTTTTGTATACCATCGAGCCATAAATGGCTATTAAAGAATAAATAGGGAATTCTATAGGTATAAATGAATCAACAAACCGGCAATTTGTGATTGTCTTCCTTTTTCAATTCATCTGCATCTTTTCCATCAGTTGATTTATCAATATTAGGACGTTGTGATTGCTTCATAGATGGTGTCCTCCATATCGGTTTAAAATCAGAGCCTGAGCTACTTTTCGGTGTCTCTTTTGAAGGTGGTGCAAGAGAATTTGGCTTAGAAGATGACGTTGCTTTTAATTTCTCTGTTTTTCCAGTTCTATTTTGCTTAATATCACCGGAATCTGTACTTGTATTTCCATCCGAAGTACTATGTAGAACAGCTTTTGGTGCTGAAATTTCAGCGTTTGAGTCGCTACTGCAATATGGTGTGCTTGTTTTTACGCGTGCGAGGTTTTCTGAATTTTTTGGAGGTTCAGAATTGTGTGTTTTAGTCTCAAGAGAGTCCTTGCTACTGCGACGTTTATCCAAACTGACTTTATTTCCAGTCACAATAGGATTTGTATTATTAGAAATCTTCTTTTTTTCAGTCTGTTTTGGAGGTGATTTCTTCAACTTTGGTTCTTGGGATTTTGTATCAAGCATAGGTTTAGAATCTGAAGAAAGCTTCCTTTCGCTTCTGCTTTTAGGAGTTTCAATTATTTTTTCACCATCCAGTGGATTGTTTTTTTTAGTTTTTTCAGGTAATATCTCAACCACTGGTTTTACTGTATGAATACTCTTGGGCTGATGAGATTCAATAATATCTGGCTTTGGCATTGATAATACTTTTCCATTGGTTTTCTGAAAATATGGAATGTAATATAAGAACAGTTTTCAAATAAAATCTTATAGAATTAAAATACCGCAAATATACACCCGACGCACAATACAAGCCATTTAATAAGCTTTTTCGCTTAAAGTCGCTTCAAAACTATTGCTGTCCAATTTAATATCAACAATACAACAGTATTTTAATATTAGGGCATTTTGCTTGCGTATCAGAAGTAACATTAACATACATCCATCGCAAACTATTGAATTATATTGAATAAAATCAATGAAATTCATAACATGAAAAATGGTATTTATTAAAATACTATCCCCTAAGTTTGACCCTCATAACCTTGCTTCACTTTTGTAACCTCTTGTCCTTAGCATGTTACCCCAATTACCAGTAATATAACAAAACATGATAATAGAATTGTGTGATATAAACACATTGGTGTGAAAATCATAGATAACTTCAACATGAGCATGTTAAACAAAGTGTCACATTGCATGAAAAGTCAATTTGTTTTAATTTTTCGATAAATAAAAATAATAGCTTTATTGAAAAATAAATTATGTTATATGGGATTCAATAATAATACATAGAAATGGGATAAATATGAAATGATACACAGAATGTTCAAAAGATCCTAAAATGTTTTGAATTGCGAAGGGTATTTATCAATAGGCTACCATATAATATAGTTTTTGGTCACTGGTCACTTTAAATAAAGTAAAAATCTTGACTAAACACTGATTTAAACCAGATATCGATCGGAGACCGCCAACTTATCAATCTTGCAGTTTCGATTCCTTCGATCTGACTCAATAGCGACACCGCGTGTCCCATCACTAATTAATTAATAACTCGCTAATTATACGACATAATTCATCCAAAATCAATAGGCTTCTGGTCCGAGATATGATGAATGCACATGCACATTTGGAGCAGATTCAACCTCGCTTTCGTGAGATATCGCGTAACATACGAAAGTGAAACAAACAAACAGACCAATACCTATCAACATACTTACCAGTCTAGATCGATAAGTAATAAAACATACCTGGTTGACCCTGTACATATTTGTCCAAATGTCCAAAATGAATCGAAAAGATTTTTCACCAATTTGTAACATTAGCAAAAAAAAATGAAAACTTCATTACTAACCGAATAAGGCTCTTCTTTCAGTGAAGACATATCAGGTTCTAATTTAGTTGAAGATCTTCGTGAACCAGATCTTGAACTGGTAGTAGAATGATCTTCAGAACTATTGTTTCGATGTATAATTTTGGGTGAATCCTGGTTCGATCCTCTCCTTCTAGAGCGAATATAACTAGGACGAACCTAAAATTCAAAAAATATTTAATGAAATTCCTCACTGCATATATTGATGACAGGAATTATATCATTTCCTATTTAAAAAATATTGTTTTTATTAATATATTGCTTCTTACTGTGGCAACTCGACTCAGAATGACAAATTGGAGGCAGAATGATCAACAACTTCCAATACAATATACAACCTGGCCCAAATATTCACCAGTAATGTCCATACGCTGATAATGATATTAGAATTCCTCACTGATATCAATGATATATAAGAATATTACTTTTTGAAAAGACCAGAATCTTGCAGGTTCGGCATTACCTATCTAATTTATTACTCTGGGTGAGGTGGGGGACATGAAATTTGAACGCAAGTAAACTGCGCTGCCAACACGCCCTAATATACATTGTTTACTTTCCAACTTGAAAAAATATATTCAAAGAGGTTGAAGCTGAGAATATCAAAGTATTGAATATGAACTTCAAATAAAGTCTGCAACTTTTTTATAAAAGACAAACTTAGCTTTCCTCATTCTTTAATAAGACTAATTTACAACTGACATATTTTAAATTCAACCTTCTGAACCAATCCAGAAATGTCATTGCCTTAATTATACTCAACCTAATGTACAAAAAGATAACCAACTGAAACCATTGATGGTAAACACCTACATCTTAGCAAACTCATTGTCAAAGTCTTGAATGTTTTCAATCTTATTCTCTATATATATATATATATATATATATGTATATGATTATAAAGTCCGTCAGCAGGTTCTGGCTATCGTCTGAAAGCATGAAAACACTTTTTCTGCCAAACCTTTTGCAATATTCATGTGAACTTAATACCTACCTCGCCATACATTTATTATGCTATGCTTAAGATAAAAAATTATTCTATAACGAGTGTAAACCATGAAATAGAACAAAGAGAAAGATTTTGTGCTTGATTCATTGGCAGTGAATATCTGACTAACAAAATGGCAACATCAGAAGATTATCAAATAAATGTACGGTATATCCTCTCATAATTATAAGCCAAGTTTAAACCTCAAGAAAAAAGTTGTCATACTATGGGTTCGGCTTATATGCGCATAACTCTGATCACACTTAAAATTTGGCTTTCACGTGCATAACTAAACATAACAATATTGGTTATCATTTTTATTTATATTAAGAAAATGCTAAACTGAAACAAGATAATATAGCGCAATTAATATAGAAACAGTCCTGTGCAAGTCCCACCCATGCATGGCCACAATGTAATCATATCATACATAATAATATTCTAAACCTGTAATGGTAAACTATTCATTGCAACTCAGGTGGTGAAGATTGAAAAAACGGCACTCCTATATGTGCTGAATGTTAAAAGTTTATGTATAGGGTGATGGTTAAGTAATGACAGACAAGGATTATGAAACTTGTGTGATTTAAATTTTTTCTATATCATTGCAGCATTCAAAGTTAATAAGTCTGATAAGTATAGATTCAGCTAATAAGTCAGTTTCAATGCTTGGTTAAAAATTTCATCCCGTAGTAATCAAACTTTAAACAAATTACTAGTAGGAGTGGACGTGGCAGCCTAGTGGTTAAACTTGACTATGATGACATCACGGGTTGAAATCGCAGATTGCACCGCCACGTCACCCAGGGCATAATAAGTTGGATCGGCAATGCCGAAATGAAATGATTCCAGTCCTTATAAACTTTATTAACTTGTTAAGAGCAATCGGCATATAAATACCTGGTATAATAAAATGAAGTAGACTAGAAGATGAACCTAATCGCCACTACATATCAGTGGCTGATTGACTAAAGCCTTGTTCAGAGCAGACAATCAGTCTGTCTGATGAAAATAAACAGTAACAAAATAGCTGTTTATACAGAGAAATTGATTGCATCAAAACTGTGAGAAAATGATTGGTATCTTACAATGTTTTATTTTAGGATTACCGGGTGCTATTCAATATGGCCCGAGTCCGAAATGCCAAAATAAACACGGCTTGCCAGATAAAATCAGGAATTTAACCTAAGTCAATGTAACAAAGAGATGGTCAACAGGGTGTAGTCTTACCTCAAGCTTAACAGAAGCCTCAGATTCCAGGCTTTTTAATCTTTCTTTGATAGACACTCTGCCACATAATCTGTCCTGTGGTGCTGTTATGTATCTGGAATTACAAAAAATAGGATAAATAATCCAGAAGAGCAAATGAAGTGACAAAAATTGACATATATTTATACATTTATCAAGAATTTAAAATAATGATGTATTTTTTGAATATCTCTGGCTGTAAATATTTTTCAAGTAACAAAATACTATGAATAGGTCCATATTTGGCATTGGCTAATATTACCTCAAAATACTCATAAAATTGGGTAGGCTATATTGCATTATAGTATGATCAAGGATGGTTATGCTTGATTATGGAGTAATGAAAATGACATCATTCTAGGATTTTCAGCTCGACTATATACATGTACATTATGCACTGTATCTCATAATTAATTTATGAATGTACTATCACACAGTTTGGTGCCAACGGCTAAAAGCGAGATATAATGTTACTGCAGATGGGATCTGAAGAAATGTTAAATTCTCCCAAAATTGACACCCGCTGTATGACTCATAATATAGTACATTTAAATAACTACTCAATCTTCAGGTATGTGAGTTAACCATACAAGGCACGCTATGATACTATTTACAAAAAAGTTGTTAAAATTAATAGCCAACAATAATTTCCTAAAATGTCAACCATAGTAGATAGATGGTTTTGGAAAGTAACCTAATTGAAAATTTAGAATAATAAAAATTGGATTTAAGATTTGCTCCTGAAAATTATAATTTATGCCATATTTTACAAAAAGAATATGATAAAAATTGTGCTTTTGTTGCAGTTCATATCCATTTGAAATAATTCAATATGCAAATATTTATGGGATAATTCTAGGATGTGGAACTATCTCAAAAGCATGAAGCAACGTTTAAATATATCCTAGACACAAAAACTCAAATTAATGTCAAACAAGCGTTATCATGAATTGAACTTTATAAAAAAAAATTGATATACGGGTAGATATCAGGCAAGTGGGCCTGAGAAAAAATCATAAAAAAAAACACAATAATTTGGTCCAGTAATTGCAGAGAATGCACTTTTCTCACAACATCAACAAGCCCAAGATTTTTAACAAGACTAACAACAATTTAGCAGAATAATTCAGAAGCGAAACCGAGTCTATATAAACATACCTGGATGGAGGAATAGGATGGGTGGTTGATCTTCTTCGTGTTGGGAACACTGGATTACCATCATCTGATAGGGGAGATTGAATACTTGAAGATGGTCTCTCTGAAAACAGAAAATAATTTTTGTGCTTCATTCTGGCAATTTACCATAGTATAACAGTACAATTTCCAGTACAAACAAGAATGGTCACTGAGTTAATTTTTTGTATGACTATCAAATGTCAAAAGCTGAAGATGACAAATTCTCAAAGACAAGTATTCTATATTTTTTTTTAAAATCAAGAATTGGCTATACAGAATATAATTGATTTTATCAAATGTATCGGCATATTCAATTCGTTTTGGACATTCTTTGATAAAAGTCAATGAGTGTGTATATACTAGAACTCTCGAAGTATTTGTATATCTATTACAGAGCAAAATATGTCAGAAAAACTATTTATCATTTGTTCCATAGCCTACTTCTTAAAAAATATTTATAGATTTCACATTCGAAAGTATTATTTAAAAAGATATTCAGTCTGGGCTATCCCTGTTACATCAAGTTATTTAGTTATGGTAATACAAAAAAATATTGTATAAAAATCTTCTACTGTTATTAACCCAACTCAAAGTAATTACCCCTGTACTCACTGGAGCTTGAATGTCCACTCCCAATAGCAAACGATGCTGTTCTTCTAGCATGGTGAGTGGGTGTTGTCGGTAACGATGATCCTGAAGGGGACGTATTTGTCGAAATCGGTCGAATGTAGTCAGGCACATATGCCATATTATTCACAATATTTGAATGTCAATTTACATTATAATTTTTGAGAAATGAGCTTTTGTAGAAGTGAATCCTGAAAAAGTAGAGAGCAGTAATAAATATTTGCACTAAACGTGAAAATTAATCAATTTAAAATTGATAACAAACCAAACACGCAAACCCTAATGAAAGGAATGTTGGCTGCTATGGTTTAATAAACACTCAATTATATTGTTCGTCTTCAAAACGAGTTTATATAAACATATAAAAGTGAATATTATGAAATTTAGAATTCTGCTCCATGTTGTATCAATTCATACAATTTGTATTATAAGTATACATAACAACTATATAAGGTTTATTACATCATCCCAACTTAAATACAACTGAAGTAAAGTTGAACACTGCATAAAAATAATTAAGATTGATGATGACTATAAATTGTTTTAGGCAAACACGCAAAGAAAACTTTATTACATCATCTTTTAGATAGAAAAATATAGAAAATTTGGATAAAAAAAATAACATGAATTACCTCAACTGATCTACACAAATGCAATGACGGTAACCATTGAAAATTTGAAAAATAAAAATTATATTTACATATTACTTTCAAAGAAACTCAATACACAAACAACAGTTTCTGCTACTAAGTACTACTTTCTGGGAATATTGGGAAGTTTATCATGCATTTGAGCTAGAACATTCATAAGTCAAAAAAAATTCCTACAAAACACAATATTGAGAAAGCCACTCTGCATAGAGCTCAGTCAAAAACTGACATTGTAAAGACAAGTATATAAATGGACCCAGACTATAAATTACGCTCTGGAAACATACCATACCATACCATACTCATTGAATGATCATGCGTGGGGCTTTCATGTAACATAAAATACTGCGGAAGTTATACACAATAACAATAGAGAGATTGCTCACTTTATGAATGACCGTTGATCATTGTTCGAAAGCGAAGTTTGTTGTCTTTTTACACCAGGCTTATTTTAACTTTACGCTTCAGTACTTCATAAAATTCCAGATATTCGCTCGCTTTTGTATCGATATTACGATACTCTTAATAATGATACTCATACAATTTAATGCTCAACAGTAAAACTGAAAAATATATAAGAATTAAAATGAAGCATTAGTATCTCACTATACAGTAACTTATTTTTACCGGAGACAGCTTATGTTAATTATCACATGGAAAAAAAATTAAAACATACAAATATATGAATTTTTTAATGGTTAAATGTCTCAGGTGAATAACAGAAAAACAAATTGCTAAACGTACATAACTGCACAAATAAATATCTGTTTATTAAACAAAAATTTAGCTGGTAGTTTCAGTTTGAGTTGGCCTGCTGCCAAGACGAACTAAAGAATAAATACCAAACTGTTATTGCCCTGCGACTATTTCTATTGTCCATCTTCGTTGGGATAGATTATTGGTCCTCCTTTCTGCTTATCCTACTAAAAATCATTACTTTTACAAGAAAAACTTTCCTAAAAATGGAGAAGCTACCTGTGTCCTAAACTAATGAAAACAGATCGAGAATTAGAGGCAAGACAATAACAAAGAATAACATTGAAGCGCCACATTCAAATATCTGATCAAGTTGTAACATAAGAGTTGAATATTAAAGACTTATGTAAATGTCGAATTGAACTTCTCTCACAGGATTCTTATAAACAATCTGTGGTTAAAAAGATATACTATTGATAATTCATCAATATACTAACATAAATTTTCATTTGTTGAAACATAAAAAATTTATGATGGGGCTATTCATGATTAGAAAATTTATTGATATATACCGGTAATTTTATGATATGTTATAAATAAATCTTTTCAAGAATCTATAAATGCTATCAGTATTTTATAACATATGACAGTTTTAATATATATTGTGAATTGCTGAAAAATTAGTTTTACTTCTCGTTTACACGACATAAATCGTGAATACCAAACTATTTCTGTATTATCAATTCTTGGCAAACACAAAAAATTCTGCCATTCCAAAAATATCTAAGGCTCCACAATAGCATGATAACGACTTAACGATAACTTACGACCATGTTAAATTCCAAGGCAATTTACTGACGCAGTCCCGATTCGATTCAAAAGAAGCATTCATGCATGAGTCTCGCATTACCTAACCATCTAACAATTGAATAGGATCGCATACCATTCTAGCCGTCTCGCTATCAAAGATGTGATTGTTTTGCAACTATTTACCTAACTAAACAATGCATAGGAAGGATGGTGCTGTTTCCTTTGCCCATCATTATTTAAAACCAAGGCAAATGTTGTTAGGCATACAATAAGAAATGACAAAAATGTAAGGAGTTCTTCCTGTGGACATTCCAGAAATATTCAAACAATGTTATTGTTTTTAAATTCATATCCTACTGTTTTTTATTAGTAGGAATTTTGTCTTAAAAAAATAACTATTTTTTAACACGGTTTAAAATTCTCTATATCAAAAAATATCACTTTTTTGTTACATATAAAAATTTTGTATTCGGTTATATAAAGTAAAATTGGACAAATAAAGTTATTATTTGAGCGTAAATTAGAGTTGGATTATGGCCAATTCAAGGACCTTCAAAAATAAGGTAATCATAAACATTTTATGTACTTATTCTACTTTTATGTCAATTCAAGTAATCATTTCCCCTAAATTTCGAATTCAAATAAGCTTACAGCTCAGTGCTCATGATGCTTGATAAGTACCGGTAAATATATCATTCTGAATTTGTGAATAGAAATATATCAAAATCATGATAATTGAATTTGGTTTGAAGAACAAAAAACCTCACCAGACAAACAGTCTAGAAGCCATTTTTATATTTAGAAATGATAGAACAACAAACAGAGTCTGGAATGTCTCACATAGTTAGGGTTGGGCAACCCGGAAGAAACCAATCCATCAACTCATTTGACATGCAGGAGCTTATGAAGAAGAAAACAAGAGACAACAGGCATAATAAGATTTAAGTAACATGGCTAAAAGAGAAACAGCACCTTCGAGACAACTTCCAATAAGTTTATAGGAAATATAAACTAACATAACAGATGTATTTATTACTTTTAAAGGCCATTCTAACAATTTTATGGCCCTCATAAAAATGTATTACCTATGTTTCATTACAATTTATACTGAATAGGTAATAAGTATTGAACTTGCTTCTCTTTTTCTAATTACTAATGCTTAATAAAGTAGATACCGGTAGGCGGGAATGTTAAAAGTTGAAACGTAATACCTTGTATATTATTAGTGTGTAATAATGAATATATAAAAGCAATCCAATCTTCCTAACTATAATAAATACCTTACATAGGACAATGTAAGATAACACTAATTCATTTTGTTATAAATACTTTAAAATTTAGTTAATGCTAACAAAAATTTTATACTCTTCAGTCAACCGGAACGAATATGAATCACAGAGCAATATTTAATTAAACAAATAGACAAGTATTTTGGAATATAAATACCTGACATGCTATGTTATTATTGTATGAAAGTGGAATATTCATTGGTGCAATACTATTTGATAATATTTGACAACAATACTGATATCGTTACTCCCTTTATATATAAATTAAGATTAAAGTATTCAAAATGTTACAATATTATTAATCTATGAAATTTTCAAGAAAGGGGATTAGAGGTGTTTTTAGTATATCAGGTGGTGTTTTTTTGTTATATTTATATTAAACCATTCTTTTATTGCAATATCATATTTTTCTTTTTCATTTATTCTTCTTATCATATCCTTGCATCCTTGCAATACACGTGCGGATCCCGCCAGCACAAAGTCATATATGAATGATAGACAATGTTATGATAATTACGAAAGTCATGATTAATGCTGAATAAGGTGTTTACTTTTCAAAAAAAAATTTATTGCAACATGCAAGGCAGAATCAAATTTTTTATGTCAGTCTATTACCTTCAGTAACCATGACTTATTAACTGAAGCTAAAAAATAAATGAAATTCTATTTCTGAGTGTCTGACTATAGGTATTTATAAATTCATTTTGTATATATCAAAAAGATCCCAGTAATTTATGTTAGTAGAATATAATATATTTATAGTGCTTATTACAATTCTTTCTAAATTAATTTCTATCGAATCATAAAAAAAAATTTAAATCTACAACAAAAATAACATCATATCAATAAAGACAGCGTCATTTTCGACAATAACCGAAAAAGTACAGATACCAAACTAAAAACAAATCATAAACACATAACAAAGCGCAATTGAAGCAAAACAACTTTGAGTACAAAGAATTACGAAAAATACATTTTTACATACATATAACCTGGTATGGACCATACATACAATGTGTTATTTTAGCCGACGGCCATGTATGGCCCATAATAAACTTCCTAAAAGGATGTCATAAAATATGAGTGCTATGGTAAATATTAGCTTATGTGATAAAGATAACTTGTTAAGTGACAATTACCTAAAAAAACAAGGAAAAGCAATAACGGTTAACAACACTGTAAAAACAAACCAAAACGCTTTTATCATATTTACTCAACTTCCACTGTAGCATATTAACAAAACATAGATATTCATTTATTTTGTTCGGACAATTATAGAGCAGACATAGAGCAGTGAAATGTGCTAGACGTCTTTGAACTCGAATATTACAGAGCTTTTCACTCTCGTGCGAAAGGGATGAGTATAGTTTTTATAATGACATATTATAATTTAATGTGCATTTCGCTGTTAAAAAAGGCTCTGGAAAGCAACCATTGCTAGGTAAAAAGCTGATATAGTTTGACATGGCCTAACCAATTTAGTATACCCTGCGTCCCTGGGTGGGGTGCTGGGCATGGGATTTGAACCCAAGATTTTGATTTGTGATTATAGTTGGGTCTAACTTTTTAATCTACAAAGAAATTTAGCTACTGAGCTACATTTTGAAAAAAAAAAACGAAAAAATTTATAAATTTAACCCATATTGATAAAAAAAATCAAAAGTATTAAGTCCAAACATGAAACCTGAAAAAATGAATTTCAGCTCTGAATGTACAGACAATTTAGGATCCTGTCACAAAATTACAGATAGTATTATAATATTTTATCAGATATCTAAGATATAAATCTACGTTGGTTAATAAAAACATACATAAGATTCAACAAGACCTGTCAACATGTACTGATAGCTTAAACTACATAACTTTCTATCCAACAGATAAAATGCTAACTCATGAAAAGTTCAGAAACCTTATTAAATATAGACAAGGAATGTAACTCAAGTACTTTGTTTTTATCAGGGATTAAAAAGACACATTACTGTCATAGTAAGAGGCTGGACATATAATAGCCTCAGGTCATATTTGTCATACATACATGATACATTACCGCATCAAAAAGACGCGAAGAAAATAAAGTCGATATGACATTTCTCCTCGATCTGATTCGCTCGAGTCAACATTATCTGTTTATACTACTTACCTCAACTTAAAAACGAGAACCTATAATTGTTGATTCACCTCAAAACTTTGGTGCAACAAAAATAATAAATATGAAAAAAAATTTTATTCTTTATTCAGAAGTGGCTTCGCATGCATAGCACCAGATTTCATAATTCTCCGTTAAATTACCATATTTGAACTCAAGTGTTTTTGCCATAAATCTTGATTTCTTTGCAGAAATAATAGCTCATGCTCAACAAATCCATGGTGACATTGTTTCTACTAAACAGCATTCATCAGATTTTCTAGGTTGAAGAAACATTGTATAATTACCGGTATAATAAATGACAAAAATTATTTTATTGATTGATTGAAAATAAACCCTTAGCTGAGAGCCTGAGAGTCACAAGAGCCAGTGGCTGAGATTCACTGATAATTAACTGCTTCTATAGTTGAGTCTTTTTTTTTTAACTTTACTGGGTTAGGGCTCCAATCATACATAATTATTATAGACCAAGTGTGTATTATTAAGTGGGGTTCAAGAAGCTCAAATCATGAAGATTACATACTAAAAAATAACTATATAATTTGTGTACTAACAGAAATGTTCAAAACAATTAAAATATTTAAAGGCGTTGCAAATTTTGGCATTTTAATTTCTTGATCCTAAAAGTGATTTTAATCATTTTGGATGAAAATTTATCTTTGTACTATAAAAAAAAAACGTTAGGCAAACAGGGATAAAACTAAATAGCCCACTCTTTAAATATAGGACAATTGGTTGGTAACACTAAAGTTTTTAAAATATAGGAAACCATTTGATGATTTGAATAACTGAATAGGCTATAGAGGCTACCAATCAAAATAGAAATACAAGTTCATACCGGTACAGCGTATCTAGCATTATGGCATTAGTTATCGACATTAATTTAAAAACACCAACACTTTTCAAATTTTCAAACTGTAACCAAAGCTGCAGAGATAAAAATTAAAGCATTTTTAAGTCTACAGAATACTGGAATAAGCATTATATATAAATATATATATAATATACAAATAGGCTAGATTATTGCATTTAATTTTCCAACGAATCATCTTATTCTAGAACTTATTGGTTAATCCTATTTGAATATTTGCCTGTAGCTACATGCATTAAGATGTATATCAGTCCGTCTGCTGGTCTGTCAGTCTGTTCAGCAGTTGACAGGCTGGTAACCGCAAGTACGGTAATACAGTAATAAGCATGAAAGATTCTTCCTCCAGCCTTTACTTTAGTAGACACTGCTGCACTGGTGCAGACACTGGTCTGCTAGTACAATTCTACAGTTTCAATTTCCTTTTCCGGGACCAAACTGTCAAAGCCATCTTAGCTTGCACTGCCTGCCAACTCTTGCCAGTTTTCATTGCTCGCCATTTTGGCAAACTTGCGAAGCAACAGACTCACTGGACTCAGCACCCAGAGTACCGGTAAGTTTTTTTTTTCAAGTTACCTGCCATGACTCGTACCGTATCTTACTATTTTGCGACAAACAAACTTTTTTTTTTCTTCCTTTCGTTGCCGAATTTAATTCCAGTACGGGATCAATATTTTTCCATCCAAATACAACACTGTCGGACCGTCGAATCTGCAAACGGTGCCGGTATTTCAGTGTTTTCATACATCTGTACCGGGACGGTACCGGTACCGGCACCACCGCTGCAACTTTTTTTTAATTAATTATCCACTGCACTGTATTTCGATCGAAATCTGTAATATTGTCTGTTCTTTTTTATTGCTTTATTTAAAACATTGTTTTGTGGAAATAAAATCTTTCTCTCTAATTAAAACGCATACCGGTACTTTTTTACCCATATTTATTCCATTTATCCAATCATACCGGTACCCTTTTTTTTGGTGACCGAAGTTTTGTTGGGGTATTTGAAATTTTTTGTCAAAGAATATTTTACTTGGGAAAGGTATCAAATTGGTTTGTTAATTTTTATTTAACATGAATTGAGGTTCGGCTCAAAGTATCATGTTGTGTTTTAAATACTATGAAAAAATACGAAATGATCAAACCGTAAATATATACTACATCAGATCAAACCCACTAAAGCCGGGCATATTATTAGACACGTCCACCATCAGCGCTAGCGAGTTATTTTTTCTCGAATACGGTTGTATGTTTTCTGCTGCCATATTGTTTCAAACATCTGAAGATCCATGGCAACAGATTAGATTTATATTGCTGACATTCCAGGCAATAAGAGGCATGTTATAATAATGAGTGTCGTTCCCAGGTATGATGAGTTTCCTCTGGACTGACATTGTTCTCGAATATTCATCAATGGGAGAGAGAGAGAGAGAAATTTGTTATTTTGTTAACCAAAAAATACAGTCATCAATACAGTAAAAAAGTAGCAGCAATAAAATTGTTTTGGTATGGACAGGAGGGAGCGATACGACCATGCGGTCATCAACTCCCACCTTTTTCTCTTGTATAAATAATATTCAAATTTTAAGATGACTTAATGAAAAAGTTAATTGTCTTGTGAATAAATTTCTTGACTTAGCTCGGAGTTGGCATGTTCAGGTATAAGGACGTCACATACAGATACAGGCAAGTCTACAAGAATATTTTCGACAACTCTTTGAGGGGCATCTTGTGATTCTTCTCTATTGTGTTGACTGAATACCGTCGTAAGAGGACGAGGTGGATTGTATAACTCATTCGAACTATGACGTGGGGCAGGGGTTCTCAACCTGGGGTTCGCGAACTCCTAGGGGTTCACGAGAAGATTTCCAGGGGTACTTGGACGGCAGTCAAGTTTTTGTGAGTTGCTGTTTTTTAATATCCTTTATTACTACCAGAGGAAAAAGCGTGTCAATCTAGATTAGATAGAAACATAGATTTTCCATGATGTTGCGATTGTGACGCAACGATGTAAAATTCGCGGCTTTGCAGGCAAACTGTGAAATCTCAAAAGACAGCGAGCTGTGAGCATTGGAGAAAGTAATTATGCTTATCAAAACTTGGGAGAGATTTTAAGAATTCATTAGTTAGGCGAAGGGCAATAATATCAACACATTGATTTATCTTAGTTACATCTGGTCAATAAATTGTTGTTTCAACAAATCGTTAGTCAATATATCACAACTTTGTTCGGTGTCTGATTATGGGGGGTTCGCGTTGATTGTTTCGTGACTCGGGGGGTACTTGACAGAAAAAAGGTTGAGAACCCCTGGGATAGAGGAAGATAGATCATACTCCTTGCCGCAGTCATCTTCGTCCATTTCGGAAAGTGGTTTGATAAGTCGATTTGAGAACTCATCGTCCACTCTGTAACAACTAACAATCACTAGCTTTTACTTTGTGAGATTGTTTTCGTAATTGATTACCTTTAAATTTCCTGATGAAACACCACCTCCCATCTACTGAAACTACAATGTATCGGTCCCGTGCTCGCTTTTGTTCCGATCAGAATACACATACACCAGATTACCAACCGACAACTGCGGTACAGGCCCAGGATATCGAGGACATTTAGTTTTTTCGCTATATTTGTGATTCAGTAGTCGAGAAGCATATTGGCTATCGATTAAATTTTTGTCAGCCATGGGCAATTGTTCCATTGTAAATTGATCACGTCGGAACCACATCTTTTTAGCAGATAAACCTCGAGTACGTATACGGGAATTTACTTTCGACGACGACATAACTATTTGTTATTGCCTTGCTATATGGCTAACAACTACACCAACTATCACAGATGGGCCGGGCCTGGGCACTCACTCACTGGAAAATGATTGAAACCTAAATACGTTATGACGATTATATTCTGCATCTTTCCTGGCCTTTTTCGGTATGTTGGGCGCCTTGTGCTATCTTTAGTCTTTGCCCCGAATTCACTTTTTACAATCTTCTCCCTGCTGCTCACACTTCAATCTTACGCGCTCCGATCTCACATCACTTTAACTACCTGTCGCACGCCCGTCTCTGTTTTCTTTGGATTCGAACCTGTGTATGCGCATGATCGTTTGCGTAACAATCTTTGATGGCTCGAGATCTAAGATATCATTGTCTAAGATATCATTGTATTTAATTGCACATATATTATACACCTACCACACGCTGTTTGGCGACCAGTTTTGGTATTTAAGACTATATAGAAAAGCCATGTCGTATGTGCATCTATTAAATTAACCCATAGAGCGTAACTGACCATGAACTAATGATTCAATGCATATTTATCGATATATATATATATGAGAATGTGTGAATTGTCTGAATAAGGACAGTTGCCTATATAGATTTCCACAATACAAGCAATTCGGCTTCGGGGAACTGCTACATTTTTTCAATACAATAGTGTCAATTACTATAATAAAGAATATTGAGAAGGATATTCAGCTTTCACCGTGGAAGCTGTCGCCGTTCTATTTTTTGGGGTGGTATTATTTATTTTGCCTATATATTTGATATTTTGTTTCCGGTGGTTTGCGAGCAGCATCGTGATAATACGTGATTGCTTAGGTACAGCACTAGGATTGTTCCAGGCTAGTTTATAAAATAAGATATTGGTAAAAAAAACTATTCGGTACAGGGAGAGAGAGAGAGAGAGAATTTTTTTTTTTTATAGATTTATATGCCGTTTTCAATTCGCCTGTGAATATTCTAAACTTCATATGAGATGTAAAGTAGTGAGGACAATATATTTGAAAATCATATGGATGAATTCATTCCGTTCCTAGCGAAAAGCTGTTTATCGTCGTTCGAAAATAGTGTCAAATTCAGGTGGCTCATTCGTTATAATGCTTACACTACCAGCAAAGAAAAAAGGAAGTGGTTTGTTCGAATCAGGCACAATTCTAAGCCTTTGTACTATTCCCGCTAGGAAAATAAAAACTTCATCTTTGCAAGCTGTTCTCCTAAACAACGCCGCTGACCAATCGGAAACGGGATCACATGATTCGATTTGATGAATTTCCGTCGCGACCGAGAAATTTCTCAGATCGAAATTCTCACGGATTTTGGAAAGTATCTGAATTGAATGAACTGCCCATAGATTTGTACATACCCGAAGGAAAACGAATAAACTTGATTAGGATAGATGAGATCCCATGAACATTGACCGTTCATCTAAAAAAAATAAACTTTTGTTGGCGCTTTTACCAGCAATTACAAAAAGAAACCTGTCAATCTTATGCAAACATGATTCATCGTAACTGTTGCGACTACACGCGTGCATAATATAAGATCACTCACAGAGATATATTCAGTGTATCACACGCGTTTCAACCTTAGAACAGTCGTCATACTGAGCTCGACTTATTGCGCTGCTTTCCTTGAGCAACGATAGAAAAAGAATTCATTCAATCAGCTTTTTATAAAGACAGTCAGTCTGTGCCTATATTATGATGCGTTGTTACATCTACGGCAAGTAGATTGAATATTTCTCCCACTGATTAGTTAAACGCTATTAACTAACTCCCCCTTATCACATCGCTATAACAGTTGTTGTGCACGAGTCACTGAATATTAAGAGGATTGGTTGCTTTTTCATCTAAAAAGTCAAACGATGCTAGACAACACTGCAGTACTATTAGTATAATTGAAAAGCGCTAGACAACTGGTTACGATTGATGGAAAGAGACTTCAATAACATGTAAACAACAAAGAAATCTCTTGAATCGCAGATAATTGTTAGCTATCGTTTATTAGAGCTGGATATAGGAAACTGGTTACAACTGACAGTAATAAGTAAAAATGATCTTGTTTAGAATATAGAAAAACAACTGTAAAACTACATTGTAGGCTAAATATGAAATTTTGACTATAAAAACATTTGAGATAGCCATAAATTAATTCCACTGAATTTGTTTTAATCAAGTCGATTCTGACTGTTAGAAAATATATAGATTATTCTGATTTTAGTTTTCTGTAAAGCTATAGTGTTTTTGTCAACCAAATACTGTAAACTGTGACTATTGTTTTTCTCCAGTACGCGATTTTTTCACGAAAAAATATCAAGATTTGGTTGAATCTGGTATGCGGTATATATATACAAGGTCTATTGTGTAGACATACCGTACTCATTCTCAAATACATAATTTCTCTTTAGATAGAAATTGAGACAATATCGTATGTATAGTTTCGATGAGAAGAGTGGCTTAAAAGTATGACGTCATAATTTCATGTCATATCTATTATTTTCACAAACGTCAGTGCATTGGGCCACCTATGCACAACTATCCACGCTCATATAAGCAGTAATATAAAAAAAATAAAGTTAACTAGAAAAGTTGTTCAGTTTCTCAGTAAACCCCAGAAAACTGTAATCCATATTTGTTGGGGAAAAAAATAAAACAACTGTGCAAGATAGGCCTATATAATATTTATACTCAGAAATATGAACTAACGCCTTTCAAAAACAACATCAAAGACGGGTGGTTCGTATGTCACTATACTGCTACCACCGATATGGAAGGATGGAGGGGGGTTGTCTGGGTCGGGTAACACTTTCAGTTTTTGCACTATTCCGGTTAGGAAAAGAAAAATCTGCATCCTGGCCAATTGTTCTCCTAAACAACGACGAGGGCCGATTGAGAATGGGATCACGTGATTTGATGTGATGAATTTTCCGTCACGGTCGAGAAATCTCTCTGGTCTAAATTCTCTCGGATTCTCAAAATATTCAGGATCGTAATGTACTGCCCAGAGATTTGGAGCGATCTAAAACAAACGTATATCAATTAAATCACAATAAAAGGCGTGAATCTAATTCATTATGCATGACGAATGCTGTGATACTTACTGTTGTATTTTTTGGAATAGTATATCCATTTAATGTGGCTTCTTTGTTGGTTTTATGGAAAATGCTTAGAGGCACAAGAGTTCTATGCCGCATCAGTTCTTGTATGAAAGCACAAGTGTAAGGCATTTCATCTCTATGTCTCATACTTGGTATTCTGTCTTCACCTGTTTTAGAGAGTTTAAAGAATCAAGGTTTATTCATGCGTTTCAATGATCAGGAGATAAATGTGGGCGCACGTACCGATACAAAATTATCGATCACTTCATTCAGAGGAATTCTACCTACGTACCGGGACAAATTACTCAATTCTTCAGTGATTTTTCGACGGGGCATGGACGGAGTGAAAATAATTATACCAAGTGATTCAAGATTCTCGGTGAACACCGTATGTTAGTCGTTGGTGGACACTCACACATATATATCTATGTTTGCAAAGCTTGTCATCCAAAATAGAATTAGGTAAGCAAGACTCTTCATTCGCTGAACAGTCCAGAGATATCTAGTTTAAATTGCATAGTCTCTACAGAATTGTCTCGGGTTTATATATTAATCAAATATTAATAAGAGCTTTCTAACCTATTGCTTTTGCAACTTCTGCTGCTATTTTTTCTTGACATTCTGGATAGTGGCAGAAACATAGCAAGGTCCAGGTCAATGTACTGCTGGTTGTTACTGATCCAGCATCAAAAAGATCACGAATGTATTGGATTAGTTGGAGTTTCTGAATAGATTTGTGGTTACGATTACTATTTGTTGTATTTTGATTTTCCAATTTCTCAAGTACAACATCTAAGTTGCTGCTTTAGGTTACCTCAAGGAAGTTCTAAAGAACTTGTTGGCCTTAATTTTTATTAAAGCCATATAAACATAATGGCAAGATATTTTTATCAATTGCTTGATGTTGATGTATATATTATAATACGGTCAAATTTAACCTCAAGTTCATAAAATTAAAAAAAAAAGACAAACAGTTAATTTCAGGTTAATTAGAATGGTTAGTAGATCTCACATTGAAAGCTGGATCACCTTTTCCGCTTTTCTTTATTTCTATGAGGAATGCATCCGTGAAATCTCTGATATGATGTTCATCAAAACTAGATTCGTGTTCTTCGATAATGTCTTGCACGTATCCTGAAAGTCAATCTTAATAATGTGGCTGATTTGAAAAACAAACTAAAAATTTCAGAAAATAACTGTTACCCATAAAACTTTGTGCATCATCAGAAGTAATTTTAACAACGTTTCTGAAGGGCGGAATGAACCTTAAAATGGGAGCAAAAGTCAACACTGCCAACATGTTCGAATGGGGTGTATCTTCAGAGCTGCAAAAAAGGAAATGACGTAAAAGTGAAAAGTAGAAGAAGAATTTTAACTCTACTGCGTCTTTTAGATCGTAATTAGGAAATGGAAAAAAGATAATTCCACTTAATATTAATTAGCAAGAGAGCAATGCTCAAATACATTTGCACGAAAGTCGCGGTTCGGTAAGACGGTAAAGGTACAGTAAGGCGTTAGTTGTATACGAGCACCAGTTTGATGAAGAGATCGAGGGAGGAGCGTGACGGACTTAAGTTTTACAATAAATCATAAAAAAGCATTGTCATCGATAAATATAAAAACAATTCTTACAACTTTTGAATAATCTCCACCATATGCAGAAATATCTTGTCGTCATATTCGAATCTTGAACCAAATGCTATTTTAGAAATATTATTTGATACCGCGATGGTGAGTTTCATCTGAAATTAAAATAGGAAATCAAGACTATATTTTATAAAATGACATTGGTATTTTTTTACATTATTTAAAAGTTAAATCATATTTACCAGATAATTTCCTTTCTATGCGAGCAAATGTGGGATTCAGTCTATTTCTATATCATCAAGTGTTTATCATTACACAAACGGAAATAGAAAACAGGTCAAAGGACTAACCACATACAAATATGGAATGTAACAAGTACAGAGAAACCTATTCGATTTTCAAATGAACAATATGTGAAATATTACTTGCGATGTTTGTCCGTTTTTTGTTGTGAAATTTTCAACTAAAAACGGAGTCTCTTCTGTGATGGTCGCCTCCAATGCTGTTTTGCCAACTCCAAGTCTGAACAAAGATACATGAAGAAAGAATCAAAACAAATGTTTTAAATTGTTAGATGGTAGCAAGCACCCATGACGTACTTGGGAGCTACATTTAAACTTGTTGCAACAATTCATTCACGACAATTTGGGTGAAAGATTAAGATATTTTTTGATCTCCAGGAGCGCCATCTTGGCGCACAACGTGAATATAGTATGTGTACCAGGTTAGGGTTCAGACTGTGCGTCATCTTGGCTCACATACTTCGGGAGCGCCGATTTTTTCCATCGATAACATTTGAAAGATTCATTACCCTCTCAATGTTCTGTGACCTAACTTTTTCAATGCTCTCCAAGTTGGTCCGTAATCTGTTGCTTTGAATCCTCCATATATGGTTACCAAATCAAATATATAATTGTTGGTGCGCCCAGAAAACTTCTCGCCCTGTTTTACCAGTGCCTGATGCAAAAAAATATGTCGTTGTTATTAGGTATGTGTCAGTGTCATATACAGGCATTTAAAGTACAACGGATAATACAAGTCAACTGCTTCAAGTTTCGCTTCAACCAGCATGGCGCGTATTGGCTCACCATAATTTTACGTCGTGTATTTTGATGTTTTAGTGATCACTTGTCATTTTCCTCACAAATGAGTCTTTTTTTCTGAGTGAATTAAATTTATTTACCCATGAGCAAATTCTTTAGAAAATATCAAGTACAAAACAATCTTGAATATAATTTGCTATTGGATCGGATGATATGAACGATATAGTTCGGCAAAAAGCATTTATATTTGAATTTTCATCCCCTCGCCATAACTGCAAATAATATATATATACCAGTTGCGTTCTGAATCTGGCAACTAGTGCTACCGTGTTCGTAGAATCGCATGGGGAACTTTCACCTCATTGATGGAGTCGTAGCTATTCAAAACAACGCAATCGTCTCGGCCAAATTGAACCGCCATCACAGATCCGTATTTATCTTTCAATTTTCGCAAACCTTCTGCCATATTCTTCTCTAAAAATGGGATGTATCCAACCAGTGGAAGCCCATGAGGACCTGGCGGGAAGTTTTTAGGTCTTTTCAGGAAATAATAAAATAGTATCAACACCGATAAACCAATGAAAACCGTTGCATAATTTGAAAAACAAGTCCAATGCATGATTTTCGGCCTTTTATAGCTATTATTCTAAAATCTAAATGGAAATTCAATGCAAATGGTAAGTCAAATGTAAACTTGGATGTCATCAAAGCAAACTAGCCGTCGTATTTGTACGAGAATACAGACTTAGATTTGTTTGGCTTCTGTACTGGCAGGCCGGCATGTAATAGCTTCTATTCCTTTAAACAACAAAGTGTACATATATATATATATATATATATGGATTGTTTTCCGAATTGTTGTTCTTGGGGTTGCTATTGCTGTTGTTAAAAATAGCTTTTCTCCGCAACTAATTTGCCAATTAACTTCAAATTTTCAAGTACTCCATGACGGAGAAGACACTAGAAGACTACTTCCTATTCATTGACCCAATATCATCCAGTAAATTTACATGAATTGATTGATTTTTGATTTCGCGCAAGACCATTTCGCAACAAATGTTCGTGTTCTACATAGATTGTTTTTCAGTCCCCATTATATTTGTATGATACTGAGCCCTGTGCAATACCAGAAATACAAATCCCATTTCAAGAAAAACAATCCACTTGGAGTTCTGTAACAAAGTGAAACCTGAAAATAATGGGAATTTCAGTTACGTTAGGCCATTTCGACAACTGTTCTACCATATTGCTACTAGAATACTACCTAAATCTATCTAAGCCGAACTCAAACCTGGTCAAAATAAATCTAACTAAAATAGTAATGTTTTCCTTTCAATTGCGTTTTATCCATCTATATGAACAGAACGTAAAATATATTGCACCTGCTTGTTAATGCATGGATAGTTCATATCTCGATGAATAGAGTAGTAGTGTGTTGAGTTTTTTATGAGGTGTTTCACAACTTCGCTCGAAAAGGCACGGGAGAAGAAGTCAGTGATACAAACAAGCTAATGCAATTTTCAAAAATAATTCTAGAAATTGGTTTTCATGTATGCAAATGTGAAACTTGTGTGAACAGCTTTAAAACAACGCAAAAATTCCGAATAGACTTAAATGCCAAAAGTATATTTCTTAATCCATAATGAGTACAATATCCTCTTAAAACTCAGTTCATACTTTCACTTATAGTGCTCTGGTAATTGTCACACCCAACTATGACGGTATGGCTTATGTTAAGTATTTGTTGAGAATTATATTGATCACTGTAGCATGATGCCCATGTTACATGAATCACATACACTAATCTTTCCATAGTTTCCAGAGGCGGATGCTATACAGTAATGTATTGATGACACGTTCCAAATACTTTGTATCTGATGATGCCTCAAGGGCACACACCCTTTATATGGTTAATATCTTAATCTTACCTATATTATACAACGAGGTCGAAGTGTAGTCGATTCAATGAATATAGGAGAAATGCTAGATTCGACTCCAAGTATTAAACAATCAAAATATTTAAAAAATACCCTCTGGAAGACTGGGTTGGTTTCAATCGGGAAATTAGATTCCAACTTCTGACTTTTATGACATAGAGTTGGTTCAAGATTTAATTCGGCTTCATCTATCAAAATCTGGTTTTTAAAACTATTACTTTGGCTCTAACAATAATACTATGACAATGCTTGAATGAATGTCTCCGAACACAGGCCTGGTCTGTAAAGTTCATTCTAACTAAAATAATTATATATTTTGTAATTTCGTTTTCATCCATCTATTTCAATTCAACGTTAAAATAGGTCGCACGTGCTTGTTAATGGTCTATAACAGACAGATTGGTTTCGACCGCGATCGACTAAAATCTTCAAAATAGATCGCGATCGACTGATCGGTCATAAGGCTTTACACAAAAACGAATGGGCACTGAATGTGCAGATAACTACAAACAAGCATACAAAAAATTCCAGCGATGCCAATAAGAAGGCCTGGGGGCACATTATTATTAAATTCGACACAAAATTTGTTTTTTTTTATGTCCTATTTTAGTTGTTGTTTTGATTATATATTTGTACCCGGAGTAAATGTTTCAATGTTTATTTAAACCATACAATTCAGATAAAGGGCGTGCCTAATTTTTAGTCGTAAATGTTCCTCCAAATTTGCAATTCTTTGCTTGTTTAGAATTAAAACAAATCATGCATTTTGATGCCACTGCTACCATTGCAAAAAAAAAAATTATCACACTACTCTTGGAGTGAGACAATAACTTTTGCATACTGCGGAAGTTAGTGTAGTAGGATCGTTTATTGGCTTAGGCACGCGATATTCGGCACTTCATTTTTGAACCTTGGCAGCGGAAAAACTTGCATTTGTTACGTATTCATATGCTTTATCGGGCTTGCCAGACTCAAATATTCCACATATATATATATTCCAAATATTCCACATGAAGATGGCATCTTAGCAGGGGAAAAGTATTTCAACAAAAAGTAAAAAGTATCTCAAAAGTATCTCGAGAAGTTCCATGGATTAAAGAAGCCATTAATATGGTTCTTAATAATGATAGTTTTGTATTTGACCAAAATCATAATATCCAAATCAATGGGACAGCGATGAGAACTAAGATGGCTCCCAAATATGCAAACATATTTATGGCAGACTTAGAGTCTGAGATACTAGCAACAGCCAAGATTAAGCCACAATACTACTATAGATATATTATATCGATGACTGTTTTCTGATCTGGACACGCGGCGAAACCGAGCTTATAACTTTTATAAACTATGCGAATTCAATACACCCATCTATCAAGTTCACATTCGAATATTCAACGGAAAACATTGCAATTTTAAACGTAAAAGTCCATATCTCAGGCAACAAATTGGAAACTGAAATTTACACCAAAGACATGGACTCTCACCATTATCTTTTACCCTACTCATGCCACCCCAAACATATTACTGCGAACATTCCAAAGGGGCTCTTTATACGAATAAGAAGATCGTGCTCAAAAATCGAATTTTTCGACAAGCATGCCGAATTTATGAAAAGCTATCTCATGCAAAGAAATCACGAAGAGAATTCGATTGACAAAACAATGAAATTGGTAAAAGAAATGAACAGAGATTACCTTTTAACACCGAAAAGTAAACAACAAGGTCAGCAACTATTGCCATTTATTACCAACTGCCACCCAAACCAACCGCACTTCAAAAAAAAAATTCGGACTACTAATATATTCAATTGACAACAATGCACCACTAAAAGAGATTTTCCCTCAACCTCCGAAAATTGCATATAGAAAATGCCCTACATTGTTGCAAAAAGTTGCAAATCAAAATTTTATTTTTTATCTAATAAACTGTAAGAAATGTGGGATGCAGTATATCGGCGAGGCGGGAAGGTCATTAAAGTATCGAATAAAGGAACATCTTAGTAGTATTACAGAAAGGAAATATGATTTAGTAGTTGGAGAACATTTCAACAAGCTGGGACATACAATAAATTACCAAACAGTAGAAGCATACTGCATCTATAAATTTGAAACATTAGAACCCCAAGGACTTAATTCACGGGAGAAGTAGATTGTAGACTCATCTAATAAATATTATTTGATATTAATTTTCATTTTAACGTCATATAAGATTTAAATTTAATCATCACCCTTTTTTGTTAGTTTAGATTATTACTCGCCCCCTGATCGGCATTTTATTTCACTATTATTTTCAAGTGTCCCAAGTTTAGTTTTAATTCAAAACCTTGATTTATGTGCTTGCGATAGTTTTTTTTTGTTCTACTCGAAATATGCTAGATTGTTCATTCGTTCATTTATTATTATGAATTATTATTATATTTCAACGCTATTTAAGACCAAAATTCAGTAATAACTTTTATCTTATTTTAAAATTGGTCCTCACAAAACTAAGCATTGATTTACGTTTAAATGTTGGTTTGACTTCCTTATTGTTCTCTAAGTGCCCATAATCTTAATTTTAATTACATTTAGTTACCCATCATTTTCGTGAAAGCAATAATTTTTTAAATCACATCTGAAATGAGCCCTACTGATATTTGTGGTTCTAATTTTTCCATCATTACTTCTACGGCTAAATACAAATTAAAGGTTTATGCATTGTTACGTCATACTTGATTTGAGATTTCAAATTTAATTATCAAATTTATTGCTTGCCGTTGTAAACTGCTTGTCTGAGGAAGTCTGACTATGGTCGAACGAAACGTTACAGAAATACATTTGTGTTAGTGTGCAGCTGGACTCTTTATTTGGATAGAACTGGCAATTTTTGGGGGTATTTCAATAAAATTCACTCAACATCAGAGATCAGACGCGATCGACTACTCGAGAAGTGGCGATCGACGTGTTGGCCATCCCTGTGGACATGGGGCACAGTGGAAAATCAGCTCTCACAATATATCCGGTCTGCGGTTCGATGTTTGAATCCGCCCTTCGGTGACATGCTATGTCCCCACAAACGGACAACGACCGTGTACTGTAGTGTAGACTGCAGGGGTCCGCAACTACTTTTTGGCGCGACCCAAAAAAAATTTTCTAACTTCTCGCGATCCAAGCATTTGGTAAACATGTAATTAGTTATCGATTTTAAGACTATTGTCGACACTAGCATTTTTCTTGCACAAAATTATATGAAACTTAGCACATAAAGTTGTGAATAATAGCGTTTATTATGACTAATGCAAATTATAAGCTTTGTGTATACTGTATAATACACAACATATCAAATCGAGGTTTAATTTGGGAGACGGCAACTCGAAAATATTTTTCTACCTATGTATTGGATTTTTAATGAATTTTGGATGCTTTGATGTAAGATGGCGTTTCAATATCGCTGCTTTCAAACTGATAGTGGCGTTGATCCCCACTAATATAAGTGCTCCGTACGGAGCCTCAGGGATCCGCGAGCTATTCTATTAGTTCACTTAAAAAACTGACTTGGTTAATTTTGTGTCTGTGAAGAAGCATTACCGTCACTAATGAAATTTGACGACGGTGGTGTCGAAATATGGTGGTGATTCAAAAATAACATTATCTATAATAACTAAGGGCATAGCAGCCATGGTTTTCTAAAAGGGAGGGGGTTCAGAATAGAAAATTCCCGAGCAACACTCATCGCGATTAAACCACTTCTTAAAAAACGTCTTTTTCAGCGGATAACGAGATTTCTGTTGCGTAAAATATTCAATCCATGGCCGACCCGAGAATTTAAAATGTCTTGTCATATCAATTCAATTGTGTTCATCGTTGCTTGCCTTTGAGTTGACTAATATACTACGCCACTACGGCAACCATGAAATACTTGTTAATGGATTGAAATCGTATTTTTGAGTTGCTCTTTCAGCACTTAGGATTATCGCAATGTTTCGTTGTTAAGGGAGAGTTTGCAGTTATGAAGCTAATTATATTTGATACCTTCATATCGAATTCGATCTATGCATGAATGTATCAGTGATTTCTAGATGCAGTGATGAGACAAATATCGGCCGACACAGTAAAATACGTGCGGCCCGCCAATGACTTGCAACTTTCAATTTTGGCCCGCGAACGACAAAAGTTTGCCGACCTCTGGTTTAGACTTTAGGGCCAGTGAAGTTATACATAATATACAGTCATCCCAATTCAAATCCTCGGCCCACTGCCCTATCTCCCTCCACTTTCCTATTCTCGATTCACTGCCCTGTCTCCCTCGCCTCGGCCAACTGCTCCACCTACCTCAACCCTCCTATCCTCGACCCACCGCCCTATCTCCCTCAACCTTCATATCCTCGACCCACTGTCCTATTTCACCCAACCTTCCTATCCTCGACTTATTGCACTATCTCCCTCAACTTTTCTATCCACGATCCACAGCACTATCTGCCTCAAACTTCCCACCCTCGACCCACTGTCCGACCTCCCTCAACTCGCTTATCTCCGACCCACGGCGCTATACCACTCAGTACCTAACCTAAGGGCGCTATAATCACGACTCGATTGTCAAAATGAACTTTACCATCTTGCGACCAATCTCCATGTATTATACTGGTCGAGTATGCCAATGAGAGGATTCAATCGTACGTCGACAAAACATGATTGACGGCATTCGTAAATGTAAGCTGGAATCTCAATTGGTAATATCCATAATTAGTGGCTCAAAAATGTGCTACTAATTGGGCTACTGATGGCATCGGGTTTGGAGTCACTGTTTTTAAAATTTTAACATGCCATTCGATATCGACATATCTGAGTTCCAGAAACTCATTCAATGTCGCCTGTATTTCCGTGCAAGGCAAAACGATGAGGAAATTTTCAAATATTTGCACGCTTGGTCTTTTTCAACGAATGTTCTGCCATATCCTGCATTTTTTAATCCTACTCAGATAGGTGTATATACAAATTTCTTTTACGTGACTGAGAATGCTGAAAAGTCAAAAACAGTCAAAAATATAAGTCGCTCAGTGAGTGTAATCCCTTCCAAACTATTTTTAAACCATGAAATGTTTTGTCGTAGCTAGCGTTGCCAACTGCCCTTTAATTCAGCGTATAGTCCCAAAAATGAGCTTATCTTTTCTGCAACTTAATGAAGTTGCAAAGGACGCAGTTCGTACGTAATCTTTGTCATTGCTTTTACTATAAAATGTTTAAGAAAACTACTTTATACGGACCAGAGCACTATCGCTTATTTCGGATCAGCATCATATTGTCACAAGACTCACGACATGGCCAATTATTAAAGGCATGAAACGGCTTGTTAAAATTTAGAAAACTGTCATTCCCAACAAGAAACCATCAGTAGCCCAACTAGTAACACATTTTTAAACTGCCAATTGTGGTTATTGTTTACCATTTGAGATTCCACCCTACATATACGAATGCCGTCAATCATGTTTTGTCGACGTACGATTGAATCATCTCATTGGCATACACAACCAGTACAACCGATGGAAGTTGGTCGCACGATAGTAAAGTTCAGTGTGGCGATGGGGTCGTGAATAAAGCGCCGTTAGGTCAGTTATTGAATGGTATAGCACCGTAGGTCAAAGATAGAGAAGTTGGGGCAGTGGGTCGAGGATAGGTAGGTTGAGGGAGATATGGCAGTGGGTCGACAAGTGAAAGGTCGAGGGAGATAGAGCGGTGGTGATGATGGGCAGTATGTCGAGGATAGGGAGATAGCGTAGTGGGTAGAGGATAGGAAGGTTGAGGGAGATAGGGCAGTGGGTGGGGGGTAGGAAAGTTGAGGGAGGTCGGGCGGTCAGTCGGGGATAGGTAAGTAGGTGGAGATAGGGCAGTGGGTCGAGGACAGTTTTCAAGTAAACTAATAGCTCGCGGAGGCCCTAAGTGAGGCTCCGTACGGAGCACTTTGGGAACCTAAAGTCTACGCATATATAGATATAGCAATGTGAACAACTAAGTAACGAATGTTTCCCCGACTTTTGATCTCTTGAAAATTCCTCTTTACACTCTACCATTGCAAAATTATTGGTACTTATTTCAAGAATGGTTTTGCGAGTTTAGGATACGCTGATACGTCGGCGAATGGTACGTACAGACATTGGTATTTCTTTCATTTCCTTAGTTATCTTGTCTCCATTCATAATTTAACTCATTGCAATAGTTTTGATTAGTGTTTCTCCAATGGTGTGTGGTTTTTTATTTTTTTTGCGATTAAATATGCCACTTCATACAATGCCGTTTGAGAGATTGTGATATACCTTGTCACTGTTTTCTTTTCGCCTAGCAATTCTTTTTCTGAAACCAAGCTTTATAAATTCTTCGCTGTACTTCCGCTTATAAGGATGGTTCGAGTGATGTATTTCTATCCGATGAGGGTGAGGAGATGCGTCTTTTGTCGGGTGTTGATCCCCACTGCTTGAAGACGCAAAGATGTCTGAAGGTACATGCAGTGTTTTGTTCTCACTTACCGTAATTTCTCCGTTGTATCTTCCGCTCGCGGCTTTTTTGAAGTATTCTTCAGTAACCAGTTTGTCAACAATCACGAAAGACTGTCTGAATGGCAAAAGTATCTGAGCACTTCTGAAACGTTCATTGTTACCCAAATTTTGCACCTATGCTGATTGGCCAATGTTAAAGACAGTAAATAAGGAAGTGTATACTCGGGGAAAAATTCATAATTATAATCAGAGATTTATAAAGTTGTTATACATAAATACGCTACACAGACGCGATGCTCATATTTATGAAAAATCTAAATTGTTTCGCGACCCAGAGCGGAGGGCTTCGCGACCCAAATTTGGGTCGCGACCCCGTAGTTGCGGACACCTGGGTAGAGCGACGCAAGCTAAGAGATGGAAATGGTTTTGGGGGGTTTGAAACTACAATTTCACCATTCCAGTTTTTTTTCTTTCTACTTGAGCCTTTCCAACATGACAAACCGCCGTCTGATATTTTTCAGTTCAGTCCACTGAAAAATATTCATAACATTGGCGAGTACATGTGCCTTACTAATCTCGCCGTGGGACACTGTGAAAATACTTGTTTCCTATGGGGAACAATGGAAAGGGGTTCAGTGGGACATGCTCCAATGGGCACAATTCGACAGTGCTTTATCCATTAAGTCGGGGGTCGGCAACCTTTTGTCGCTCGCGGGCCAAAACTGAGGGTTGCAAGTCATTGGGGGGCCGCGCATATTTTTTAAAAGTCGAAAACCAAACGAATGATATTTTTTATACTGAAAATCAATCAGTGATACATCTCTCTCGAATAGAATATAGATTCATTTTCTCACTGCATCGTATCTCAAAAAATGCCATTTGAATAATTTCGGCGCCATTAAACCCTTAGCGTCAACTTTTATGCGTTTTGTTGTCATTTGTCTAAATATAATTAAATGATAGTCTCATTAAAGGAGTAATCGTGAAAAATATACTTGTTGTTGTTAGGATATAATTTAGTCTACACTACTACTATCATTCATTGAAGCGTCGCGGGCCGGATTCGAAACGCGAGTAACTTGGTTATGATCTATATTGGATGGAGACGCGCCACGCCACATAATCAAGCTGAAACACCGATTAGTTTGCAGGTCGTATACATCAGTCTGACCGGCTGCTTCCTATTGTGCTACAATCAAACCTATTCAGCAGTCCCTCAGATTATCTACATTTTGTTAGAAACAGCGCCTGGCTCTCATTGATGTTAGCGCTAATACAGCCTGTTACCGGTGGTACCGGTACCGGTACCCGTATAACATTCAGTAATAATGTTCAAATTATGAAAGAGTGAACTTTTGATGGTAAATTTCATGGTAGGATGGTAGTCAAGCTCAGAAACAGGTTATCTGAATCTAGAGTTGAGTCGATCACTGAGTTACTGGCGATAAGTCGATCACAAGCAAGACGCAAGCCACATCGAATCTGGAGGGAATGGTGACAAAAGTCCAACTCAGGTCGAGTCGAAACTTGAGTCTACCAAGCACTGCTGTTTAAAAATTCAGTATAATCACTCATTTTGATAAAAAGGATCATTATTTCCTATATATAATCATTTTCAGAATCATATTCTGTGAACGAACTAAATTCATTAGTTATTTTTGTTCTTGTCTTATACCTTTCCAGTGATAAAATCCTGCCAACTAGTTCCGATGAATTTAAAACTAGAAATTAATGTCATGAAACTGCCAACAAACTTGTAATGAAACAAAAGTAATTGGGCAACGAAAATTTTCGAAAAATACATACAGATTAATGCAGAGATATTTTGAGTTTAGAAATATACAAATATTACTGAAAATGGAATGATAGAATCAGTAAAAGAATTTAAAATGCCAGACATGACCCATGCCCGGATGATACCAAGGTATGACTTTCAAAATCCTTAAACGAGAGAGAATCAATCAAACAATCAATGTAAGTAGATACCAATAGAATACAAACTGCGAAGCACATTATGTTTTGTTTATAACTGCGATCATGTCAAATGTCAATCTTACAAACAAAGAAGTATGGAAATATATAATCTAAAGTTGCAATCAATCTAAAAAGGACTTCTAACACTCGCAAGTATTCTCAAAATTCTATTAAATATGCTTGCATACGCAAAAGCTTTCGTTCCTGATATTCTATTTTCTCATAGTTTGGAACTGGAGTCGAGATTATTTAACCCGGAGTGGGAGTCAATATTTTTCTCAACCCAGAGTCTGGAGCTGATGGTAAATTGGGGAATCCAAAGCCTGCCCTCAAGTGTGTTGCTAGGAGCCATACAATTATACCTGTAAGCATATTTCAATTCCAGTCAATACCAGATGTGATCGCTTGCAGTTGTTCCCCTAAGTTTACGTTTACAGAAGATACCAGAGGCTATTTAGAAAGTTCAAGTATGCTATGAAAGAAAATAACGAATAACGATAACAACGATAATATAACATATACAGCGATAAATGTCAAGAATCAGTGAAGAAGAATTATTTTATTATTTTAGATTGCAAAGAATGGGAATATTGTATTTTGCTATGAGCAACTTAAATAATCATATTTTATCAATATATGATTATTAACTTACACTGGAGTCATAACAGTTGAGTATCAATCTTAAAACAAAAAATATGTGATTGAATAAGTTGATAGTCAATTTTATCATTTCTAATATTGTGGGGATTATATTCTTATTTTGGTCTTCGCCACATTGAGTTTGTACCGCAAATATATTATTAATAAGTTATAACGAATTCATGCATTAAATCATATAATTGGCAAGTTATGCAATAATTATATGTTCAGAAAAAAAAAAGGAATCTAAACATTGTCAGACAAACTATTACTTTAGTTCATATTATTCATGACGGCGTACCAATTTTATTTAGGATGCTCGTCATTAATTTATATGGATGTTATGTATATTATCTTTGAAACGATTCCATTGTTACAAAGATATTGCCCTAACTTGCAGCAAGTACTGGATTTGAAAAAATATTTAAATTCCTATACTAAAGACTTTTGAGAAATAAAACATCTCAGAATGTGCGATGTTTTACAAATTACTGCATCATAGCTACACAGTTCCGAAAAATCTTTTGGCAAAATAACGTTAAGATTGATAAAAGATTCTGTCTTTGCGGTTTTTAGAACATGCTTTTTCATGGATTACAGAATTATTACATCATATTTAGAATAGCCTAGCAGCATTTAAAATTGACAATAATTAGACTAAAGCGAAATGAAAAAAGCATCAATTAGAAAAATGAGTTAGTTTCATCTCAGAATCATTTTTAATTCATCAAGATACACGAAAGCCATCCACCAGAAAAGCCTGATTCCATTGTATTTTTATGATCATTATTAACGGTGCTGATAGCAAAATCCAAAATGTGTTTGTGCTGACAATTAAATGGGTTAAATTTTGCAAATGATATCAGTAGTATGCGGTATGATATGAGTAATAATCTATTGTCCAGGGAACTTTCAACACATATGGGATTATATTGAAGCATTCAAGGTAGATTTTTCGAAAATCAGCAAAATTTTCATTTTCAATCTTTTTAAATTATTTTCGCACTCAACACGGGCAGTTATTCGAGATTTCAATTTATTTTTGAACAAAAATTATCTGAAATTTTGCTGTATGTTTTTTGTGACAAACACTTAAATCAAAAAAGGTCATCAACGTGTGATTATGGATCAGGTCCTCATAATTGCCATATTTAGCAATTTGCATACAATGCAAATGGGAATATTTCAATCACGAAAAAAGAAAAAAAATCAAAACTGACACATATTTAATGTCAGGTGATCAATACAATGGAATTACACTTAAATGGTATCATTAGCTTAAAACCAATTTTCATAGTCGTTTATAATCTATGAACGTTTTACTGAAGTTGAAAATTTAAACACAGAAAGCAGGAAATACTCAATCTTCAGCAGAATGTTCATACAATGGTTGAAACTGCATAACAAATCAATTCAAATTAAAGAACTCGAGAATATTACCTATATGCAATTTACAGTGGACATTGCCCTTGAAATTGCCATGTTTCTATTACAGCAGTTGAAAGTGAAAATTGAATTATTAATTAATTCCCTAAATTAAAAAGCTTTCTGCAAAGAAACAGAAAAACATGAGATTTTAGGTTGAAAATAAAAAATTAGGCGATATAGCCGTATATCTTGGATATGATAACATTTCAATGAGTTGAATTCTATTAATTTGCCTGTATCTGGAATAGAATTACTAAACCTTTAAATGTGTATGGTTCGTTCTCCCTTCTAATAAAAATTACCAAACTTTATTTTCAAATACATTCGAAAACATATATTCCCAATAGATCAATCTCCTTTTGTTCAATTTTATAATTTAGATATGTCAAAATTTTAATGAGGTTAATTTGATCCGTAGATATCAAATTCTTGCAAATCAACGTTGAATTTTCAAATAGAAAAAAAATCGAGTATCCCCAATTTTGAATGCATTTGAATCGTTTCAAACATCTTCACAGACTTCCACTTTCAAAATTTGGCAGTAATTGAAAAGTTATATTACAAGCTTACTTTAGGACCAAAATACATTACAGATTTTATTTAATGACTACAATGCAAACAGCTTAGTGGCAGGCTATCATATATGAATCAAAAAAAAAAAAAATGGAAATTGAGAAAACTAAAAATGAACATACAGTCGTAACATATTGAACTCTCAATTTCAAAACTGCAAAATAATTAACAAATCTAAATTAAAAAACAGCGGTGTGGACTCTTTCTATTGCAAATAAAACAGTTTTACGAGTTATCAGAGTAAGATAACATATTACACTATAGTAAAACGTGATATTATGCTCGATTCGTCGTTTTTACGATTTCAGGTCAAAAGTTTGCAATTGCAGCAGATGGGAATGCCCCAAATACGCGCTGTGAATGCTACAATCAATAAATACCTGCTTTATGTGACATAGTCAAAAAAAAGGTGGCAAAAAAATTTTCAATTAATATAAAACAGAAGTTTGATTTTCCTGCAATAATATTGCATTGCTAAGAACAATGCAGAATGAATTCATGGCAGTAAAGGGTTAATGATAATTACGACTCGAAATAACAATTCACTTGGTATTCGGGCAAATTGAAAAGTTGATTGTAAATAATGACATGTTTATAGATTATATTGCATTTCGAAAATATATCCAATATGAGTGAATTTTGTATGATTATGGATGAATAAACATGTATTATGGAATATAGATCGAATATGTCATCCGAGATGATACATAGATCATCTCATCATACTGACTTAACTCGCGATAGTATTGACAATAAAAATGTATGAAAAATTAACCAGAAGTACAGACGATAATAATTATTCTATTTTTTGATAATAATATTTTAGTTCTTGGAAAACGTCTTTAATTAAAGAGAATGTTTACAGCAATGAGGAATAAAATAGTTTCGTGATATAAATAATTTTAATATCACGCATTTTCCTTCGAACAAGGCCCTGTAAAAGCATTCGCTGATATCCGAAGTCAATAAGTGAGTAGCAGACATAAATTGCAATAAATAGAAGTGTGAAAGTATATGACAACTATTTAACTAATTTGAGTTGAGTTTGGTGCCAGACTGAGAGAAATCAAAATCAATCCGACTTTTGCTGCTTATGTTTTCATAAAGCACAGATTGAAAATTATCCAAAACTGATTTATAAATAAATGAAGCAATCTGGAAATTTTTCAAAAATAAAATACACATTATGATCAAATACAACTAAAGCTGAATGCTTTATTTCATGAAAAAATTCATGTATATACTGTATAGTAATTTCAGTTAGTTGAAGCATATCTTACTGCAATTACGAAGGAAGATATTGAAAATTGGAAAAGGTATGGTAAGAAAAAATCAAAATAAAATCAATGCAACTATAATAGCAATAACGTTTAATACAATAATAACAAATCTGCAAACTTCAGTAAAATATAGCAATTAAGTATACATGGCAATAAGAGTTCCAGCCGATGATACTCGATCAGGCATGAGCAGCATATGGATGCAATTAAAATGCTTGAATTATCCTCGGTTTTAGATTGATCTAATGATAAAATTTGTTCATCAGCGATGTATTCTTTGATTTGCTACTCATTGGTGTTTCTTCATCAATCCGTTTTTCCGGCTAGAAAGAAATTTAAAGACAATGAAAAAACCTTTCAAATTTTATTTGTAATTATGATTTTTCTTAAAAGTAAAAATTTGAATGCTTCATATACTTCAGGATCAAAGAAATATCAAAATAACATAAATAACTTCTTCTGTGAAATTTGCCATAAGAAATGCATAAGAATTGCATAAGAAATGTGGCTGTAAAATTAGGCTTAATTTATATGCTAAATAATAAAGAGTTTTTAGAATAAATTATAAAGTAGAATTTTGAACTATCGATTTACCAAGACATGAGTGCAGGGATGATCAAAACTGAATAAATAACTATTCCACATACATTCCAAAATCTTGTTTTCAAAAATGAAATTTCGAATATGTCAATAGAAATATGTTATTGTAAATTCAGAAAAGTTGAATAAGGCAATGTAGGAAATTGAGATATACACTTTTTTTTACAGTATCAGAAAGATTCAGAAGTTGGATGAAGTCTATTTTTGTCATACTCTCAGATGTCAAATGCTCAAATGGAAAATTTTCCAATGTGGTCAAATTTTGAATTCAAACTTCTGAGCCGTGAATGTGCCTACTCATATAATTACTCAAAAGTCAAAAATATAACTTGAGGAAATACCTGGCATCACCATTGCCCATTTCTTGTTTCTTCTTGTTTGAATTTCCATCAGAATCACTCGATCTCTGAGGGCCTTTGTCTTCATCATACTCTCTCACATCTTCAACTTCATTACTTTTTCCCGTCACAACGTAATATGCCATAATTACGATGAACTGAAAAAATGAATGGTACAGATTATTTTTTAAATTCAGAAACAATTAAGACGTCGAGATTTGATTCGAAACCAATATATTGGAAGTCAAAGATTCATATACATTATTGAACACACAGTAAAGCTATGGAACGTTCAGGAAATTTTGGTTGCAGAAGAACAAGGATTTGTGCCCTGGTCATTTTATATTTCCGCCTCAATATTGTGTTATGGCTCAGTTAAGTGGTCACTTTTCTAAAAAAATATCATCCATCAAACATGCTAGAATACCAGTCAATCATGACCAAGTATTCCACACTAAGGATTAACGAAATAAGCAATATCGCCATCTAGGAAAAGAAATCCAATAGGGAGCAAAAATCACATTGTAGGCAAGTCTGAATTTTAGAGAAACTTGTTTTGCATATGAATTGTATCTGGCAAAAATGTCTTCGAATATTATTAAAAGTCTCGATAAAGATCACCAAGCTCATCCACGTTAGAAAAACACAGTTTTTGTATTATAATTAGTGTACGTTTAAATAATTTGTAATGAATTTTTCTAAACTTTCATGTTTTTTGTATTGCGTCTATGAAGGGCAATAGTAAACAGGAGTTTGAGAACTACTGTTCTTCGCTATTATAATGTATTATTAGTTATTACCATATCATAATATATTGAAATCTAGTTGAAAGACTTACGTTCATCAAATACATGATTAGCGTTTAAAAAATAAATGAAGCGGTAATCGGGGAATTAAAGTAGCCTATTATAAACAGCACGAAACCTATATTCATCCCACCCACATGAGCTATTTAGCGAACAAATGAGAAATGTTAATCTAATTATAATCATCATCCATCAATTATCAACCATCTATGTAACAGACTTCAATTCTTAACAATTGTTATCATGGTGATTGTAGTAAGTAGATTACAGTACCTAACAAACCATGTTCGATTTACAATCGGCCGATTATAACCCATGTATGATAAAGCTTACTTCCAAACAGCTATTGACAGCTGCAATATATGTTCAATATACTGAACAAATTAACACTGTGTGATATAAGGCAATAACCATATGTAGTATATTGCCAATATAAATCTCAGAGGTATTCAATCAACTAGAAAATTGTGGATTCATGCTCCATTTAACAATGAGCTGGAAGATGAAAACAAGAGAATGAAAAGTTCATCACTCTATTGAAGTTTAAGAAGAGATGTATATAGGAAAATAAACTCAAAATTTACTTTTGAAAAAAAAGGAAATATGGGAAAAACATTCGAATCATTCATTTTTTCTAGGGAATTTTTTTGCAGTGATTTGCAAATATGAGAGCAGTGCTCAAATATATGGAAACGAAGGTAATACCACAAAAGTGTTTCCATGGATTAAAAAAAAACTAATAGAAGCAGAATTTTGGGTAAAATTTATGTTCGGTAAGACCCCCAAAATAAAAGTAATAGCCTTCTAGTAAATTCTTCACATACAGTTGTTAGGATAGACAATTTTTTGACAACATCAACAATTTAGAATTGTGCCCTTTGTTGAGTACGACCATATCTAAAATATATTCCATATTTAAAATATTATTATTTTAATAAAATGTATTTGGAGTAGTATATTGCCTACAAGCTTTGCTTTGTTAAGTCTTATTTTAGAAAAATATCAAATTAAAAAAGAATAATTGCGAAATAATGTATTGCCGCAAAGCGTCCTTGGTTTGAACAAACTTACATACAGTAAACAACAGCGTGTGATCGTAGTACGCAATTCAATTAACAGAGTATTTACAGACACAGTAAAATAGTGTCGTATTACTCCTGCTAAACAAATACTTTTTAATGATAAGGGGCAATGTCCACTTAAAAATAGTTTGTTATTCTAGAAATTGTAATAAAATTTCCCAAATCAATTCAAAATGAATTTCTGATACATCCTAATGCTTAGTCATCAAAGATTATTACCAAAAAAGTTTTGTTTGGAAAATCAACTTGTCAAAATTTGATGATTCATACATACAAAAAGCTGAAAATTTTTTTTGATGATGACATCAATAATCAAATTTCTACACAATAATAAAAAACAATAAAAGATGATTAATAAGGCTGGGAGCTATGACTCAATCTGGGATGTATTAGGGAATTAAGTTCATAGGACAGGGGGCCACAAAGCGGTTCACTGGGGTCTGGGGTCATAAGAAAAGGTTATCAATAGGTTCCATTCGTGATGACTAGATATATTTCATCTAAATTGACTGAGATTTGTTTAATTACTTGACTGTATGCGTGTATGGTATTAATCATTTTTCTCACATTTGTTTGATTCTTTATCAAAATAGCTGGTGCATAAGATAACAGATGAAAACATGTGAAATGCAAAATCAGGTATTTCTCCAGAAAAGCATGTGTCTATCAAGTGCTGAATGTCTTTGGAGAAAAGAATTCATAGAAGAAAAAGTTTGAAAACCACCTTCTTAGGACAATATAAAAATCTCGAGTGTGACATGTCGGTGGTACTTGCGTTAGCATCAAGAACTGAATGTTTGAATGCCGAAAACTAATGTTTTCTTATATTTTATAAATTTTATTCAATAAAATGTACGTGTGAATTTTTGACGTGTGGGACTTTTAACCATTGATGCCAATATAGACATTGTAACATATCAGAAATGATGACAAATATTTCAATAAAATTACCAGTAAGTATTAAAAAATATTTTCAAGCCATTATTCAAATATTCAATTTGCTATGGACATACCCAAGAAAGGGTAGACCATAATGTACCAAATTTAGACATCCCAGCTCATCTGCATTCTATGGGCTGATAAGGGCTATTGCAATTTTACGATTTAAGTTATTGTCTATGTTAACTGAGGCACAGAAATTGTTCATTTATGACCAATGACCGCAAAAAAGAATGCTATAAATAAACCGCAGACAATTGATGTTAATAGGTTATTGTTGTTTTAACTGATAGTTGTTTTAAATCAATGGGTTAGCGAAAGAATGAAAAGAATTTCGATTCATCACCAAAAAAGAATAGGATTTAAACGCATACGCCACTAGCTTTATACGACAGTTAATTTTTATGGCAGCAACTTGTGAGGATTAAATAATAATATAGATTAGAGAACAATTTCATTCAGTATCATTCAACACCAGTCGATCTAATATTATCCTCATCCCCCACGATGCTTAGCATATTTCCTTACTGTTTCATACAACAATAAACCTAGATTACATTTCCTATGAACCTATGTCGCTGACAAGATGTGATTAGTCATATCATTATGGTTTTATTCTGCGATGATTCGATTTACTTTATTTCTCCTGTCTGCCATTAGAAAACTCATCAACTACGTTAGTAATGAGTCATTCCCTGTAACTCAAAATAAAGGGACAATATGGTTTCACAAAACTTTGGGATATTTCAATCACGAACCATGAGATTATTCAGGAAATCGCTTTATATGAGATAGAGATTTTCGATATAGAAATCCCTGTTATCAACGAAATGGTTAATAGTGCGTAGCTATTAAATCCACATAAAATCTCAAGTTAATAATGATGTAGGTTCTATAAGATTAAACTCTTTCAATAAAAAGATTCTTTATCAAGAGTGTAAAGAATATTCAATCAATTCCAAATTGATAAAACTTGATATTTTAAATGATCTGATTTTTGGAACAATCTAGAATATTTTTGTGTCATTTTGATAAATAGAACTTTCATGATGACCAAAGAGGCCGTTTCTCTGAAGAACCAATCAAAATGGTTTATCTTACCAAGTTACCATTTATGTCTCATAAAAACTAATTTCTGTAAATTTGAGAAACTTTTTATGTTGAACATAAACAAAGCCGTAATTTTATCTGAAATCAAATTTATGATATCATCAATAGTGATAACATAGCTAAAGATAAGACTTCAAGAATTTGCAATTTTTTCTTTTGACCTGCACCAAAATCATTTTAGTGAGTTTAATTGTTATAAATGAAGTAAAACCAGAAAGTAAATGGTTAATCAAATTATCAAAGACTGAAAATGTTGCAGAACTAATAATAATCACAATTTTAACAAGGAATTACCCGTGAACTTGGGTGAAATTCAATATTACTGCAATGGAAGGTAAACATTTGAAAATTATTTTATGTGCGTCAAAGACCAATTTTATAAAGCAAAAGTAAAAACTCGTTCTAGAATCACCGAGAATAAAATATTTTTTTTTTTTAAATCTCATTCAAAAATTCGCTGCACTACAAAAAAATGGTGAATTCACATATCTAAATACGTTTTACCACAGAGTCACTTCCTATTCTAATATTGAAGCATGATATGTTGAATTCATATAGTACTTAAAGGAATAGTAGAATCCAATGGTCAATAAATGTCGAAATTTTGGCACAAAAGTAATTTTAATTCACAATGAATAATTTATAATAATCTTTATCTGTCTATCCAATAATGTATATTTTTGTTAAGCATGGCCATGGAAAAACATAGTTTTGGACACCCACTTTTATAGACGGCCAGTTTTAAATCATACATAATTTAAAACCAGTAAAAAGAGTGACTAAGCTACCAGATGGTAAGGGGTTGCCCGTTTAGGGTGAAGTCATTGAATTATTTAATTGACCTATGTTTTAAATCAGAGATGGCCAAAACAGAATATTGTAACATTCTGAATACATTCTAAGTAATATTTTGAATATGGAATATTGAGTCTCGTTCAAATTTGAACAAAATGAATTTGGTAAAGCAAAATAGTTGGCGTTTCAGAAATGGATGTACCAATATGGACAGACAGTCCCTGAACTCGTATTAAACCTAGAGTAAGGAAAATCGGAAAAAAATTATGGCCTAACCCTAACCTGGTACACATACTGCAGGAGTATCAAAATGTTTATATAAATGTCGTACTGATTTATTTTCTATTGTTACACTCTCAGAAGTTGATAATGTTTATTTTTGTCTTAGGGATCAGATATTAAGTTGGCAAAATCACCAAAAAAGTTTTAAAGATGCCATAATTGTTTTAAATTATTTTCAAAATCAAGAATTTACTATTAATAAAAATATAACTAATTTCAGATGTATTCAAATTCCGATTCATTTTTGACAATTCACTTTCGAATTAAAAATAAAATACATAAAAAACTGAAATGTCAGAACAAAATTTAAAATCATTCTCATAATATTCTGAATTTGCCTAATTTATTAAAATCAGTTCTATAAAATCAAGTCAGCTCCTTGAATTTAAAAACTCAAAAAAAAAAATTTTTTTTATTCTGTATTATCCAACGATTAGTCAAACTTAATTAAAATATAGGAAGCAAATGAAAAACTATTTTCCAATTCTATTGTAATATCCAAAATTAACTAACCTTCGAAAGGAATTTTGAATTTTAATTTATGGTATATAAGTGCCCATTTGTTGTATTGTGAGAGAAAGTGTCAATTATAAGACACAATTATTGTGACACCAACCGTATTATTAAGTCCATCTAAGAAGAGTTCAGTTCTGACGGGGAACAAAAGTAATTTTCAAAAGAAAATATTTGAAAAATATACCAGCAATAAATAAACAATGAATATAGTAAATAGCTTGCTATCATCTTGTTGGTGTTAAAAGCAATGCTGGAGAGTCAGAATTTAGCACATTTTCACTGGCGTTAGAGTCGCATTTTCAATTTTTCTGGGGTCTAAATTGCAGACTTTTAAATGGTGATAAAATAAGTCAGCATTATAAACAAGTCTTGCATGTACCAAAATTATCAAAATTTATGTTTACAAAGTCTGAAAATGTAGTCAAAATCATTTGCAGCCCCGAAGCAGAAATCAGGGTCAAAAATTTCTTAACCTAGAGTGAGGGGGGTCAGACCCATATTATTTTTTTTTACCCCATAGTCGAGAATCGATCGTGAATTTTCTCAATCCTAGATAACAGCATAAGTACTCTAAACATAATGCACATTCCCCAGTGGTAACTGAATACCACATAAAAGTAGTTTTCCAGTCTTTTTGAAATGACTCCAAACTCATGAATATTTCAACATGCAAAATACTACAAAAAGCCTCATGAATATCAAATATGCAATAATGTGAAAAAACATCTGAACCTAGCAGTTACTGTGTCCAACAGTGTGAAACATTATGTTGAATTTTAAATAAAATATAAGAACAATTTATATTCAAGAGACATGTTTCGAGCTTGAATGAATGCTTGAATAAGATTGTCAAAATTTTATCATAAAAATAAAAAAAATTCCCTTTTTCATAATACATGTTTTACTATGCTTTCAGTCACTAGCTATACCTAATGTTTGACCATTATATAAAAAAAAAATTTTTTTTGTAACAACATTGTCTCAATTGTATTGTCATCTTATAAATGCCATAACAACATTATTTTCAGTTGCTGCATACCAGAACGAATAGTCCATTATTATTAGATTGAATGAAGACTGGCCTTAGTACAATTTTTTCATTGCTGAAAACTTAATACCTTTTTCGAGACTTTGCAGGTCATCGAAAAACAATGCGAAGGACTGGTAAGTGGTTCGTCATTCAACAGATTCAATTTATATAGTTGAAAAATTATTTGAAATTTGTAAAAGCCAATGATGGCAAACTATTAAAATGACTGTAAATCGTACAGTCTCCAATTGCAAAAACAATTTTCAAAATAAAAGACCGAGTACTGGTAATATTTACTTACTTTAAACCAATAAATGTTCATTCCTAGAAGAATCCATAATAAAATGTTGAAGAACAGAAAAAACGGAGGTTCTTGTCCCATAACAACAACACTTGTATGTCCTGCAGCGTACAGTGCTTTCAATGGATACCAATACAATCGAAATACAAACCTAATAAATAAATTTTTTTTTTTTCATTTTTTTTTTCTAAGCTACTTCTGAAGTCATGTTTTTATCAATAGTGAATCACGATCCAGAGTACTTACCGTACTTGTGGTCTAAATGCATCATTGCTATCATTATTTAAAAAGTGAAATTGAAAAAAATGCAAATTAGACAAAATGTGTTGAATCGCACAGATAATAAGTGGCAAATGGTGAATGTACATGAAGTAAGATCTCATGCCCATTACCTAGGTCAGAATGTAACAAATTTGATAGGCAATGGAAAAGATTCGGGTCCTTCTAGTGAGGTGGTTCCGAAACAGCGGCCCCCAGGCCAATTACCGCCGGCGTAACGGTTTAATATGGCCAGTCGAACTCTAGCAAAATATTCTACCACTTCATGTTTTTACCTTTTTGCGTTCTAGAAACAGCTAATTATCGACCCCTTGTGGGCGCTCCCCTCTCTCGACCTGCGAATATTCTTCCGCTTCTAATTTTGGCCCCCGGTCAATCAACTTCGGGAATCACTGTTCTAGTGTATAGCCTTGTTCGTAACGTAGGTTTGTAAAAAAATGTAAAAAATATCAAAGGATTTACCAAGCTGTGCCGAACAGTACAAATCCGATTGTAGAAATAAAGTCGCATATTTTCGTCCACTTTCCTCCAACAGTTTTATGATAAAGAACAAGTTTAGTGAATTCTAAAATAATATCAGTGATGTCGTGGAAGAAAAGTACCAAAATTCCAACATTCGTAAACCTGGAATAGTCAAAACAAAATCGTAGTGATAAGTTCTCGTTAATAGAAGGTAGGAAGTTATGATTGAATGTCTCAAGTTTGAATTCCATGCCCAACATTGTTCAAAGCAGGTAAAAAGCAGAAAAGTCCAAAACGGGATGACCCTGGTAATAGTTACCACACAAGACACTCCATAAAAAATAGGTTTTTTAATGAAATATTTAATTCAAGATTATATTAAATCATGAAATGCCCATTCTCCAAAATCAGAAGTAGCAACTTAGAAATTTTATTGTTCTTCCAGAAAATAAGTGACATAAATTGTGGCAAATAAAATTAACAACAAATATTAGAATATCAATAATTTTGTATCTTCGCTGAACCTAAATAGCTATTTATATACCGAAATTAATTATTAATTATTCACAGAAAAAAAATCGGCAAATATCAACAAAAACTAACCTGAAGATATATGAGAATCCCACTAGAAGCAATGTTACAAAATGGTGAAGAAGCATGACGACAGAATCTTTCCTCCATACATCCATGTATAATGTTCCGTAGACAGAATGAAAATAGAAACTTAGTTGAACCATGTAAAATGTATAAATATCTTGAGGCACATCCTGCCCATTCTTCCACCCTGGAATTAATTTATGAATGAATACAATTTAGGAAAAAGGCAAAAATCATCTAAGCTCAGCATTTTACTACATTTGGGCATTCGGAAACAAAAACACTCAGAACCTGATTGGTTTAATACAACACTGTTTCAATTCACATATGGTGTCATAATGGGTATTGGGGTTTTTCTGTGAACAAGTTTCTAAAGCATTTTCATATGACCTTGTCTGGGATTCAAAAAAGTCTATTCACTCAATGGCTATTACTGTTCAAAGGAGATTCAGACTACTATGATATCATAATGAGAATTTGTCATTTTGCTTACAATGACTATAAAGCAATTTCATAAATGAATGCAATACAGTCAACATTACAACAGAATTAAACAAATGACAGACATTTAACTTTATATTAATGTGATCATCACAAATGGCAAATAGTAAAGGCTTTGGCTCATGGCCCCGGAAAATGGCTCCATTATTTGTAACTCAAATCATATTACTTTCAGCTTTATAATCGAGGCATTAATATGCTTAGAAATTTAGTATTCCAGAAATAATTGCTAGACTCGTTTCCTGATTCAAATAATCTTATTTAACACTACTATACCCAGGGATGTCCAAAAAGTATTCGAATACATTTGAAATTGGGTTCAGACCAGAAACAGAATTTTATTCAAACTTGTAATTTGTAATAATTGTAAAAGTCAATTGAAACAATCACCTCACCCAGAATGTAATAAATTGAGTATGCAATTCTAAACCAGAGAGATTCTGGCCCTCTCAACTTATATTATCTCCTTACCTAGAATTGGCTGCTTGCGCAGAGCCTTGTTTAGAGTGAAAGGTATATGATATTATGATAACCTCATGAAGGTCAATCTCTAGATTTTCACAAATCTCTCTGGTGGATATTATTCAAAATAAAATATATCCGATATCTCATATTATTAAATATCATTTATTAATATATTCAGTCCGTCTACCAGAGCAGGATATATTTTACATATTGATGTGGAATTTTTCATATTATGAAAGCCATTGTCTGAAGGCTATTCTATCACTGTCATCTATACTATAGAAAAAATTGAACTGGAATTTTAGGGTTAATGTGAAAAAGTAATGAAACTTACCATAAAACGTCAAAGGTGGATTGAAGAAAAAATCATATTTGGTGAAGAATAATAGGTAAACAGCATAGCACCACGTTGAGGAGTAAAATAGCAATTTCCATAAACTTTCTGGAGCTTTTCTTCTTTCATTTTTTCCGAGTTTATTTATTGAGAGAAGAGGCTGCATATATAAAACAAATATTTCAAAATTTGTAAAATTTTAATGAGCAGGGAAGCTCAAAAAAATTTGAATTGAAAGTCATTGTTTTCGATATTTTGAATTTTTTATTTTGTTAAGTTTCCATTGGAAAGTTACGAGCAATATAAATCTCACAGTTCAACTAAAAAGGCGTCAATAAAATTTCTGAAAATTTTCTATTAAAAAAATCAAATCAAATGATTGTATATTTTAATTCTCGACATTTTTGAATTTCCAAATTCAAGCTTGTTGAATATACAGAGTGGTCGCTAGAAAAGCAGAAAATTTGATGGTCAGATGAGGTCATGAATAAAATGAGTGCTTACTCATTTATTATTCAATATGTTTCTTATTTCTTTTAGGTTCTGTGTTGTTTAAGATTGATACTTTTTAAGTTCTTTTTGATTTCTATTTTGACACCCACATCATGGAAGGAGACAGGAAACAGCTGTTACCAAATTTTTTTTTCTGTTTCTCTAGCGGCCACCCTGTATATTAACTTCGAAATGTTCTCTACTTAATGTGGTCCACTTTAGAACACCAGTATATCCAATACTCAATATTTCAAGATTTCAATTTAGAATACATTCAGAATAGTGAATTAATAAGTCATCCCTGTCGAAATGCCTTCATTTTTACACATCAGGACACTGTTTACGTGACAAGTTCTTTGATCAAACACTAATAATGTTTGTAGAATGTAGATTGAGCAATAGTTCTACTTGTTCAACATGACCTTTGGTTTTAAGAAAGGTAACAATGTACTGTATATCAATCACACATGTTAATCAACAACTTCATGATTGCTAAGATTATATTTGCATTACAGCAAACTGATTGTAATTCAAAATACATAAGTTCATTGCAAATAAGAGATAGTGATAAAGCGAAGGCCATTTCATATTAAACACTTTAGTGGGTGCCTGTGAAAAAGTTCTAGTAATTTTGAGATATTTCCATCAAATATATTATCTTTTCAATATTTTAAAAAGCAGGATACAAGAATTTCAAGATATGAACTTTTCATTTCATTGTAATATCACGATTTTTTTGAAAGTATGGAGTAAAATTTGGCATATATCGGGATTTTCTGAAACTGGGCCATTGGCTCCCTAGGGGGCCACCGAACAGGTCTCTCGGGAGGGGGGGGGGGGGCAATAAAGATAGGCCTCCATAGATACCATGCACATTGCCTTACTTTAATTTAAAGTAAATTGACTGTGATTTGTTCAATTTTTTGACTGTATGGCATTTATTCTTTTGCTTTTGTTGGCTGACTTTTTATCATAACATGTGTCAAACACAATGACCGATGGAAACGAGTCAAAAGCAAAACTAGGTACCGGTATGTATAAAAAAAGAGCATGTGCGTCTTTGGAAGGTGGCCACAATTAAGAAAAAACACTGGCATACATCATTAATTTTACAAAAAATATAGCTAATTAGGTTATTTGAAATGAAATTAATAGAAATAATGTATTTTAAAATAACAGAATATCAATATATAACTTGTTTCATGTAACCATCCTATTTCAAGTATATGCAGTCGAAGAAGGACAGAAATCAAATATAAGATAATCATCGGGATAAAATAGATATAATACTTTTAGATAGATTTGGGAACAAATTCTTTAATCAAATTTGCAAGTCACTTGACAACAACATGTTCATGGGGTAAAATCTTTTTTTTTATAATGCCTTTGTTTGTGTAAAATAAGATTTAATCAACATTTTGACCTGTATGCAATATGTAAATAGAGATTGCATACAAATTTAAACCTTAAGGGATTATTCATAAAACAAATAATTCATGAATTCCCAGTTAAAGTTATAAAGAAAAATAATCTTTTCAAATTACAAAACTGTGAAAGAAAAGATCATTTTGATTTTGCTATATGAAATTAAAACGATCTGCAAAAAAAGTATATTACCTTTATAAAACGGTATAAACAAAAATATAACCTCACCTTTAATAAAAAGACAGTGGTTACATATCGGAGCAATGTCCATAAAAGGGCCAATCCGAAAAATGTAAAGATGTCACGAAGTGATATATTTCCATATTCTCTGACCGTATTTGACAATGACTTTGGTGTTAAATCACTCGACGATAAATTTTTGTATGAAGTTGAAAGTGTCGAAAATACATCGCTAACAAATTTTTGATATGTCGGCATCACAAAATTGTACGACATATATTTAGAGTCAATCACAGAAACCATATTTGAAGGTTTTTTTCTTAATTGCTGCACTTCGAAAACTTTATAAAACTAATCCTCGTCAAAAGCACTATATTAAAAAACAGGAAACATCGGGAATGCCCTCCAGTGTCTATGCTTCTAACTAAGTATGTACAAGACTTTTCAAAACAAAAAATTGATTTTTAAAACCTGTAGAAATTCATAGAAAAGGGTTAGAAAAATCTTCTATAATCGAACCCATTATGTGGTAATTTAAAAAAAGTATGTTTTTAAGGAATAGCACAATGCACAAATCTCAGATAGACAAGATAATAATGATACTGTACAATTGCAGGTTACCGGTACTGTACAACCTTGAAACAGGTACTATTCATTCTATAACTTATTAAAGAAATTACCTGTACAGGTAATAGACAACATTGAGGCCTGAGTCATCGAAAAGGAATGACTCATACTGTCATCAATCGACTACCAGCGAAAATGACGTCAGTGATAGACGAAATGACAAAATAATATATTTTCAATATTTTGCAAATGTTTTTGTTGAAGCTACATTCAGCTGAAGAACATTAGGTAGTTTGTCTTTTTCTGTTTTTTATGTGTATTTGGTTAACTGTTTTTTTTCCTTCTAATTCTACCACTACATAGAATCATTGAGGCATGAATTCTCAAATTAACCTCAAACTAAAACAGAAGTTATAGTGAGATAAACTCTTGTGAAGTAGAGTGGATTTACTTTTTTTAATAAATGCCCTTTTTGCAAAGCTTAAATCAATGACAGATCTCCAAGCCATTCCACCCAACATCACAGATTCTATTTCTGTATTTAATGTTTCCTTCACACATATCAAGAAAAACTTTCTCTTAGCAAAATATAAAAAGATCAATATAAGATAGAAATATCTAAAGTAATCTCAGCTTTAATATGCAGATATGCCTCATCAAGTACGCAAATCCAGTAATCGGCTCGTTAGAATGAAATCATCTATTATTGACTCAATTTCGAAATCGTTTTATACTGCAGTACTGTCTGTTGTATTTCACTATTTGGAATGTCCACCCCTGTACCATTGCAGCAGTACAACACAATTTTATTTCAATATTTCATCTACAATACAGAACATGAACAAAGTAACAGGAGGTAATCAAACATTGTATTACAAGCTTGTTTAAAAATCCAAGATTTTTATTCAAAAAATCTATGATTTTCACAGACAGACAAGGGCATAAGGGTGAAAAGAATGGAGTCTGGTATAGTTTGGTAACACATTCACTTCTAGTTGGCCTGGCTCCACAATTTTTGCATATGTCCATCCTAACCCCCACCTGACTACGTCACAGAAAAATGACGTCATTTCAACCTAACAGTGGCGTATTAAGGCCCACCAAAGTATACGAATGGTCGTCCAAAACGCGCAGACGATAACCCGAAATCGAGCAAGCTATTTCTCTCGTCACAACGATCACGATGGGAGAGAGATCGCTGGCTTTAGCGAGTTCGTTATCGGCGGCGTAGATGCCATTTCGAGCGATCGTAATTATACTTTGGCAAGCCCTATGACGTGTTGGTGACGTCATTTTTGGATGGCATAGTCAGGTGGGGGTTAGGAATAACGGGTCTCATGACGTAGTTTCGTACCTAACATAGACTACTTCTAGTGGGCAAAGCATAACAATTTTTTCACGTATCAATCCTAACCCCCACCTGACTACGCCATTCAAAAATTACGTCACTGCGACGTAATAGAGCATTTAAACCATACGAACTGCCATCCAAGACACGCAGACGAGCACATGAAATAGAACAGCTATTTCTCTCGTTTTCTCGTCACTACGATCCCAATAGGAGAGAGATCGGTGACGTTAGTCAGTTCTTTATCGTCGGCGCCGATGCCATTCCGGGCGATCGTACGTATATTTGGCAAGCTCTATGACGTGATTGTGATGTCGTAGTGACGTAATTTTTGGATGGCCTAGTCAGATGGGGGTTAGGATTGACATATCAAAAAATTGTCATGCTACGCCTACTAGAAGTACGTTAGGTACGAAACTACACGAGACCCGAAGTATGTTAGGTACGAAACTACATGAGACCCATGTATCGTACACATGACATTTTAAAGAAGTTGAAACTTCAGATAGGTAAGTGATTACTTAAACGAGGTGCTAACAGGTTTGACCTAGTTAACTAAATGATTACTGGATTGTACAGCCATATCAGCATATCGAAGTTCTTTTGGGCTGCGACAATCGCGGAAACAAATAGCTTCTTTTTCTGCCAAATATGATAGAGTTGGGTGTTTCAAATAAATGATATCAATTTAGTTGCATGAATAACAGCTTCTACCACAAACCTAACGCGACGCGACATTAGAGAGAGACGACGGTCAAAATCGAAGTGTCAACTTTTCAAGGAAATGCCTCAATTTGTCGAAGCGAAAATATAAAAGTTCTTTATCGCCCCCCTATGGATACATTAAGAGATTTAAATTCGATCCTATAATGCCTCCAGTGTTGGTAGTCATGGTAATGTAGACAGGAGTCGCGATACACACAGCGCTCACCCTCTCTGTCTGAGCTCTTTTTAGCAAAACTGTTTTTAGGTTGTTCAGAAAAACGCGCGAATTTACGACATGGAAGAAGAAACATCTAAAGAGGAAGGTAAAATACATTTTGTGAAATTGAACTTAAGATCTTCAGAGAACTTAAAACCCTGTATGCAAGGATATATTGGGAGAAATCAACAGAAATGGTACCGTTAGTGCGTTAAGATATTAATTTATTACCGTTAAGACCTTAATTTAGTATTGACTATAGTCAGCATATAAAATTTCGTGGGCTAAATCTGGTTGTAATATTATATGGTAACCACACCAGTGAGCAATGTGTTACATTCCACCAACCCAATTTTTACAAACAAGAGCAAAAAAATCGCGTGCCAGGTGCCAGGATTCTGTGTTCAAATTTAAAGACTGTTTATTACATTAGAACACCTGATGCCAGGGTTGAGTAGTGGTTGGTTGAAAAAAAAAATTCTAGCTCTCAACTGCAAGAAAAACATATTTTAAACCATAAAAACATTGACAGATGTAAGCCTTTTTTAATTGTCGATGTTTTTAGTTTCTATCGGAAATTTTGACCTCGATTATCCTTATTGAAAGTTTTAAATTCTGAATCATCAATCTGGGAAGCATGAAAAAATGCTGTGGCACTTTGAAAATATAACTCCAACTTCAATATCAATAAAAACATTGCAATTTCAGACGCCATAGCCTTGTCGAAAAAATTCATTCCTTTTTGTCAGGATATCCAGGGGTCGTATTGTGTAGTATACATTTCACTTACCGATTTATCACAACAAATAAAGATTTTATTAAAAGCGTAAAGGAGTACCTCTTGAATTTATCTTTTCTCTCTTTTCATCTATTGTAGTTCAGTGAAAATGCATGTGTGGTACTGAATATATCTTGTACCCTATACAGTACATACTCTATCTATCTGTTAATATGTTTTATAGGAACTGTTGAACCAGCCAAAACAACGACTGAACAGGAAACAGAAGAAAAGAGCAAGACAGCAGAGGTAGCAGACACCAATGCTGAACAGGTAGAAACTTCTACAGACCAACCAACAGAGACGAATACAGACAAACCATTAGAGACCAATACAGACCAACCAACAGAAACCAATACAGACGAACCAACAGATACCATTGTAAATGAACCAGCAGAGAACAATGTAGAACAACCAGCAGGGACTAGTGAAGACCAGGCTGCTGAGACCATTTCTGAGCAACCAGCAGAGCCGAGTGTAGACCAAGCGGCAGAGACCAATGCTGAGAAACCAGCAGACCAAGCTGCAGAGACCAATGTAGAGCCGTCTGTAGATAAAGCTGCTGAGACACCAGCAGACAAAGTTGCCGAGACCAATGTTGAACAACCAGCAGCAGCCAGTGATGAGCAGTCTGCTGAGAATAAAACAAATGCACCTGTAGAGACCAATGCAGACCAGCCTCAGGAAAATAACAACCAAACTGAGACTGCACCTACCAATACTGAAGAACCTGTAATATCAACCAAAAAGCCTCCAGCAGAATCAGAACAACCACAGCTTATTGCTCCATTACCAAGTGGAGTTGGTACAGATGATATATCAACTGAAAAACAAACTGATGATGCTCCAACTGTTACAACTGGTAAGCAATTATTGTGGTAATCAATATTGCATTACTATCTATCAATGTAGATTAAGAATCGTAGACTAGATTAGGAAATGAAATATATTACAATTCATAATAATAGGTAATGGGCTCATGATTTTTTGTTGGCAATTTGTCTTATTCATTATATATTTTAAGGAAGAGGAAAAGTGATAATATGGTGAAACTAAGCTTCTCAACATTGTTTCAGTACAAAATGAAAATTGAATTAGCTAACCTGTTTATACTTCAAAATGCATGGACTTGGATACTGGTAGAAGTTCTAATCAACCAGTTGTCTATTTGTAACTTTGATTTAGGTGGAGCAGAAACATTGGAAGAAAAGCAAACAGATAGAGGCCAAGACCAACAAAGTCAACCAGAAACTGCAGAAACGCAAAAAGAAAAAGAAGCAACTGCCACTGGTAAATTAGTATTTATATGGCATATTACACCCCGCAATTCCCAATGAAGCTTTGAGTTTACTTAAGTTTTGAATGATCATAACCTTTTTGTTTGGTTTAACTTACCCAATTCATCACATTTCTAGTGGTGTGGGTTTCATGGGTTGCACGGTAGACTTGATTTGACACAAAATATTTTTCGCCCATTAAACTTCATTGACTGTGATTTTTTTACATTAGTTTTGTTAAGTGTAAGTTCTGTATTAGATACTTCCACCAGAAGTTTTCCCCATGACCTCTGCTATACAAAATTTTTCGACGTACTTTTTGAAGTATGCGCACCAGGATGTCGCACAGCCTGAACTCAGGTTGTGTACCAGGTTAGGGTTAAGGTTATGCGACATTTTGGTGCGCATAATTCAGGAGTACCAATTTTTTTTTTTTCATATGTTGCTTCATCATACCTTTTGCTCTTAACAAGGCCCTGTGTAAGCAAGCAGCCACTGATATTTAACAATATGTAAGAAGGTTCAGCACTACCTATTTTATTACACTATGGGTGAGATTGTGGGCTTTAACCATTATGCCATACCGCCAGTTGCTGATGGGCTACATTTTAAACTTGATCTGTTTTTGTGAATGAATGAATTTCACTTTTTAAAGTAGTTTGTTTAATTTGCGAGTGTGTTTTTGTGACTTTCTGATGAACGTATGATAATTCAGAAAATTTCTATCATTATCAAATATTTTACTTTATTTTTAGTTAAATTTCAACTTCTACCGAGCGCTGAAGTAATAACAATAGCATCTGCTCTCAGTACTAGCATATCAACCTTGAAAGAAAATGCATTGAAAGAAATTGAAGATACAAAGTCTGAGTTGCAGATTAGATGCAATGGTAAGATAGTTTTATATTCTTGAATATCTAATGCTGAGGTTAAGCGTTAGGAATACGCTTGCCACCGCACCCCTGATTACCCTGCTTGGGTTCGAATCCCATGCAGGGATAGTTATGTGCGAGAGGATTGCTGGACTTCTTGCCGCCGTGGGGTTACGGCTTCCTCGGCCATCAAGTCCATGCTTCTGAAAACAAATAACTGGCTGACTAATACTATAATCGACATGGTCTGGTAACCAGATGTGGTTCGTCATATGATTAAGCCCCTTGTCTCCCCCGGGATAAATATGTAAATCCTATCCTATAGATGCACATATCGGAATAGTTAGGTATTTAAGAATTCGACTTTGAAAGAAGCTATTCTACTGGATTTATTGTCAGCCGATTATAGCATCACCTAGCATATCTTGTGCCTTTCCATATAAGCTATTTTATACAACGAATTTATATGCATTTTACTCCAAACAAGGCTCTACACAAGCAACCACTGCTAACTGAGAAGCTACTTATAGTTTGGAAGAACCAGTATCTTTGCGGTTCAGCATTGTATATCCAACTTATTATACCCTGGTCGAGGTCATGGGCATGGGATTTGAACTCAAGATTTTGACCTACGCTATCATAGTTGAGTCTAACGCTTTAACTACTAGGCCACTAGATTTCCCTGTTCGATAATTGCTGGTATAAAAAAAATTCTATTTGGAAGACCTTCAATCTACATTAACAACATAGATAGATCCAATGCGTAAATCACTACAGTAACAATTATTGTGATTTTTGTTGTGAGAATTTATTTTATATGTATTGTATTTTTTTCTATCTTTCAGGAGAAGAAGTCAATCTTCAAAGCACTTTGCTTGATTTAGGAGTCAATCCTAACGGCACGATACAGTTTGAGATATTATCAACAGATCCAAATATATCACTCAAATCTGTAAAAGGAAAGAAAGCACCACGGACCCCTGATTTTATTACAGTTCGGGTTGCTAAAGGTAATACTCAGTTGAAGTTCATGATTTTGTTAAAAGCAGGGCTGGAAAGCTGGTTTAAAATTACAATGGCTCCAGCTCTATGATAAGAAATGAGGCTTTGTGATCAGTGTCTCCAATTCCATATTAGAGTCTCATTTTTACCTTCCTATGAAGCTGCTTCATTCGTTAAAATTATCGGCTTGACAACTGTCCATTATCATTAAATATCAGCCCAAATGTGACTCAAAATCATGATAGGCCTATAAGAGTTTCAAATTTTAAAACTGAACTTAAAATTATACAAATTTAACATGAAACTTTTAAATTTATTTATAAATTGAACATCGAAAAAAAAATTATAAGCTGAAAAGGATAACTTTCGCTATTCTTTGATACATTAGGAAATCATGAATGTGATAAAAATAATTAGATGGCTAGGAGCTGGAACCATTATAATTTTTGGTAGCGTTGGCGTCAACTCTAACAAAATGTCATAAATCCTGCCATCCAGCTAAGGTTGAGGAGATTTTAAGGACACTTCTGATTTCTCTTATGCTCTCTGATCCTATAGATTTTCGAAATATGGTTTATAATGATAGTTTCAAGACAACTAAATGTATTTTCAAACTTGTTAAAATGCAAAAATCCAATGCTTTTTAGAAAACAACGAATTCCGAGAAGTTGTTGTTGAAATTGAACGACAGCAAAGAAAGAAAACATTTCTTGGTGGTTTCAGACATAAATTGTCTGGTACTCAGTTTCATCACGCTGCAGCACAAACTGCTCAGAAAAAAGTCAAAGCAAGTGAAGTTGAAAAATTTACCAGAGATTGTCAGGTAAAAAGTCGAATTCATTTTATTACATATTTACATATTAATACAGTGGTTTTCAAGCTTTTCTCATACCATCCTCCCTTTGCTTTTTTTTAAACTTTTTATTCCCCCCCCCCCTTTACTAAAGATAAAAAACACGGTTTTAGTTTGATATGTTCAACTTTTCACTCCTGATTTTCTAAGGTTGGAATTGTTTATATTGTGTGCACTGATTGATATGTATTACAATGATATTGAATAATCAAACTATATTTATAATACTGATCTCAACTGAAAAGTAAAATTTTTTCCCCCTAATACAATAAAATCATTCCTTGAAAAGGGATTTTTCCCCGGGAAGAAACCGAATTCCATTCTACATTTTTAAGAGAATTTGCTCAAAGCAAGGCCACATGCTCTCGTCCAAGCATAAAAGATACTCACTCGTCTCTAAGCAAAAGTTATGGACGGCCATTCAATTGTCAACAGCCACCGTAACTGTATAGATTTATGGTGGCGCATTACAAATTAACGCAAAGCTACAAAAAAGAATTATTTTTGTTTAAATCGGCATTCACATTTTACATTACAGACAGTTTTTGAAAAGAACAGTACGCAGCAGACAACTAATGTAACATCGACACAAATGCCAAAAGTTGGTTGTTACATTTCTACAGATGAAGACATAATATTAACACCACGAAAATATATCACTTATGACGAATATATGAAAAAGAGAATTAAAGCAGTAAGCATGGATATTGTTGCTTGATTGGTTTGTTTTGCAGACTCATAGATTGATATTGAACTTAACGGATTCTGGGTTGTTCGTTTATACCAGCAGTATTTGATAAATACTCTTTACTTAACTTGCAAACTTGGAAGTAGTTCAGCCATTACAATATTTCACCTGGATTTATTTTCTTGTTTCGTCCTATGATTTGACCATCTTATTATCATTTCTTTCTGTGATAAGTATAAAATTCTATTTCATATGCTTTATCAGTTCCTTTAAATTTAATTTTTATTTTTTCCAAAACTTAGTATTACTCGAATGACGCTTTGCATCATTGTTCTTCATTAATTGCCATATGCAATAGAATTTTTCAGCATTTGTCAAAGCTTGGATCAAATAAGTATAATTATATACTTTGAAACGCCTATAAATAAAAAAAAAACAGAAAATTTTGAAAAATTAAAAATCTAATCAAATAATTTTTTAGAACCAACCTACCGGTATTTGTATAAGATCTCCTTATTTTAAAAAGAAGTTTACATCATACTATTGCATAGCGAAATGGTTAATTTTTTTACAGCTATTTTTCAACAAAATATCATTTTCTTGCTAGGTCGTTGTTCTGCAATCATATTTTCGTCGATGGCAAGCTAGACATCTCGTGGATGAATTAAAACTGGATCGTGACCGTCGAATTGAATGGGAGAGACAAGAAGAAATCAGAAAAAGGAGAGAAAAAGAAGAAAGAATTAAACAAGAATTTGAGAAAAGAATCAATCCAAAAACTCGAGAAGATTTTGATTTGCTGTATTCTGCCCTGGAAAGTAAGCAAACTGAATTATTTGTGGGGGCGGTGAACCAGCGGTTAAAACGGTATTACAGGTTCACATCTTGGGTTCAAATATGAGGCGTTATTCATTTGCTTTTTAAATTTATATATAAACTTTTACTATTCAGAATGGAGACTTGAAGAACTTGGTCATATTGACAATGAATTTACCGGAGCAGAAAGAAAGGCAGCTTTATGTGCGTTACTTGAACAAGAAACTCAACTTATTGGTTCAATTGATCGTCGAAAAATTGATGCTTATAAAGATGGAAAAGAGAAAAAGATTTTGCAGTTTTTGGATAAGGTATTGTGTGATTTTATTGACTGAATTTTTGTATTTATTTTAGAAAAGGTATCATACTTTTTAACCACACGAACAACAATAAATACCTATCCGAAACAACATCGATTGTTGTTAACATAGGTAGACATTCGGAAGGGTTTTACTTAGGATGCACAGGATTCGAACCTGTAAACCTGCAAGGTAATCAGAGGTGGGATGGCTAGCGTATTCTATCGTTTAGCATGATGTACCAACCGCTCAGCTGGTGTAACAACTTCTTCTTAATACGCTCCAGAAACTTTCATAAAAATCCTATATTTCAGGCAGCAGCTCCAAAAAGGTGGAAAGCATATGATGGCCGACATACAGAGATGGATACCCAATATACAATTCGAGCAAAAGAATTGAGAGATATATACAACAGTATCAATATGAAGTATCTCACACAAGATGAGAGGCTCGACGTACTTCTGACATTAAAACACACTGTGAAGGTACCGAAATTTTGTCGATTTCAAAAAATAATTTGTTTCTCGATTTTTTGATGTACCGTATATTGAGCAGTGATGGGTAGCAAATTTTAGTCCTGAGTCTTAAGTTGCGTCCAAGTCATTGTAAATTTCATAAACAACAATGAAATGGATAAGTATGTCACATTGACACTAAAACTTTCATTCTGTGCGTTTTTAAACTAAAACTAGGTTTAATTTATATCCCAATTCCACTGTTGGCACAGCATACTAAGCACTAGAAACCTGCTTTTCATCACTTATCGCCTCAAAGATTTTTGACAAATGGTTAGTTTTCATTCATCAATACATCTTCACATTTTTCACTATCTGCGACTTCCTAATTATTGCATACTGCTTCATTTCTTATACTTTTTCCTATCTTAGGAACATGATTGTAAGTTGACAAGAGAGATTACTGAACTTATAGATCGTGAAGCAGATCTGCTTATGAGAGGAGTCAGGGACACTAATTTAGAAGGATTGAGAAAACGAATTTCTACATTGTTTCTGCAATATTGTAAGAATCCACTTTTCAATCCAGAGGCTGCTCGACTACTCAAGGTATGTATAGAAAACCGGAAGCAGGGATGGCGTAAACCGAATAATCCACTGTTCCAAATACATCCTAAAATAATATTTTTGAATATGGTATGTTGAAGATATTCAAATTGTATCATGTTCAACAGAGAAAATTTAGATGTCAATGTTATATGAATTAATGTTCTGTGCATTAGAATTCAGAAATAAAAATAGGTTTTCCAAATTTTTATAGGGGCATTTTAGTCATACTATTTGACTTCAATGACTTAAAATGATGACTTTTACTAATGAAACTATTCTGATACATCCATAAAAGCAGAAATAAAAATATCGAAAATATAGTTAATTCTGAATCAATTTGAATATTTTATTAGTTTTGGATACCTGTTTAGAAGTAATTAAAAAATATTTTTGGCAATAATTTTAAACCATCACTTAGAACAAGGCTCTACACAAGCAACCAAAGACATGTAGGGAGCTCAGGGTGATGGAAACGGTAGATCGTTTAAGCCTGAGGTCATCAACCTGGATCAATAACATAATAGATTCAATAATCGGAGCTAATCACTAAAGATTTTATGATCTTTTCTAGTTTCGATCTACATTAAACCCTGACTATTTGGAGCCTCTTCTTGAAAAATGATAAAATTAAAATGTATTTCAATTTTTACCAGGTTCCACAAGATCCCAGTACTTTGGTTCGAGATATATACTTCTGTCCAAGTTCGAACCAATACCTACCGTCCACTGAATTTCAACTTACTTCCAAGTCAAGGGCTGTTGGAAAAAGCAGAAAGTAAGTGAATACCAGTATTATGGTTTAAAATAGAGTTTGGTTTAGAAAGTTTTCCTGGCAGACGAAGTATCGTCTTGTTACTTATCCATGTTGGGCATACGACTAGCAATCTGGTTAAGCATTTTATATGTAATGATATCATATAAAAAGGAAATCATACCTTCAGTTAATATACAGCTTATTATTTATGAACCTTCGCAAAATTCGAAACTCGGAACCAGGTTCAAGATTTCAGCATGTGATGGCTAGCATGTTTTCAGTGCTTAACCTCTCAAATATAACTGTTTCGAATGTATTTCGGACATACCTTAGTGATAAATTCTTAAAAGAAGATTAAAATGTATGTATATAAGTGTATACTATCATTTTTTCGACTGATTTAGCATACTTTCAGTTTTAACTAGCTAATTGAAGCTTGTATTTAAACTTTCACCCAAATTCTGATCCACAGACGAAATGTAGTATGCCCGAATGAAATAGGTATCTTTCTCTAATTGAAGTTGAATATTCAAAATATTATATCTATGTGTGAAAGTGACTTGGTTGGCTCAAAATTAACTTTTTATTCATCAGGGTTCAGCAACTGGATAATGAAGCTCGTACAAGACAAGATTATTCTCATTATCGAATCATGTTACGAGCACTTCGACAATCAGAAGAAGGTTATCATGATAACAGCAAAATTGCATACTTGATACAGGTACTAGAAATTGTAGTGTAAATTGTCATAAATCATACAAAATCTGTTTTACTTGTTTTTACCTCATTCCATGTAATGAGTCAAGTACGCAATCCCAAATAGGTTTCAAATAATAAGTTAGGTATTATTTGACTAAAGATATGACGACTGGTATCCATTACTGGTAGCAGCACTGTGGTAACTGGTAATCTCTGGTAACCGTACCTGGTAATCTAACTGGTAAAATCATTCAACGCCATTTTTTGTAAATTTGTTCATTTTTTCTATGTATAAATATAGTTGATATTCCCAAACTAGATCTGAGGCGAAATAGAAGGTCAAATTCTGTTCATGTCGTTCGTTACAAAACTATATATGTTTTAATGGCATTTTTAAGCTCGGCCAAGGCTAATTCTGTGAATAGCGTTTTGTTGTTACACTATAAGGTATCAGCTGCATCACCCACAAACGCTGTTAATTAAAACATTTTCAGTTCGTTCATAACCTTTCAAAAATAGTATCTTATACAGAGTCATACCAAGGTTACTATCTTTATTTCTTGTCTCGTCATCGATTTACATTATCTTGAATTATATTATATTCTCAAATCGACACGAAGACCTACCCTTCGTAAAATATTAAAATTATGTCTGTAGGAAAAAGATCTTCAATACTTGATTGAAAATATCTGGGGAGCACAAAGTATACTGAGTTCATGGGATGATTTGTATGATCTTGTATTAGTAAGATGGGATAGAGATGAAGAATGGTCACCATGGAATACTATACTTCTTACAAAAGATGAAGCGATTGCTCATAATAAACTTGATCACTTACAAGAGGTAAGTGGTAAGGAAGGGAGGCTTGACAGATAAGGCTGGGACAGTATGTCCTGTGGCCTAGTGCTTAAAGCAACATTTCTCAACTTTTTTTTTGCCCCAAATCACCTTCGCTTTTTATCTCGCCCCGTGGAACACCTAGGAATTAGAAGGTTAATTGATTTAAATTGTGCAATCTACTTGCACAACCGGCTTATCACAAAATTTTTTGAGGCTTCCAGTTTTAAGCCAGCAATCCATTGAGAAGGGCGGTTTCCAAAAAATTTAGCCTATGGTAAAATTCAAAAGTTTGCTATAAACTTGACAATTAAAATATTAGGTCGACGGATGACGGTTAACTAAATTAAGCTGTTGACAAAAATGCCATGCTTTCCAGACTGGTTTGAAGCTTGTCTGCCTGTTCAGATAGCAAGGCCTGTCCACGCCAGTTGGGGGACAAATTAACGACCCAGAGGCGCCCAATTTAGTCGCGATTTCGATGACTATCCCGAGGAACACTCCGAAGAATCTCGCGGAAAACAGTTTGAGAAACGCTGGCTTAAAGCGTTAGCATCACAGGTTATACATCTCGTATTCGAATCTCACAACTAGAAAGATTGCAGTCTTTCCAAAAATGATAGCACTTACGTTTTGTTAGATGTCAGTGGTGGCTTGTTTGGAGCAAACTTTGTGAATAAGCATCTTACACTAAATATCAAACCATCCACAGATTAAGTAGCCTACAGACAAACAGATTTAATACCGATGTGCATTGGTTCACAAGTTCAAATTTTTTAAGGGACAGCGTAAATTGGCAGTCTTAAAGTCTTGTCAACTTTTCCGTGTCCCATCCTAATGCCATAATGAAGTAACGTTAATATTTTATTCAACAGGCATACAGCAGGCAGTTTGTTTCTAAAGTCTGTCACAAACACACACTGGCTCGTGTCCATTTTGTCAAATTACCAGGAATGGCAGAAGCATTGAGAAAGAAGGCTTCAGGATCACAAAGATTACCAGGACCAGGAAAAGTGGAAGGAATCAGTGCTCTCAGTGCATATTAGGAACAATTTTTACAATTTTGAGTTTTTTATTTTATTTGCAGTTTTTGATGGTTACAAAAAACTTTACAAATTTTTCTCAAAAATTCAATTGCAATGTAAAAAAATGTTGAAATCCTCTTATATAGCATGAGACCATTTCATCTTCAAAAGCAAATTTTTAGCCGAAAATAATATACAACTTATGTGTGTTTTTCAACCGTTATCCTGTTCATTTTTCATAATGAATCCTTCCTATTAAAATGATATTTCTTGTTCTCTATATCTTATTTTATGTAAAATAATAATGAAAAATTAATATATAATCTACAATCTGATGCAAATACTTTTGAAGAAAAAGGTAGGCCATTTAGAAGAATTTTCTCAAAAACGCTATTCTTAAAATATGTGCTAAAAAACCTTTATTGAAACAAGATTCTGCTATTCTCTAATCATTATGATAACTTGGACCAGAGGTTAGACTTCCAAGCCATGGCGCATTTGATTTCCATCATATAAGTCCTCATAATGTACCGCAAAAAAGTTGAATTAACCAACAATTGAGAAAAGGTTTTATAATATTCGCAACTCAGATCTGCTGACTATGCGATTCGCGCTTCTGGTTTTAATGGCGGTAGTGTACAAAATAAGTGTAATACTTTCACATACAATGTAAGTTATTCCAAGCAAAGCCGACAGTCAAGGCTAATACCAAAGTCAAATTCATATCTTTAAATAAGACATGAATTATTCCTGCACTTATGCCTGCCCATAAACAACTAAATCTTCCAGAAAAAAGTCTTAGACAAATTGTACTTTATTCTTTGCAATAAGATGACTTGGCCATTATGAGGCAGATGGCAATAATGAACATAATTGTTTGCAACAATCAATCCGGTGTTCTGAAGAGATATCTGCATAATCAATAAACTCCACAATGACAATCTTAATGAATTCAAGTTATGATCAAATTGGTCTTCTTGAAAAGCACTTAGTTGAATGATTCAGTCTTCCATTTACTAATTAAATATTGGCACAAAAAGAACATTGATGATAAAAAAAATGTAACATTCTAACAGTTTATTTAGGCATTCACTGAGATGAGCAGCAACATCCAACAATGCATAAACATTAATCATCACAGAACAGAAATTGTAAAAAATAGCCTTATCACAAATCTGCAGAATGTATATCTGAAATAAAGGAAAGGCTAACAACTACGAGGAATGCTGCTAAACAACTATATTAGCCCGAAAATCAAAACCAAAAACAGCCAAACGATAGTCGAAGATAGTCAAATTGTATTGCTAAAAATTTATGCAGCAAGGCCTTTTGCTTTGAGAAAAGCAGCTTGAGTTGGATCTCTACCAAGAAAATTTCTCAGCATTTCACTTGCATCCTTAGATCCACCTGGTTTTAAAATTTTCTCTCTGTAATCTCGACCGACGGTAGTATCGAAAATACCTTCAGATTTGAATCTAGAATAAGATGAACACGATTATAGCGATTACGAACCATAGATTGCAGGAAAAAAACAAATCCACCAAAACACGAAGTTCGGAAATAAAATTGTAACTCTAACTCCAGGGGTTCCCAAACCGAGGGCCGAATCCGGCCCGCGTAACGATTTAAAATGGCCCACCGAGCTTGAGTGAAATAGTGAATGTCAGCGTTCGTATTTCTGCATTGATTTCTGCAAAAGAATCAAACTTCAGCGATTTGTTCACTTTGCCAACGAACTATTCCAGTTCTGAAGGAATACCACATTAAGCGCCATTAATGAGTCAAACAAACATGTTTCAAAAAATTTCAAATGTGAATCCACTGAACCCCAGCTTAACAGTCGCGCACTTTCAGGCACTACACTCTTCCAGCCCGCGAACATCCTTCCGATTCTAATTTTGGCCCGCGGCCAATAAAGTTTGGGAACCCCTGCTCTATACATATAGCCAATCAAACTGTTACCTCGAATGATACATGTCATAGCAGAAGACTTCACTCCACAGATAACCATAGTATTGAGCATCGTACCCTCCTCCAAGATGTCCAAATGTTGCAGGCATGCATGTACCTTCAGATGCAGGAATGCCCAATATACTATCACATGCATCTGCATAGACCTGTGTACAAATGTTAAATACCGTAATACTTGATTGTAAAGTATGCAATTCAATATTCAAAATGTCTGCAAAATATACTCATGTGTAGGAATAGCTGAATTTTCGGAATTTTCCAGAGGTATCGATAAAAATACTTATTATATACCAGTAACTATAACTATTGAACATCGAACAAATATATGGGCATGACGAATACAGCACTTGATTTCAGTGAAACTTCAGCCAAAAGTTAAAAGGAAAATTTTGAATGTCATACAAATGTATGTTCGTGTGAAATGTCGGGCCCTCTAAAACTTGAAAAAGAAAATTTCAAAAGAAATTAATGCAATAACCTTCTACCGCTTCTCTCAATGTACCAAAAATTTGAAATTGATTATCTGCAGGAGAAAAGCTGCTTTAAAAATAACGACAACCCAACAAGAACAACGATTTTGCAAAACAATCCATAAATCCACTTCACATCCTATAATTAGCAATGTTCACAATTTAACTAGCCCAGTACAAACCTTCACTATATCAGCAGAGTCTCTTGTGTGGATGTTAAGATCCAAAGTAGCAAGTGTTATTTGTCTAAGAAGAAATACTCCAATATTCGCATTTCTTGATTTAACGAGACTGTCCATCATCTCACTTGGAATTTCTGATCCGTCCTGTCATAAAAAAACATTCTGAACTATGTTGAAGCATAATATTGATTAAGCGCAATGGCATAGTTGTTAGTCTCTGTGTTGGGCAGAAGTATATAAACTCGAGTCGAGTCACATGTCATCAGAGGGTCGAGTGGAGGCAATCCTCACTGGCGATGATGGTGAGTATGTGTCATTCCAGTTAAGTGACCCGAGTCCAAATTGGGTCGAGTCAATGACTGGAGTTTTCAACTCTGGTCAAGTCCAATGACTTGAGTCAATTCAATTACTCGAGTCCAACCTGGGTGAAATCAATAACTCTAGTCTAACCACCTGGGTAAAGTCAATGACTCAAGTCAAACTCTGGTCGAGTCAATGACTCAAGTCCAACCTGGGTCAAGTTAATTACTCAGGTTCAACTCAAGTCGAGTTAATGACTCGAGTACAATTTGGGTCGAGTCCAACTCGGGCTGAGTCGAGTCTTCCCAACAATGGTTAAATAATGACCCGAGTGGCTTTTCACATAGAGCCTTGGTTGGAGCAGGCATGTGTAGCCAGAATTTGGACTGCAAGCTCCCAGGAGTCTGCGACAGAATTCTGAAATATTAGGATTGGGAATATCTAACTCAGAAATTCAGTGGGAATATCAGCATATGTCATAGATAGACAATAAAAGAAGGATTGCATTAAGTCAGGTGTGGATTATTTTACTTCACTCTCTAACTATAGAAAATATGATTCGTATAAAAATTTGCAAATTTGAAATAACCTATCTTACCTTGTAATGTTTGGACATTCTTTTTACTGCTTCATGTTCCCAACACCAATTTTCAAGCATCTGTGATGGAGCTTCTACAAAATCTCTTTCAACATTGGTACCGCTAAACAACTGGTATTCAGTCTGGAATAAAAAATTGAAATATGGATCGGTGCAAAGTGCAGTTTTAGGAGGGCAATTGTTATGGTTTGCAACCGCATTGCAGCAAATGGCCGAGTATTCTAAATAATTTGCATTTTCAAATTTCGATCAAAGCGTTTGAATTAACTATGATGGCATCGCCGGTTAAAAATCTCCGCCTACCCAATTTATAATAATAAAAAAATAAAAATTATTATACACTGGGTGATGTCATGGGATTTAAACTAAAAATGTGTACCTGCGACGCGAACACAATTATGAATAATACTTCAACCACTAACCGCTTCAACCTACTGAAGACTTTGCAAAACCTTTCAACTGAGAATCTCCAAAAAATTTGTAAATTTTGAAATTTCTGTTTCGACTCCAGAATCAAAGAGATATAAAAATACAACAAGTATTCAACGTAAATTTCACCTCTGAACATATTTGATGCATGACATGACCAAATTCATGGAAATAAGTTTCAACTTCACTGTGTTGTAATAAAGATGGGGCATCTGCAGTTGGTTTACTGAAGTTTGCAACCATGGCTGCAACAGCTGAAAAATAAATGGAAAATAGAATAAAAAATTGAAAAAATCATTCAGTGATGATTAGCTATGCCTATATTACAAGGCCACCAATATGTGAGGAGCTATCTCTTTTGGGAAGGAACGGATTTTTTTCGACTTGATATTGCCTACTCGATTTATTTTCGTCTGGTAGCAGTCCATGTCAGGCGTGACAATAATTGATCAGTTTTTTTTTTCAGAATCATGGACTTTATAGTGGAGGAAGCCATAATGTGACCAGCCGTTACATGAACGACTTTACAACGGCGAGTCCAACAATCCTCTCATTTATAATTATTCTCCAGAGGGTTTCAAATAGTGTTGTGATCCCTGGATCTCCGGATTACCAACTCTTTTTTCAATCCCGATCCCGGAGTTATTTTGAATATAATCCAAGGATTTAATACATGACGTAGTGCATTTTGTGAATTGTACTTTATTTGCATTGTAATTGTAACTAAAAAGAAATTCAAATTTAACCAAAAATGTCAAGTTTTGAAGAAATAAGTTCGGAAAGTTTTCTTGTCAGTTTTATGAGAAATGAAAATGACTGTGTGTGTTTTCTTAATGTTTGATGGAGAAAATCCCAGGAAGTCTCGACCACAGAATTTTAAATCTGGTCCCAAAATAGTAACCCTAATTTTAAGTCTGTGATTGCATAGCATGCACAGCAAATATCGAGTCATACAGAATTTATAAAAGCTAAAAACATGAAAATGCTACCAAGCTGTCTCTTCCCATCAGGTTTTAAACATCCTGGCTGTAATCCGAAGCAAGCAGCATGTCCGTACTTTCCTTCTCTTGGATAAAGATCAAGATAAAATATTCCAATGATATTTTCCGAAACTTTATCAGTCACTGTATACATTGTCACTTCTTCATGCCAGAGAGTTACACCCTCAACTTTGTTGAATCTGAAAAAAGCGCAAATCACAAATGAAGAATAGTGATCAGGAGGTAAATCTTATTACCTAATTATTCCACATACAGAAGTAAACATGAAGTAAAAATTGGATTTGGGGGTCAAAGGTGATGTGATACATCAGTACTTTTAATTGAGTAGCAACATCTATGAAGAAGCCAACCATGAATATGATATTTCCACTATTACACGTTTAGAAGAAAATAACTCGAGCACCAACAGGTAATCATGGCAACAGAAGAACAAAGCATAAAAAATCAGAGATAGTTAAAGGGATAAGGTGCATTAGCTAGTTGTTTTGTCTATGGTACCGTATTCTAACAGAAATTACCAGAAAACATTACCCCACCCCAACCCCTAAGAAATTTAATTATCTGACTTCGGGACAATCCGAATAAGTCTATTCGAGTCTTTTGTCTTATGCAAAGACAATATTGAAAATTTATATCCATGTTGATAAAAAAAATGTAGGAAAATATTATCATCAGGAAATCAACAGTTAAATGGGCTGCAATTTTTACATTATATTTGCATATCATATTTTACACTACCCAAATAAAAAGGAGTTTTTTTCGTCTGCATTGTGAAAAGCCAAAATAAAAAATAGGAATTTGGAATTAATATAGAAATAAAAAAGTTTGCAATGTAAATATGTTCATAAGGACGAGCCAAATTTCACAGATGACAAATCATGACTTATAGATTATAATCAATTTCATAAACATGACATACAACTCTATCACAAAATGAATTAGTCTGGTATTATTAAAATAAATAAATATACTTCTGCCAAGTTTGGCGTAAATTTGCATACTTGATGCCATGTTTTCTTTTGATTGATTGTAAACTTACATGCAACAAAGTGATTTTTCAGGTTTGCGGGCCAATACCAAAATCAGGTCATATTCATCAATATGATAACAAACAAAAATAATTTGAATTGAATTTTGACCAAGGATGTTCGAGCATTTAGATTAAGAATAGGCAAAAGCAAAATAATTTATATTCCTAATGGTTAAATTGTTAAGACTTAAATATGGTGAAAACGCAGGCCATTTAAAATTGGTTGGCAATATCGTACTAGAAAGAATCTGATCCTTCCAAATTATTGCAGAGGCTTGATTATTGTAGAGAGAAACGCAAATAAATACGTACCATAAATAATATTCTAACCCCTAAATAATCCTAAATCCAAGATTTTGGCTATATATATTAATTAATATTATGATCAAAACCAAGTCCGTATTGAAAGGTCAAGCGACAGTCACGTCTCGTATCATTAATGTAAGATCAAGCCAGCGGAATCAAAATGATGGATGAACATACTTTAATCCTAACAATTCTTGATAAATTTCCAACAATCCGTCAGTAACAACATGGAGAGGGAAATACTGCTTCAATTTTTCTTGATCAACTGCAAATTTTGTTTCCTCAATTTTGGTCATATAATACCTGCAATATAGATAGTTATTCATATTTATCCCAAAAGAAAGGAAAGCTAACAAGATGGAATATCGTAGTAAAACCTAAGTTAAGTAGCTTATGATCCATTTTTAAGAAATAGACTTTGTGATCTTCCGTTATTAGGATACAAGGGACCATTTTTGGTCTGGGTTACCAAGCTGTAGCCGTTTTTGATTTCTATTGTAGATAGTGCTTTATGTCCATTCTCAAGTTTGACTTTTATAACCGAACTAATACAAATATGCGTTTTTCTCAAACCTTAAAATGCGACATAAAATAATTCGAGTTTACTGCCGTGATATGGTAAATTACTGCAAAATTAACTGCATTAATAATTGCAATATATGATAAAGTAAATCCAGTGAAATCGAAGACATCATTGAGAGATTGCCTTGCATTGACTGCCTTAATTAACAATGTTTGTCTGCATGTTATACATCAATATATACCAGTAATTCTTTTTATTACTTCGAAATTATTACAATTCATTGGTTGTTTCATAAAAAACAATCTTACCTCAAATCCCACATGTTAATTTTTCCATCAAATTCAACACCGAGTTCTTTGCATTCTTTTTCTTTCAATTTCAACATTTCCTTTCTGTCATATTCACCGAGTGGTTTCAGCTTGGCTGCAACAAAAACAAAACCAACCATTATCAAATTATTCATTATAAAAAAATAGTAAAAGTAATTATAATGCAGGGCAGGGGAGCTTGTTTAAAATCGTGATGGCTCTACCTCCAGTTAAGAAGCAATAGTACATTCAAACTGTTTAGTGTTTTGAATGGAAGTCCCAGCCCAAAATATAAATTTACAAAGTTGTTCAATTTGACAACATTTTGAAATATATCTAGCCTATAGGAAGATAACTTGAAAAGTTGAAAAAGGTTGTAAAATAGGCAAGATATGAAACCTAATAACAGGTTGCCTTTTACTGTGATGTTAATTATAGAATAATTATGGACAATGAAACTGATGATTATCGTAAAATTAGGCAGAGTAAAACTCGTTAAAATTGTTTTTTCAGAGCATCGATTGAAAAATTTGGAAACAAAAAATTGCTGAATGACTGAATACCTGAATAGAATATTGGTCTTCGAGTTAATTATCTAATTAGAAAATTTTTTATTCATGCTATCAAATGGATTTCTGAAAGACCAACTACTTTAATTTCTTCTATGCTTTTGCTCTTGTGCATCTGCTTGCAGGCAATATAGAAGTATATAAAAATCAAAAAGTTCGTACATTTACAATCAGGTCATGTCAAGGACCAAGAAATAGCTATGAGGTAGTGAATTTCACATAACAGAAGTTCTTGAAAAACAAACAGTGCTTTGCAAGAGACCATTGGACTAGTTCTGACAAACTAGTGTATTTTAATAATGCTCACCGGCTAAATTTTGAAGAAACGATTTAACATTTTCAGGATTTTTTGCCATTCTCATGTCATGTATGAATGCCGCATGAGTGCTAAAGTTCAAAATTTTTGCTTTTTCAGCCCTGAGTTTTACAAGTTCAGTCAAGATAGCAGAATTCTCCTGGAACATAAAATGTATAATATTTTAGTTCGACAACATCTAAAACTAAAAGAGGTAGAGTCCCTGGTAGAGTGGTAGTTATAAAATAATCTGGACATTTCCAGTCCCTGTGATGTGTGCTGAATTGGGGTGGTTTGGATGAAGGAGCTGACTAGGTGGCAGAATGTCGCTGGCGTGGTTGGGTTAGGGAGGTTGTAGAAATTTGTTATGAGACATTTATATGCAAGAAGATTCTAGACCAGGGGTGGGCACGGTTTTCGTACCAGGGGCCAAAAATTTTGCCACTGGACTGGCGGGCCATGTAAGTGTAACATAAAAAGTTACATTTTAAGAACAATATTTACAGTGTTACAAAAGTAAATGCGAAAACAATGAGCCTCATGCCAAAACTAAATTTAATCGCAATCGCAACAAATTCCTTGAGCTTTTTTTAGCTAAAACATTAAAATTAGGTTTTAGTTTGGTTGGCAGCATCAGGCGGGCCAGATTGAATCATCCAACGGGGGCCAGATTTGGCCCGTTAGTTCAAGACTCTTGCCTAACAGATGGTCCCCATAACTACTGGTCCTTCAGCTTCATATAACAGGTAATAGAGACATTGATATCCATCACTTCACGTCAGCAAATTTATTGTTTACCTTGTGTTCATATGAGTTACCTTCAATAAGTGGCTTATTCTCTTTAGCCTCGATCAAAATGAAGATTTGAAGCGCATCAATTACTGTTACATATCGGTAATTTAATTCGAATTCAAAATGTAAAAAACTTTACTTGCCTCTTTGCATCTAGAATTGAAAGCAATTTCCATTTTCTTTCGTGTACTTTCAACCGAACATTTCTTCATCAGTGGAAAATAATGTGGATATTTCAATGAAAGTTTGAATTTGCCCTCAGAAGTTTTTTCCAATTCATTCAGGAGGTCTATAAAGCAATAATATAGCATTGTTATTGCCAAAATTGAACAATTTGCTATTTCAGTATAATACACATATGAATATTATGGGCGATATTACCGCCGGTGAATAAAAAAATTTGCACAAGTCTTAGCACATTCATAACTGTTATAATAATAAATAAAGCAAAAAACTAAAATAAAAATTTTATTGATCAGATTATCAATGTATACAAAATATTTTCCTGAAAATGATATATTTTAGATTCAAAGTTCAATTCATTTTTTTTTTTATCTTTGACAATTCTAATTAGAATGTCCTATTATGATTGCATTATTATGAACGTACAAATTTATCAAACATGGCATTCCCAGATAAGGCATCTTTCAAAATTTAAATTCAAGAATATTATTTCAAATGCCAAACATCAGAAACTTCCTGTTTCGATTGTTTCAGATCACTGAAATTAACAATAATTTTTTTACATAAAATTGGATAATTAGTGTATTTCCAATGAAAGTGAGATCAAACCAAGGTCACGAAACAACAAAAACCTTTGATCATCAAAGATCATTGATAAAACAGTCCAGATTCACCACTAAAAATGCAAAGATCATGATTTTTGAGTAAACTTACAAATGGCGCCTTAAACTAAACTAAAATATTTCATTTCACTATTGACAGAAAAACAATTAATAAGAGACGAGCAATTATACAGAAGCAGTTCTTTAAAAATTTTTAAGAAGTTACTTTGCAAGCGTGAATCCCCATGATGAAGTGATGAATGAATATTTGGCACCACTAACCATTTCATATGTTGCCTATATAAAAACATCATACAAAACATTGAGATATGGATATACTTTAAAATTTTCACAAAACTTGTTTGAAAAAAATAGATGAAATGCTTTATAAAAACATACCTTTTGGTAATCCTTTCAATTCTTCTTCACTGAACTCCCAAGTTGAATTTTCCTCGTTCAAATTCTTTTGAAAATCGATCTCTATTTCAGTTTGTCTTTTCTTAATGGCCTGAAATATTAACATAGGCCGTGCATTGCTATATTCTTCACCAATATAAAGTGTATTTTCAACTTTTAGTGTAGTAAGCTATCTGTCAGGTAAATATGTGGGCAAGATGGCCTAGAGCAGTGGTTCTCAAACTTTTTAAGCCACATACTCTTTTTAGAATTTGTTAAGTCTCGCACCCCACCTCAAAAATAATTAGCTAATAATACCTGATAATGAGGCGAAAGTACGGTATGTTTTATTGAAAAAACATGTTGAAAATATGTGTACATAATAAAGAAATGTCAACAATAAAGAAACATAAATATCAAAAATAAGACGGCAAAATCGAATCTAACAAATATTTTTATTTTTAATCATCTTCATGTCCACTCAAACATTGTCCACTACCCCCCTGTGCCATGCCCCACCGTTTGTGAACCACTGGCCTAAAGATTAGATCATTGTACCAAACTGCATTGGCGTCACAAGTTAAAGTTCTCAAGTAAAAACCCCATGCACACCATCTCAGATAAATTAGGAAGGCAAAGCTGAACCAGAGAAGTCCTGGTCGTTTCCAAAACACCCACTTCCTGCGTATCAGTGGAGGTGAACCTTGTTGGGGTGGAGTTGTATAATTCCTCATGAGAAAGTGTCTAGATGGCATTGAATTCGTAAATATTTCTCAATTTTAAAGTGTACCATGACTTTTTCTTGTTCATTTTTTGGCAGACGAAGACCATTCCTTTGTCCTAATTTATTCATTCTAGTAATAAATCTTCTTGTTTCATCAGATAACTTCATATCCTTTGATTTTTCTTCAAAAGCAACAATGCTTCAAAATGAAATATATGCATGATTGAATAATCATTTCAGAACACTCATACTCGTACATTAGAATTTTTATATAATGTAACATAAATAAATATCCTATAGATTATTGACCAATTTAAGAAATTTTGTTTATTTTCATTTGTCACAGTAAACAATAAATTGAAAATATATACCGATCATAAATATCTTGTCGCATGCTGGTCTCGATCTCGAAATCAGATAATTTTTTATCACATTCAGTACTTGCATCTCGCAATGCTTTATCGGGGTGAATACTCTGATAAAAATCCAAGTTACACCTGAAGTAAAAAAGTAATGGATTACACAGTCATATTTTCGTCAGGGGCTCACACCGACGAGTTGAAAATTTTGATTTTGACTCTGAACTCAACTCCGACTTCAGCTCTCAACTCTGACAAAATCAATTTGATAACAAAAACTTTGGGTCATAAATGTTTATAGACCATTAAAAACGTTTAGTAAACATAATGCTTTTTGAGTTCCTGTTAAAAAACCACCATCGCGAGTGTGCAATTCTAACTCCGACTAGCGGCAATTAAAAATTTCGACTCCAAGGTCTCAAACATTCAATACTAATATAATTTCGCCCGTAGCGCCAACATAGCAGTATGTCAAAATTATAGTCACAGTTTTGAGGTTACCGGTACATTCTAAAACTTACAGGAAATGAGATAACAGTCAGAGTTTGATTTCCTTGGACTAAGAATGCGAAGAATCTAAACTTTCAACTAAAAGAGAACAAGGTTGGTAGATATAATGTTTTCTTTAATATGACTTCTATTATTGCGAAATCAAGAAATACAGTCAAATCGAATATTTATCAAGATATCATTCAGAGCCAAGTGTGTGAATAGAACCATTGTCATCGGGTTATAGGTTAAAGTATTAATTTATAATTTCATTAATTAAAGTATATTTATACAATATACTTGATTTTCCTCATGAACTCACATTTAAGAACAGCAGATATTCTGAATATAATGAATACTTCAACTTATGACTCAAATATAAACAAATGAATAAAATTTAAATGTTATTATTAACATTTGAAAATAGTTAGTTGAAAATTCATGCAGGGAAGTATTCACCTTTCAACACTAAACGTGCAATCAGAATCTGCAATCGGCTTTATTGTGTTTTCAAACGTTACTTCACCTAAATCTAGGTTTCCAATCTTGTCATAAAGAGCACGGGTTGTTTCAATCAGCTTTTCAGCTCGTTCTCCAATCTCAGGTGCTGTCATGTCCCATTTTAGTGACAGGTGTTTTAGAACAGTCTCTGAAATTTAAAGAACAATCAATTCATTAATAAATTGCTGAGACCATTAACATACGAGTAAAGGTAATTACTAGTAGCAGTAATGAAAAAAAAATCGGGTGCCTTATATATGAAAAATATCTTTGTTCTTACCCAAAGATAAACAATAACAATGCATAGTGGCATGGACAAAACTTCAAATAGTTGCACTACTTTTAAAGTACAGTAATTTGTGTATAAATCTACAAAACAGTTAAATATTATCCCACAATCTTAAAAACAAACAAACCTTTGTTAATTGCTGCAGCCGGCATTTTCGTTGTGGAGAAATTTCGTTTTTTCAGGGTAATCCAAGAGAAATTTTGAAATGTGGGAACGTTGGTTCGAGCGATCAAAGAAACTACGCTTCTTGTAACTTTGATAAAACTAGCTGTAAGCATAATCTAACAAAGGAAAATAATAATAAAATGTGTCTTTATATCACGGAGTTGGCGAAAAGAGAAAAACTGCACAAATTATAATTCAAAACATACGTCAGTTGACTCCTGAGGCTACACATGTTCTTAATCGACTCCTTTACGACCTCTCGCGGTTACGTACGTAAACAATATAAGAATTGTTATCTGTTCTGTAGTTGGACGGGAGAGACGAGCGTTCAAGATAGTGAATCTTGTAATACAAACCAATTCCGAGGCTGGATATTAAATATCCAAATCCGAGTGAAAGTATGCCGATTTTAGAACATGACAGTAATGACGTTTTTGAAGAACCGGTCAAAATATCTGTTACAGAGGCCCTGTCATCACTGCGTTTGATAAAAGTAAATGACCAAGTTCGAAGACTCCAGACAATAATAAGAGATAAGTATGTGTTAATTTAATTTGATAAAAGGATTATAGAAATTCTAAATTTGTTTCAGGATATACATCTGTTAAATACTGTTGCCTATAAGATTTATGAATTTACTGAGGCCGCATATATTACAGTATTAGGGATTTGATTCTGTGACGAAATAATATTGTAATGCTGGTGTGTATTGTTTTGACTAATTTTTAAATTCGAAGAGAATGTAAGTTTGGATTAGACCAACTCTATTTCAATCAAAATGATGTTCTATTACTATTTTCAATACTTTCTATTATTTCAATTTACTTACTATTTTTCAGAACTTCATCCCGAAGTGATTTCGTTTTCAATGCAGATCGTTTAATCAGACTTGTTATTGAAGAAGGATTAAATTTACTTCCATATTCTACTTGTCAAATTGAGACACATTCAGATATAATGTGCAATGGGATTCGATTTGATCGAGGAAATTGTGGTGTCAGTATTGTAAGAAGTGGTAAGAAGGTCTATTTCTGATCCAGCAAAACAAATGTTAAAATCCTTTTTTACCAAATGTTTGAAATGCAAATTCTTATGAAATGCAAATATACTTGAAAGATCTGTGAAATGTAGGCGCGGCGGTGTGGCTCAACGGGCTAAGCGTTAGGAATACGCTTGCCACCGCACCTCTAATTGTTCGCAGGTTCGAATCCCATGAAGGGATGGTTATGTGCGAGAGGATTGCTGTACTCCTCGCCGTCGTTGGGTGGTTCACGTAACCGCTGGTCGGTTACGGCTTCCTCCACCACCAAGTCCATGCTTCCGAAAACAAACAATATAACTAATCCCATACCCGACTTGGAATGGTAACCGGACGAGAGGCCGTGGTTCGCCATATGGATAAGCCGTCTTATCGGCTTTCCTCTCCCCTGGGATAAATATGTAAATCCTATCCTATCCTAAATCCTATGTTTATCATTTATTTTATCATTCTAACTATATCTAATGACACCTGGTATACCATATTGAAGAGTCAGGTTGCTGGAAAGCTGCTGTGTTATATTTTAATATAAGGTTACTCAAAGCAAGTCTGCATTTTTTGAAACGAGGAACATCACTAATAAAAGAGTTACAAACAGCCATTAACTAGAGAACGGGAAAAATAATTCAGTCATTTTATTCAAATCAGTTGAAAAATTAATCTACTAAAATAGTATCTAAAAAATGATTATTTAATTTCTTCTGGCTTCAAATATATTTTTTGTGTAAAATATGATCATTGAAAAAAATATTGGTATAATTAATCTTCAAACAGTACTGGGATCACAACAAAAACTAATAAAAATGTTCATCTTCAACAATGTGCTACAATTCTTAAATAAAGTTTAGGCATAGAAATTTGATCAATAGTCAATAACATTACATTTTTAATGTTTATTTCTGATATTCATAGGAGAAGCAATGGAACAAGGTCTCCGAGATTGTTGTCGCTCAATTCGAATTGGTAAAATTTTGATTCAATCAGAAGATGATACGCAACAAGCTAAAGTATTTTATGCTAAATTACCACCCGACATTCACAGAAGAAAAGTATTGTTGATGTATCCTATCCTGTGTAAGTCACAATATTTCAATATTCAAATGTTGATTGCAAACTGAAACAGCAACATCTATTAAGTTCTCTTGTGGTAATAGCAGGGCTTTCAAATCGGAAATGTGGCCGCAGGGCCCTAGTGGTTAAAGTGTTAAACTTTACTATGGTGGCATAGCAGGTCAAACCTTGGGTTTGAATTCCAAGCCCAGCATATCACTCTGGGTATGATCAATTTGTTAGAGAATGCTGCACTGGAAAGATTCCACACCCTCACAACAATCGTTGCTCCTTTCTAGCAGTGACTGCTTGTGCATTGTCTTGTTCTGAGCAAAGGTGTATAAATACACTGTGCCATTATTTACCCAATTAAATGTCTTTCTGCTGATCTATTATGCAAAGAAGGAATTCCACTGTTACTAGTCGTCCATATTATCGATTTAGTGCTGTTTAATGGCACACAATTTGAGCCTTGTAGTATAAGTTTCAGTTTGCTTCCTATTATGAATCAAATCATACCTTTTTCTACAGCATCGGGAAATACAGTTCTTAAAGCTGTTGATGTCTTGAATGAACACAGTGTTCCAGACCACAATATTATATTACTGACATTGTTTTGTGCCCCAGAAGGTATGATGTGTATTTTTGTGTAAATATTCATTCCCCTAGTATAATGGTAAATCGAAACTGTGATGTGAATGAGGACTCTAACACTGATTTTTGCACAGTTTGTCTGAATTGGATGTTTTGAATAAGATCAGTGGTTCTTAAACTTTTATGTGTCATTACCCCTTTACAGCGCTCCATATCCCTCTGCAATACAACAAAAAACATAAGCTTACAAGCGTATTTATTGAAAATCATATCTGATCTTCACCAAGTTTTTGTAAATACAAATATTTTGACTTTTTGAGAATAGCCGCTCAGAGTTTCTCATCCCCCATTGTATCTCTTTTGCCCCTTAGAGGGTGATATTGCCTACTTCGGCAATCGCTATATCAGATAATATTGTATTGTATAAAATTGCGTAAAATAAGGTCGGGGGCCTCGCAGAAAAGTCGAAAAGAGAATTATTCGAGGTGGAAAAGAGAGTTTTACTGGCGATCGCCAACTACTACAGTAATGGAAGAGGGCTATATAGATAGTAGTCGTTGTATCAATAATCTAATTCTTTTCCTATGTTATCGACAGGTGTCCATGCTGTGGCAAGCAAGCATCCAAACATTAGAATATTAACATCAGAAGTACATGAGAATGCACCAATATATTTTGGGAAGAAATATTTTGGAACTGATTGAATGCAGACAAAATATTTATTGTAACAAATGGCTTGCAAATACAGGGGCTTCGCTTGAGTTTAGAAAAGGAGAATGTGTTATTTTTTTTTGTCTATAAGCGTTGATAATCGTTTTCTTTATAAAGTATTTGCATTTTAAATGGAAATGCCCATATTTATTCTGTAAATCAGGTGTTGATGAAGTCTTGGAAAATTTTTTGAAAAAGAGACTTCTTGGATATCGTATATACTGTAGTTTGGTTAAAACTACGGTTTTACTGGTTTTATTTTCACAATGAATGCTTAAAATAATTATTTGTGTCATTGATCAATATTAATGTAAAATACCATCAGTTTTATTCTTTGTACATCACTGTTTTTTCGCTCAATCATATATCCAACCCATATTTTTGTGTCTGTGTTATTGGGTGAAGGTATTTTTGAATACATATCATGAAATGATAGAGTTATATATTCTGAGGTAGCAGGAAGACTGGGAAAATCATGCGACAGTGCTGAAAGTCAAGACTCTCCTTGAAGATTTGATTCTCGCTGCCAATGTGTCTTATCCAGAAATCACGCTGTAGCTCTAGAGCGAACATAGCCCACCGGCCAAATTCACTAACCCATTTTGATGCTGCTACAACCAAATTTCGATTCTAAAAAAATGGCTCAAGGAATTTGACATGATTGCGATTGAATTTAGATTTCGCACAAGGCTTATTGTTTTCCGCTTTTGTAACACTGTAAACACCAGCATGGCCCGCCAGTCTAAGTGTGCCCCTGGTCCAAAACCCACCCCTGTTCTAGAGCATAATTCCTTACTGCGGAGCTAGACTCTCCATGACCAATACCATGAAACATTAGCTCTAAATGCGGTTTTGTGGAAGCAATGATATATCGAGGTTTGAGAATTAAACTTTAAATTATTATAATATAAGTTTGGCTTGAGAAATTTTGAAATCAATATTGAAAATTTCAATGAAAAAAATTACATGCTGGAAAGGATAGATTTTATTATGCGGTATGAAATATAAGAAAACTATGAAAGTGAAAAAATGATTAGGTAGATAATTGGAACCACTAAAATTTCTATCTAATATGGTTAAGATAGGCTGCAACAAAACGTTACAGCATTTCCAGCCCTGATTGATCCTGAACCTGCTTTTGGATATACCTGATAGACTCTCAATTGCTGATATGATATATAAATACTGCACTTTTCTCATATGTTCTATTTATTTTATGTTCAAAGGATCTCACAGCTCATCTACAACAAAATATATTATCGCACACACAAAAAATAAGATATTGGCTAGTCATAATTAAATTTGGAATATTTCCTAGTCAGAAAATAAATATGCAATCATTATCTGTTAAAGTAACTTTTATAAATTACCAGACATTACTAATATCTATTGCACAAGGTACTGTGCTATGCCAGATTTAATAAATCCTAACAATGGGCATGACAGGTTAACACTTTTTGGCTTTCTGTATGCACTAGTACATGACCCAAAGTTTGGATGCTTGTTCTTTCAACTAAAAGTCAAAAGTTATTGATTTTATTTTCAGGTAAATTTTGTATTTACTATGTTTCATACTAATAATTGTATATTTGATAAGTATCACAGCAGCATCTTTTGCTATGCTTGAATAAAACTATGTTACGCAAATGACAAACAAGCACAGCTTTTTGGGACGCGAGATTCCGCCAAATTTATTTTTCCTAAATTATGGTCAGTTAAAAAAAAGGTTGAAAAGGTCATGAAACAATTTTGTGGACAATATGTAAGTAAGGATATCAAATGACTCAAATTGGAATGAAAAATGGAACATTGTCATATATATAAAAACCATCTAGCAAAACAAAAGTTATTTCAAAATTCTCGCAACATAAAGCTCTATAAAGTTCACACTCTTCCCACCATTCAAACTCAAATACCTAACTAATCAAGTGAAACAACCATATAATATATTATGTCATAAACTAACTATGGAAGAACACTTATATAATCATTAATAGATATACACTCTTTTATGAAAAGGTAGTCATTCCTATATTAATAGATAGTTGAGTTGCATAGCATTTAACAAAGATGGAACGTTCATGCTAATGAAGTTTCGACAGCAATATGTGAAAACCAAAATGGAAATTTGAAGATGTTATGTCAACTTTACATGCATGTGACATCTAGTTACTAAGTGATCGCTGGAGAACAATTGAATGAAAATGACTGTTCAAATGCTTGGCCATTGTAAAAAATCACCTGTGTATTTCTAAAATTAGACCTAAATAAATCACTTCATTCAAACATTTTTAACATTGACAGAATTACAACAGTTGTATATATAGGTGATGCGTCATATCTGGGAGCAAACCAAGTTTTTCCAGCTCTGTTTAAGGGTTAGAACTGAACTGAATAAATGTAATGCATGATTTAATTCTGAAAACAATTCTATTATCATGGAAATTGAGAAATGGCATCCCCTTTTTTACGATTTAGTTACGAGGGCTGTCTTCAGAAAGGAGTGGTTTAGTAAAAAAGGAACTGTTATAGCATGCACTATTGACACGCAAACCTGATTCAAATTATAACGAGTAAATATTTAATTAACGGGTTGGGAACATATTAATTTTCATGATTTATGAAATTTGAATAAGCAGTGCCATGATTACAGAGGACAAACAAATGAATTATGTTGCCCATTCTCTTCTTACAGTGCAAAAACTACAACCTATACTTCCCGTATTCTATTGGAATAAATTCATACTACCCATAAAATATTGATCACTAAGCACGTTTTTCAAATTAGATATTTTCTGGTCACAAAATCATTCTTCAAATTTTCAAGTATAGTGAATTAATAAATATATATATGAATGGTCAGGAAAGTTCAAAAATATGGGATTGATAACCTCTTCAAGCGCATTCTAAATCAATTCTAAAACCTTTTACACCAACAAAAGAAATCATAAACGATACCATACTTTACCACAGCACCCTAGTTTCTATGGAACAAATTGGCAAAAAGACACTAGGTTCTAACTTCTGGCAGTAAACTATTTCGATCTATAATACTCAAAAACAGCTAGGATGATAATAATAAGTAAAATGAGAAAAAAGCATAATATCACAGACCACCATTTTAAACCGCAATCCGCACCATTAGTTTTTTTAACTCTGTTTGGGGGAGGCATTGTCTGTTCGCTGGGATAAAATTGAATTGAAGACAGTACCTCATTTAAACTCTCATTGTGAGGTGTTTTATCATTTCCTATATCAGCTTTCTTGACGGTCTTTCTTATATCTTTATCAAGCTTTTTAAGGTAACTGTTCGTATCATTTTTATCGGCTGCGTCAACACGTTTTGGTCTGTTAGATTGCACTAAAAGTGATGCTGTTTCTTCTAAACTTTCTGAAGAATCAAATTCAGAAGAAGATTGTATTTCAGGACTTGTATTTTGCGATGATTTATCGGAACTATCAGCATGGCTTGGCAAGATAGTTTCAAAAGAACGTTTCACATCAGAGTCGATACTGGTTGAAATAAGAGCAGATGAAGATGTGGAAGCAGTATCTTGTGAATAAAACTGATCATAAATTTCTCGATGTCTTTGTTTTTCCTCAGGAACTGTTAGTAAACTGTAGCGACTCACAGGTATTTTAATAGTTTTTAAAGCATAAAAATCCTGCTCCTTTATCAGTCCGTTTGCTCTTTTGATGTCATTAATCTGAAAAAATAAGAAATATAAAACAAAATGACTGATAAAAGAAATTTTATGATAGATACTTAACACCAAATAAATAATATACTGTGTGAAATTTAAACAATCTTTATACAACTTACAGAGCATCCATACCGCAGTGAAAAAGATTGCAACGTATCGTTAGGCAGTATATCTTCGGTGAGTATCACAGTGTTTGATTTATTTCCATTACTAAAATTTCCACTTTCTCCATTTTATTATAATTGGTATCTTTTAATTCCAATTAGTTGAGTATCATCGTGCGTTTCTTTTACTTTTCTCCGCAAGCTGCTTTTTACGACACCGGATATTTCATCCGAACTGTTAGTTTGATGACCAGATGATGATAATGTATTATATTTCAAATAAGACTCTTTTTTGCTTAATAAAGCAGTGTCAGCATTTTTATATAATGCAGTACTACTCATTGCATTATGTTATTGAGCTAAGATAATATTGAGAAATATAAAAAATCAAATATTCCCGATAATTGTGCTATTGGTGAGCTTTTCGCGACCACGAATCCTTCTTCTACACTCCTCTACATTTTCGATATGGCATTTGTTTAAGAATTTTCAATATACAGTAGGCCTATGGGATCTCAGGAAGTAAATGCTGTTACTGCTTAAATAACACAAAAAAAAACGTGATGTGAAAAGAAAATATAACGTTAACCCAAACTTTGATTTTTTTAAAATAAAGGTCTGTCTCGATATACTTTATTTGGCATAGGACATCAATGCTTGGTTTAAAATTGAGTGGGTTGGATTTGAATTATATGGTACACATGTTTCAAGAATTTCACTCTGTCTGTCAGATGAGATTGAGCTGGAAAATTTCTCGGAAATAGCAAGATTTTTGTTTTTAAGGTTTCACATTGTGTATTCAAAACAGTTTTGTAGAAATGAATAATCTCTGCCGAACAATCTATACAATTACGATACCTCAGCTTACTGGCTTACAGAATTGAGGAATCAATCAATTGACCGCAGAGGAGTCACCACTCCCACTCTACTCTTACTGCTGTACGGTATACCGGTACTGTCTTATGCCTGTATGGTACCGGTACCGGTACGGTATGCCGTCATTAACTTGCATCTAACTTCACTGCCAGCTACTGACTTTCACTTCGAATGGTCACTTTTCTTACGATTATCTTCAGATCTGGCTCCAGGTTTTGGAAAACAATTTCACCTGCCTGAGGTGAAGACTCGAACTTGAAAAATTTCCAAGAATGACGGCGCCACTATGACGTCAGAAATAAACTCACCTGGAACTAACCATCCATGTCAAAATTACGTAAATATCTTCGGGTCGAACACTAGTGGTAGTGGAGAGCCAGAACGTGTAGTCTGGAATCCGGATAAGAAATTTTCTCGCTGAAAGTAACGAGCCACTAAGTTTAATTACAACTTTGATCACATAAAAGTGAAATTAATTTCATTCAACGTTTGGAAAATTACCGACATCCGGGCTTTTTGAGTATGGCTTATATTGAAATCATTTTTAAAAATTCAGGTAGGTCTTATTTATAGGCTAGGTCTTATTTTCAGGGAAACAAGGTATTTCGAATGTTACATAGCTGTTGTTAGAATTGGTCACAATTAGTGACAAAAATTATTATTAAACGAGGGCGGGTTAATCAAGATTTGGTCAAAATAATTTTTTTTTCAAATATAGAGCATGTACATTAGATCAAAATTCAGTAGGGTTATAGCAACTAACCCCCAAATGTACCCCATTTCATGTTAAAAATATGAAAACAAAGTTAATTTTCCCCAAAATTCGAACAAAGACTTTCGTAGGAATCAAATTACACCAGTTTAAGGAACATAACATGTTCCACCCAGTCATTATCAAATTAAAATTTATATTCTCAAGACCTTTGGCACTGATTGAAATAATTATCTCTAAGTTCCCATCCGTACGATGTACCTAATTACCCTTGTTGAGATAATAGGAATTTCTGTTTATAACGTGAATCACGAGCTCACGTTTACAGTATTTAATAAGATTTATGATCGACGTATAAAGACTACTCCGATATCTTTCAATAGAGACGATGTAAACCATTCTAAGCTAGTCTGAATAAATGTTATAAGATTTATATTCTGTGTGTTGTGGAAATTTACGAATAAAAACATATAGAGATTTTTAACGCATCTTCATTCACGTGGGCGTTGAAGCTGAAGGGTGAACGAGTGACTTGCAAGTCAGAGACAATCTACGAAATAGCAATATACGGTAACCTCACATTCATCTAACAATCATTTATACTATAAATGGTGACAAAACCGACTTGAATTAACCTTCTGAAACGAACCAGATCAACGGATTTCAACCACAAGTACGGACAACAATCAGGACAGGCAGCAATTTGACGGAATCAACCAAAAAGCTGACCAAGCTGAAGCTTTCAACAAATGCCGAGAAACCGTCTCTACAAAACGTGCAAAAATTAAATTCGACCAACTTACGAACGTCGGGAAGATTTAAATTGCCTGGAACAACGATTGAAGTACCAAATTGGCTGACAAGCCGAAATATCAAAAAACATTATGAAAAGACAATAATTCAATTGAAAACAGTTGAACTATGGTAACGGACTCTGGAAACGTTAAAATCATGAATGTGGACTGTATTGAACATCGATCGAAATGAACTCTTTTAGAACATGATATATGTTCGAGGTGAAAAACCTAATCAAAAACGAACTGTTGAAAACAATGAACTATATGGACTGTTTTACGGTAAATTACGCGCTCTATTCCAAACAATAGAGATATTTTCGCGCATACCTAATGGATATACAGTTCAGGAGCATGTTAAATCTACAATTTGTTTCATGATTTGCAGGTTTTTCTCCTCATTGAGACAGACATTTTTCATTCTTCCACTAATACTAAGGTAAAGTACTTCTTTTTCTTCTTATGTATATACATGGCGTTTCATTCGACTTTCAATTTTTATAAATTAATTAATGGTAAAACTTTGAATATTTTAATTTCAAATACCTTTCAGAGATTTATATTATTAAATATTTGTGGTTAACATTCCTTTTCGATTAAATAGATTTCGTTATCATTAAAATGCTCTCTAAAAGTAGATTCGAGCGAGTCATACTTTTAATTATTTACAAAGCCGTCATATAGAACGGTAAAATAATAAGCTCGTTTAACAAAAATTGTATCCAAAAGCGTTATTTTTTCAAAAAGCCCTGAGATGGCATAAACTTAAAAATGCGTTTTTTCATCCCGACATGGGACAAATATATAGACCAACTAGGTCTCAACGCGTTTTTTCTTCCCGACATGGGACAAGCATTTATAGACCAACTAGGTCGCAACGCGTTTTTTTCTTCCCGACATGGGACAAGCAAATATAGACCAACTAGGTCGCAACGCGTTTTTTCTTCCCGACATGGGACAAGCATATATTGACCAACTAGGTCTACAAAATCGTAACAATGCGATATTGCGAGCATTGAGTATTTTAGCGTAGCGAAATACATTAAATTGAAAATATGTTTTAACCGTCCAAACCAAAATTTTTAAAATAAAAATACGCCATCCTTCTGTAATTCTACTTTACAACCTTTACCCTTTCTATAAACTTTTCTTTACTTCAATGTCTTGTCTCATTGTAGATCATATACATGTAAATATTTTTTTTGACCTATATCATTAATTTTAGCATTGTGTATTGTATTTTTCGATATATTTCCACTTTATTAGAGGGTGCCAAATCTTTAAACTTCCAGTTAGTAAGATGGGGAGATAATATAGCAACTAACCCCCAAATGTACCCCATTTCATGTTAAAAATATGAAAACAAAGTTAATTTTCCCCAAAATTCGAACAAAGACTTTCGTAGGAATCAAATTACACCAGTTTAAGGAACATAACATGTTCCACCCAGTCATTATCAAATTAAAATTTATATTCTCAAGACCTTTGGCATTGATTGAAATAATTATCTCTAAGTTCCCATCCGTACGATGTACCTAATTACCCTTGTTGAGATAATAGGAATTTCTGTTTATAACGTGAATCACGAGCTCACGTTTACAGTATTTAATAAGATTTATGATCGACGTATAAAGACTACTCCGATATCTTTCAATAGAGACGATGTAAACCATTCTAAGCTAGTCTGAATAAATGTTATAAGATTTAATATTCTGTGTGTTGTGGAAATTTACGAATAAAAACATATAGAGATTTTTAACGCATCTTCATTCACGTGGGCGTTGAAGCTGAAGGGTGAACGAGTGACTTGCAAGTCAGAGACAATCTACGAAATAGCAATATACGGTAACCTCACATTCATCTAACAACCATATATGCTATAGGGTTTTTGTTCGACTAGTCGGTATCAAGACGGGATTATAAATTATGTTGGCTGTACAAGGTAAACGGTCGGGCAGGTAATATGTGGCTAGATTCTCGATACAAATAGAAGCCAGGAAGTGAATTGTGGTCTGGACCAGTTATTAGCCATTTCTTCATGCCGTCCGTGTTGAGCTTGACGTTGGGTTGAGCTGTTTTATGGCATTACTGGGTCTAATCAATTCCAGTCATGGCATTATGAATGAGAATCGATTGCTGTGTCCATTTTCATAACAATGACCAATCAGCAAAAATGACTCAAAATTGCAATTTGCGCAGCCGCTCAGACTATTGAATCATTGGTTCATACAGATATTCAAGCAATTCGAGGGCCGGGAAACATCCATTTCTGGCATCTGACTTTCACGACTTGGATCCACTAGTTCAGTGATTCTCAAACTAGGGTTTGAGAGCCGCATGCGGCTCTCAACAACCTTTCCTGCGGCTCCCGTTAATGTTTTAAAAATTAATTATTTTCAAAGAAAATTTTTCATTGAAAACTAATCATTGACTCGAAATTAAAATGCTGAAGTCTATTAGTTAGTCGAATGGATTCCCCCCTGTTTATTTGCGTAGCGTTGACTAACCTATAAGATGCAATAGTGACGCAACAGTGAGCGTTTTCTCGGCCAATCGGACACTTTTCACTTGGAAAGATTTTTAGACATGGGTGTAATCATTGGCTTGCTTTCGTGGATTTTCAGTTTTTGTCGCATTTCCAGATCTTATGTATAAATCAAATAACTCGATGATTATTTTAATTTCTATAGCATTTTAATTTTGTTCCAGAAATCGAAAAATCTGGCGATCATCTCAAGCAGCTACTGCACCTTGCATCCTCAACGATTACGACCCGCTTTGACAAACTTATTAGAAATCAAAGCCTAAATAAATAGCTGTTAGGCTAGGATGGGCAAAATTGAATTTTTTTTTCGAATCGAATAATTTTTTTATACATAACAGCTAGGGATCCAGAACTTCGGAGGTCGATACTCCATTTGGAAATTAATAGAAACTTTAAAAAAGTCGGCAATAAAGCGTATTTTATTGGGTAATTTTATCATAATTGCTAATTGTCTTTGTCACCGCGATCGTTTTGGCGGCGATATCCTAAAGTTGGTATTCTATATTTCCGCCCTTTCTCGTTTTTGCAAGAATAAGCGGTCGCTGAATATCGAAATTTCATATTTCTAGTATACTCATGCGTTCACATCAGCGACAGCTGTTGAATACATTTAAGGACTAATTTTAGAACCAAATTAATTCTATTCTGAGTTTTATCCTCTGCCTTGGATTCGATCTTCCTTATCACCGCTTGTAAATTAACCGTGCATGTTTAAAGTGAACGGTAACCGAGATGCAGATATTTATTATAATGATATTTGAGTTTCTCATGCTTTTCTATGGTGTCCGTGGTATTTCAGTATTAGATAGATGAACCTAGCAAATTTACGAATGCGTGAATCCTGAAAGTTGATTTAAAATAGCGATTAAATAAATTGCCAATAAAGGCATTTCTAGGCCTTTGTGCCTAATAGAGTGTCAGACTCTAATTACTTCATGTTTTAACGTTTTTTTTTCAACAAAACAACACCCCGATGGTTATTATAGCTAAAATACTTACTGAGTAATGCTCAATTTTCTTTACGGAATTTGCAAATTCAGCACTTCACTCAATGATTTTGATTATGTCATGCCTTAAGGCCTTAATTATTACTGCCCAAATGCTTCAAAATTTAACAATTGTAATCATTTTCGATGATAATAGACGCAACAATTCGTGAACGAGTCAATGCTTTAAAGGGAGTAGGACATGACATTTCTTATCCGGTTACAACTTAATGAGTGTTTTCCATACAAGTAACTCATACCAGCTTTTGGAAAAACTTTTGGTCA